CATTGCTTTTATTTTTGGAATGTGAGGCAGGAATGTGTTGTCGTGAATTATTGTATTAATGACTTTGATAAATTTATGGCTAATTTTTGAGAGCCAGGACAAATAGAATCACAACTCAAATCCGTGTATATATTGAAAGAAGTGATTTGTATTTTGGTTAGAGGTTTATATTGCTGGTGTTTTATATTTTCAGTTGACAAATCAATAATTACATTCATCATGAATATTTGTATTAATTACACACATGAACGAATTTTTTCGAAAATTATTTGTAATACACAGTTGTTGTAAAAGTTGAGTACAATATGATTTATGGTGCATGATGGTTCAAATATGATTTATCTTATTATTTTGTCTTTCAATCATCTTTGTACAATAGTTAAGAAAAGGAAAAAATATATAATTATTTAGTTAGTTTTGACGTTTTAAAAGTTAGTATTTTTAAACAAAAATAGATAATGAAGTTCCGAATAGGAAGGGTGTATTTTTTCTGGCCATTTAAAATTACAATTTTCTTGTGTTATTTCAATTGATTTTGAGTTGATCAACCTGTGATGACTGAAGAGCTATAATTGTGCTATAGCATAATGCGTAAGAATACGGTGAAAGCTTCCTGGGACCTACGAACCACAAAAGTGTTTATTGACCTCTGCATTGAACTTGTGCAACAAGGGGAAAGAAAAGGTACTAGCTTAACAAAGAAAGCTTGGGATATTCTTAGTGATAACTTTACTGCCAAAACTGGAAGAGTGTATGAAAAATCTCAATTTAAGAATAAATATGATTCCCTACGAAAGGAGTGGCAGACATGGGATAGGCTGCTTCGTGAGACAGGATTGGGATGGGATACTGAAAGGAATACTGTCAGTGCAACTGATGATTGGTGGGAGAGAAAAATAAGGGTAATTATTGAACCTTTTGATTTTACATTTTCTCTACTTGTTAATATTTTGTGTATATTTACTGTTTTTGGAATATTTTATGATATTATTGGTGTCTAATGTGCAGGAAGTTCCAAACTACGAAAAATTCAGAGAAAGAGGACTTCAATTTAGGGATGAATTGACTCAACTATTTGGAAGTGTGGCTGCAACTGGACCACAAGCATGGGCACCTTCTTCCATGACACTTCCAAGTGAAGGAACACCGAATGAAGATTTGGAAGAAGGGTCCGGAGATAGTGATGAAATTTTAGGTGCACCAACTGGTATAAGTGGGGAATTTAACACAGTGAACTTCAATGATAATAGTGGAGGTAGTGGAGGCAACACTGAATTGAGGCAGGATACCAGTGGTGGGGGTACAAGCAGAGGTAGGAGTCGACCTAGTAGCTCACTGGGGGTCAGAAGGAAGAGTGAAGTCAAGAAGAAACGCACATCTCCCTCTATGAAAATAGCGGATGCAATTAGCAAGATTGCTGAAACAAATATTTCTGAGGCCGAGCGTGGAAATGAGGTCATTTCACGAGCAGAAGCTAGAAGGTTGGAAGAAGAAGCGCGTGCTTATGAGGTTTCAATTAGGGGAGTCCTGTCTCACCTGAAAACAGTTCCTGAAGTTGTCAGTGATCCTGATTTCTTTAGACGGTGCACACAACTCCTTATGGAACGGCAGGATGCACGAGAAATGTATGCAGCTCTAAAGGATCAGAAGGAACAGCTTCTACTCATTTTAGAGCATTTTACTAGGGATTTATGACTTGTTTATTATATTAGACAGTTCCATATGTGTATGTTTTATGTGACCAGTGGATTGTTATATGAATCAGACAACTCTGTAACTTTTATAAATGTTTCGTAATTTCTACGTAGGAATTCTAAACTTTATGTGTATGTGCACAGGATAAAACGAATATGGATGATGAAATTAAACATGTGGAAGAGCATGCTAAGGGACGGAAAAAAAGAGTTAACAAAGTTGCAGCATTGGTTGGTGCATACGCTACTTTGAACTTGTGTAAGGAGCCTCGGCATACAAGTGCTTATACAGGCTGCATATGGGTAAGGGATGTTTTAGATGGCAACCCAGTCGTTGTTATAACATGTTTAGGATGGAACGGGATGTGTTCTTAAATCTGGTGGAACAATTGCAACAACATGGTCTAAAAGAAACTAAAAATATAGGGATACATGAATCAGTTGCAATGTTTTTACATACCGTTGGGCATGCACTTAGTAGCAGAATGCAGCAAGAAAGATTTCAACATTCAGGGGAGACAATTAGCAGACATTTTCATAATGTCCTAATGGCATGCTGTAGACTTGCCATGTCTAATATCAAACCAAAAGATCCAACATTCCGGCATGTTCATACAAAAATTCGGTTTGGTAAATACTGGCCTTTTTTTAAACATGCTATTGGAGCAATTGATGGCACACATGTTTCCTGCGTTGTCAGTGCAACAGATCAAACTAAATTTATCTCTAGGAAAGGAACAGTGTCACAAAATGTCATGGCGGTTTGTGATTGGGACATGTGTTTTACTTTTGTCTTGGCCGGATGGGAAGGTAGCGCACATGATGCTCGGATATTTGATCATGCCCTCACAACTCCTTCAATGAACTTTCCCCATCCACCTGAAGGTATTTTTTTATTTCCTATATTTTTTTTATATTTAGCTTAACAATAGAAACATAATTTACAATAATTTCATTTTTTATATAGGAAAATATTATTTGGTGGATGCTGGATACCCAACACCGAATGGATATCTCGGCCCATACAGACGGGAGCGTTACCATTTGCCTGATTTTCGAAGGACATCTGGGTTTGAAAATGACAATGAAATCTTTAATTATTTCCATTCAAGTTTAAGGAGTACAATTGAAAGAACTTTCGGAGTTTGGAAAAAAAAATTCGCAATCTTACAAAACATGCCATCTTATGATTTTGAAACACAAGTTAAAATCGTTTGTGCAACGATGGCTATACATAATTTTATTAGAACGACATCTATTACTGATCCTTGATTCGTTCAGTTGGAAGAAGAAGGTACTTATGCAGAAGATGATGATGATGGGGTTAGATTTTCACGTATACATTCATCAATTCAATCTTCATCTTACATGGCTCAGGTTCGTGACAGCATAAGAGACGAACTTGTTAATTCAATACGAGGATAGTAGTCATGTCTTATTTATTTCCTTTTATCATAGATTGTAATATGTAGTTAAAAACAAAACCTATTACAAATGCTTTGTATCGATGCATCATCTTAATGATTATGACACTTCTTTATTTATATTTCTCTTATTAATATTATGCCTTATATTCTCAAGCTAATTATTACTTACTTGAATAATTAATAAATTATTTTAAGACGTGTTTATTCTATTTTGCAACAAAATAATTCATCTTCTCTAAAAATATTTTTCACTCTAATATTTTATGAATATATATGTGTGGTGACAATTAATTAATTAATTGTATTAAACATCAGAGGTTATTATACATGTAGTATGTTATTACAAAAAGTAGTTATGAAAAAATGTTATGGGATTTCACGTTTACAATCTTTAAACAAAATTAATATTTTTCTGTTCTAAAAAAAATCATTTTTCTATAAACATTTAATATTATGTTTTATAAATATATGTACACATATTAATTATGTATTAATTATATTATCTTATATATTATTAATTATGTTAGTAAAATTATTTCATTAACAATTTTATTTCTTCAAATCAAAATAAATCATAAAATCTATCCCTTATATAATTATCATATTAACTTATACCCTTTTTGGTCATTTCCACATGTCAAAAGCACTTCTGGTAATAACTATCCAAACACTCTCACTTCTCAGAATCACTTTTTCTCAGAATCTATTCTCCACAGAATCTATTCTCCACAGAATCTATTCTCCAGAATCACTTTTCCAAACCACGGTTTGAAGTCATCCAAACACACCCTAAATCACGGAGGCAAATAAAGAGTACAGCTCATCATGCCGACAATTAAGATTTATTTCATGGCTTGGCGCCTCCTCAACAATTTTGGTTTTTTATTCGTCTTTTGGACCAAGTCAGGTCTAATAATTCTAAACATTGTTCCTCCACTTTCGAAGACACTTTTGGCGACACCTTATTCCTTGCGTCGTCCGTGTCCTCACATCACATTCCACATCTACCTATCATTCCAGAAATATGACACTATCTCCAGTTTTTAATATAAGATTTTATTTGATTTTTATTTTCATTTCAAATATAAGATCTCAATCTATTTTATTTTTCATATTTATATATTTTTTTTCAAAGTAGTCTTTCTAATAAGAGTAATTTTACCCAATACATTTGATTAGTAAAGATATTTTAAAAAAGATAACAATCATGTATTACAAATAACTAATTTAATTTTTTTTAATTTTCTCAAATTAGTTAATTAACTCTTATAATTAGTAGTGGAGGTAATATTATTATTACCACATGATAAAACATGCCCAAAGACGGCGCATATTACCACCGAACCGTTTGGTTTAGTGGTATGGGTGGGTGTGTGTGGGGTGTGTGGGTAGGGGTTCGATCCCCTTTCTTGTACCGGAAAAAAAAAAAAAAGAAAAGACGGCGCATATTTACAGGAAGCAGTATCCAAGAATATTGTTTTCCCGACAACTGTTTTATTTCCTATGATTTTATTAGACCGTACACTAAAAGCCAGTCCAATTTACTTAAAATCCTAATCGTGTTTTCTTTGACAAAATCGTGTACATGGATGTAAGAATTGATTTCATTGCGGGGGAAAAAATAAGAGAGATTGCATAATGTTTGCATTAAAGGGAATTGAAATAAAATAAGGCATGTTAAAGCGGGGTTGAAATAAAGTCAGACGGTATCAATGGTTCCATCATCACCTGGGGAAAAAAAAAAACAGAAATAAAGTAAGGTACAAACAAGTCAAGAGCCAGAAAAGGAGAAAAGGAAGAAGAAAAATAATGCATAGGTACGTAACTGTGTAATTGATAAGCTAATGCAGGGAGGAGGGTGCATCCAAGAAATTGGGAGAGAAGATGACTTTTAAATGCATCGAGTTTCATTGCGGGGAGGAGTTATCTCCATCCTCTGACTTTGAAAAGTACGAACATTTCAAGTTTTCAACTCTTGTCTTCTCCACCAACCTCTTCTCATTTCACCAGCCACGCTCTCTCTCTTTTGCTTCTTAGCACGCCACCCATGGGCCATTGCTGCAGCAAAAATCTTTCCGCCGTCAACAATGAAACCTCCCACCCCGACCCTCACCAGAAACCTCCACATTCCGCTGCATCGCCCCGCTCTTCTGTCCATTCGGTCTCCGGAGCCACCGATGCTACCCCTGCCCGCCATAGTTACGCCAACTCCTACTCTACCAGTCCCTTTAACAGCCCCCTTCCGCCTGGAGTGCTGCCGTCTCCGGGTGGGACTCCCGGCAGGAAATTTCGATGGCCTCTGCCGCCTCCGTCGCCCGTGAAGCCGATCATGGCGGCAATGCTGAAACGGCAGGGGAAGGCTCGGCCTAAGGAGGGCTACATACCGGAGGAGCCAGAGGAAAGAACAGGGGGTGAGAGTCGGCTGGATAAGAGCTTTGGGTTTGCCAAGAATATTGACTCCAAGTATGAGCTGGGAAAAGAAATCGGTCGAGGACACTTTGGTCATACTCACCTGGCCAAAGCAAAAAAGGGAGCGCTCAAGGGGCAGTCTGTGGCTGTGAAAATAATATCCAAAGCTAAGGTGAGACTGCGTTCGATCATAAACTGGCATTAGCTATGGAGATCAAACCAAACGTTTTCAGTAAGGCCTGGTATTTTTGCTGACTCTTGTTTTCCCCATGATTGTTTTGGCACTGTTTTCTTGTATAATTGGCCACCCTTAGCGGTGAACGGGTCTTTTGCTTACTTCTTGTTAAATACGGAAATTCGTGGTGATTCATTCCTGAAAAACAAAATACACATTGGAAAAATCACGTAGAACTTCTGTGCTCGGGTCATCCTTAGTCCTTGTATTATGTATTCATAGGTATCTAGATCCCATTATGGAACCCCTGTGGTATGGTAGATGTGCTTCGAGGTCGTCCCAAACGTATGGATGAGATCCAAGGCTGTTTTCTGGGCTAAGGCGTTGCATTTCTGGTTGTTTGGCCAATTCATGTTAATATCATTTTCCAAGCTAATAATAGTGTGAGAACAGAGAATGGAGATCATCTCCGAGCTAACCCCCCCCCCCACCTGATCATTTTTGGTCGTTATAGTTGATTGTAATTATTGACTGTCGGATTCCCAATTGGCAGATGACAACAGCCGTAGCAATTGAAGATGTACGGAGGGAGGTGAAAATGTTGAAGGCCTTGTCTGGTCATAAAAATGTAGTCAAGTTTCATGATGCATTTGAGGATGCCAATAACGTCTACATAGTGATGGAGTATGTGCCGATACATAATCATGATCTCAACAGTAGTCTAGACATGACATCTATGCATTTATAAAACCAGCTATTTATTCTGAGGTGATAACGTGTTCTTGTTCTCACCAGATTGTGCGATGGAGGCGAACTACTTGACAGAATTCTCTCAAGGTAAAATTGGAGGATATGCTTCATTTGCATCAACTGGACCTTTCTTTGCCATTGATAATTTCTAGTCGAAGTTTCATTAGTCTAATTGGTCTTATTTGATTTTGATGTGTTTGTCTAGAGGGGGAAGATACACAGAAGAAGATGCTAAAACTATTCTTTTTCAAGCTCTAAACGTAATAGCCTATTGTCATCTTCAAGGAGTTGTTCATCGTGATCTAAAACCAGAGGTATGATGCTTTTGAACAAAATGGAATCAGTCAGTCAAGCCTTTAAATGGATAAACAATCTTTTCCTCATTGTATAATTGTCTATTGGCTCTCAAATCTGCATTGTAATTTGTCATCCTATACACTTTGCCTGTTCCGCAGAATTTTCTCTTTGTCTCAAAAGATGATGATTCTCAGATGAAGCTTATAGACTTCGGTCTATCTGATTTCGTGAGACCAGGTAACAACTGATTGACCTCCGATAGTAATCAAATTCCTCTGAAATATGTCATGGTGCTTATTATTTCTTGTCATAGAGTTGTCTCCATTCTTCAAAAGGAGGAGGCAATTTTCCAAGACGTTTTTCGTTTATGCTGTTCTGCGGTCATTGCCTTCTTGGTTTTTTGTTCTCCATCTTACAGTCTTGACAATCTACTTCTTGTAATTAAATATCCAGGTGAACGTCTGAGCGATGTTGTTGGCAGTGCCTACTATGTTGCACCTGAAGTGCTCCATAGATCTTACAGTGTTGAAGCAGATTTATGGAGTATTGGGGTTATAACATACATATTATTATGTGGAAGCAGACCATTCTGGGCACGCTCTGAATCAGGAATCTTTCGGTCTGTGCTAAAAGCTAATCCTAACTTCGATGATTCACCTTGGCCGTCTGTATCACCAGAGGCTAAAGACTTTGTAAAGAGACTCTTGAACAAGGATCTCAGGAAAAGGATGACCGCTGCCCAAGCATTAAGTATGTTCCTTGAGAATGTCCTGCTCGCTCGGGCCCTGGTTTATTTAAGAAGTGATTCGTTGAAATTGAGAGCCCCCCCCCCCCCAAAAAAAACAAAAAAACAAAAACCTTTTCTGTGATTTTTTATGATGAAGAATCGCCTCCCTATTTGCAGCTCACCCGTGGTTGAAAAATGAAAATCAAGCCATTCCATTAGACATTTTTATCTACAAGCAAGTCAAATCATATTTGCATGCCACGCCTCTAAGACGTGCAGCACTCAAGGTAAGGTACTCATTATTAGCCATACCGCCTTTCAATGCTATTATTGCATTGTACATTCTTCCATTTCCACAAACCACAGAATTATCGGAATTTTTTTTTGGGGGGGGGGGGATGAAGTAACAAACGTGATGGTTTCTTTTTTTTTTTTTATTCAGGCTCTCTCTAAAGCGTTGACAGAAGATGAGCTTATATACCTTAGAGCACAGTTTAGCCTCTTGGGACCAAAAAATGGTCGCGTTTCGCTTGACAATTTTCGAGCGGTTAGTGCATGCTCATTTCAGTTTTATTCCTTTTCATCATGGCATTTCGAATGTGTTTAATTTCTTGATTTACAATACTGTTTTTGTTTTTGTTTTGTTGACCTGAATGGTGTGAATATTCTATTCTCATCCGCAGACTTCCGTTAACTAATCTAGTTTAGTCCAGTTGTGTCATGTTGTCTAAACTTTATAGCCGATTTTATCTGCTACTATTCCTACAGTCTATCATTTGAAATCAAAGAAAATTGCAGGCTCTGATGAAAAATGCAACTGGTATCATGAAGGAAGCCCCGGACATTTTAAACTTGGTGAGACATCTTTGCTCTGCAATTTAGACGTAATTAGCCTTGTCCATTTGGACTTTTTTTTGTTGCCCTTCTACTTTCAGCATCGCACATTGCATGTCTTTTCTTCCTATCAAGATTTGGTAATAGTAGAAGACACTGAATTGTATACTTTTTGAATTAAGATGGATTCACCTGCCTCCATAAAAATGGACTTCGAAGAGTTTTGTGCTGCTGCAATCAGTGTGTACCAGCTTGAGGTTCATGAAGAGTGGGACAGAATCTCAAAAACAGCATTCGAGCATTTCGAACAAGCAGGAAACGTAGTCATTTCAGTTGAGGGGTTGGCAAAGGTTTGCACATTGACTCGAAAGAGACCGTTCACCTATGGTCTTGTGTTGTTTTTAAGTTTTAACCACATTGACCTTCGGAATATTGTTTCAGGAGATGAATGTGGGTGCTTCATCATGCTCTTTACCAGGCAACTGGATCCGAGAATCGGACGGAAAACTCAGCTTTGTTGGATACAAGAAGTTTTTGCACGACATCACTGTTCGCAGTGCAAACAAAAGACAGCGACAGAATGCTGCGTGATTAATTATAGAAAAATGTTGGGCTTATTTGATTTTTATGTTCTAGTAAGAATTCTGTAGGGTGATTTTTTAAAACAAGTTTTGAAATTAAAAAAAATAAAAAAAAACCTGTTTGAATTATTGAGTTGACAAAAACATGTATAAAGTAGTAAAATGGAAGGAGAAAAAAATGAATTTGTATACAACTTTTAATTTTTGTGCTTCCAGAACATGTAATAAAAGAACACGTTTTTTTAATAATTTTTTTATTGGTTTTTTATTTTTCACAACAAAGAAACTGTTATGAAGCAGAGAAATCAAAATCGGCAGGAGTTGGTCACCTCCGATCCCCATTTGATTTTGAAAGGGAAATATGTGTAATTAAAAGTGGGGAAACAGCTTTGATGTGGAGGGCTAGGCACGTGATTTGGGTGGGCCAACTAAAATGGGGCTCCGATTTTACACGTGAGAGCACATGCAGTTCCTAGTTCCTACGCGCACGCGATGTTTGTCAAAATTTGTGTAATGGATCATAAAAAAACGCGTCTATAGACTACAGTGATGACCAGCTCATGGTTTGAAGGAATGGGTAAGCAAGGTCGAGGCAGAGAAATACGCACGCAGCTACGAACAGCAACCTTACGAAATCCCAGCCAACTTGCACAGCTGTAACACATCAGGTTTGCAGAAGAAAATGTATTAAACAAAGAAACCCTCCGCCCCCTTTCTTTTGAACGTGCTAAATGTGGTGCATTGTTCGTTTAAAGACTAGTCTTAATTATTAGTTTGAAGAAATTGGCTGAATGGATGTGCGGATATAAATGAACCTGAAAATGTGACCGTCATACTCGTAATTAATCCGCCTGTCTTTGTTGGCTCAGTTACACATCATCATATTCCCTTTTTTTCCTTTTAACAGCCGCATCATCATATTCATTCCTATGTCTTTTGCGGCTTTCAAGGGAGTTGCTCGTTCTTATTTAGTTATTCTCACGCAACCTAATTCATCACATAATATATATATATATATATATATATATATGTTCCTGTCCTCTCCTGTGTTCACACGCCTCCTGTTCCGCTTCCGCACCTCACCCCACCAATTGCGCTTTGGGAGACTGTCACGTCTCAAAAGTCAACGCAACCAATATGCCATCAAAGTCTTCCCAACCATTATGTGCTAATGTTATTGCATATGTTGTCCTCATCATTTATATATTCCACTTCATTCATTCGGCGATCCGCATTAGATAAATAATAAAACCTTCGATCCTGGCATGAATATAATGTAATTAATATCATGATTAACGCGGCAGTAGACCAAGACTCGGCCATATGAAGAAAGGCTCCCCTAACTGCTTGTTTGTGAATAAGAATTCATTAATAATCGGCAAGCTCCTCGTCATTCACTAAACTAGCTAGCTTGATCGAAATTTCGTAATAATTATTCAAACTAGGAAAAATGAAAGGCAGGAGGAAAGTAGAGGAGAAGATCATCACCATAACTCTGTATATGGGCCCCCGGCCGTATTGGCATATATTCTCGTTTCTATCATCTCCTGGGGTGCCCACCAATAATGAACAGAATCACTAAAAATTCCGAGTTTTGCAAGTGAGAGCTTTTTTCAGCACCCGAAAGAGACTCTTGGGGAAAGCATATGTGCCCTCCCTCACCCAAACCTTGTCCCCCACGCCTCACCCTTTTGTCCAGGCAATTACCTCTCCCGTTTTAATTTGTTCACATTTTAATTAACAGGATCACTGATGAACAGAAGATATATCGAGCAGCAAACAGTAAACAAATCATTTCATTAGCAGAACGCCACATTATGATTTCTCATTCGTAACTCGTCATCAATCGAAACAAGTAATCCAGAAGAAGAAAAATTATACAAGGTTGCAGTCCAATTTTTTCGTCATTGTCATGATGAGCAAGCTACCATCACCGACTATAATTATCAGCGGCAGCTGCGGAATTCTCTTACAGTAAAATTACATCATACATGAACACGAGTGTTATTTGATACAAGAGAATCATCAAGTTTTAAAGCACCAGGCATGATGGTGATGCTGTTCCTCCTGATGAATCAGATCCTGAACAGTACGAAAGTCGTCGACGGGGCAGGGAATGGTGAGGAGGCCCTTCTGATGGAACCCATATTCTTGCTCGGCTTCCTGCAGCAAGTGAATGAAGAGAGGGTGATTGAAGTACATGACAGGGATCACAAATCTCTGCTGCTGGGCTCCTTGTCCCACCAGGACGGCCAAGCATCCCTTTGGGGTGTGTCTGGCGTGCTTCTTGTCGTGGTGATGAAAGTGGAGGAGGTGAGGCATGTGGACGTGAAAGTTGACGATCTTCATATCCGCACCCATGGAGACGCGAGCTAGCTAGAGAAAGGCCAGGGATCGGGGGCAGAGATGGCGAGGATGAAGAGGGCGAGACAAGAGTCTGTGAGAGATCTGGGGATATTGCTCATGATATGTGAGTTTCGGACAATACCCTCATAACAGTGTATGGCACGATTTGGAGGAGGCTGAGGCTGGGTTATTTAAATAGCACAGGGTGCATCCTCCTCAAATAATATTCCAGGGTTTTCTCATTAGCCTTCCCCAGCAAGTTATAGCTCTGTATGGAACCAGAATTTTGAATGCGTAAGCACTTTTTCAAATACAACTGGAATTTCACACGCTACTGCGCATTCCGGAATAACTAGTGGGATCCCACAAACATAAGGGTTAAAATGCCGAAGCGACACTCAGGATATGGACCGGCAAATTGCCAGGTGTGCAATTTCTAAAAGATTTTGTCGTGTTTGATTTCATTTTTCTTTTTAATGAGTCGAGCTTGCGGGAAAATAGGCTGAAGCCCAATCAAAACAGCACACAGGATAATTTAAGTTTATTCATTAAATCACAGTGAGTTTAACTTTTTCTTTTTCTTTTTGCTTTTCTTTTTTCGCTATTCAAAGTAAATTAATTATTACATATATTTTCTGGGGCTCAGTTCAACTCAAATACAAATTGATCTCATATCACATCATTCTAAAAAAAAAAAAAAGTAGTCCAATTGTTAAAAAAATAAAGTGAAAAAAAAAATCTTCAATGGAAACTGGAAAGAGAGAATGCAAATATCATTTGTATTGATTTAATTTGAATAATCTCATAAGAGAGAATGCAAATAAGATGAGCACTTTATTTATTTCTGGAAGAAAAATCTATTAAAAGTCATTTATAAATAAAATAAAAAGAGTATTTATTACTGGACGAAAGGTCAAATGAAGCTGGACTGGTGGGGGAGCCCATCCCACTCCAGCCGCATAATAACTATGGTCAAATGATCTCTGCGCGTCTCCGTAGCATTTTTTTTTAATTCTTATTCCTAATCTTAATTCTTAATTTCACAGAGTGCGCATCAGCTTCCGAGATCGAAACATTCGGGGAATCTTCGAAGGCTCAAGTGACAAGACAACTCACATATTGGGGCCATACACCAGTCACAGACATATTCATGGGAAAAATTCATGAAGAACACCTTATTGGTGAAGAACACCTAGATTATAGTACTGGCATGATGTAAAATTTATAATTAGAGCACTAATATTTTCTGGGCAACAAAATTTATTAATTAGGGCATAAAATTTTGGCATTTACTCAGTTTTTTCAATTAATATGAGGTCACAAATAAAAAGGGAAAAATCAGTCTCAATGACCAATAAGGGATGTTTGGCTTAAACTCCCTGAATGAAGGATGATATTTACAACTTTACATAGGAGGACCCGCGGATGCACGGCCCTTCATAATCGTTTCGTTTAGTTGTCTCTGTGCAGGAAAACACATAGGACCAGAGAATATGGGCAATGAATTTAATATACATATATATGGATAAACAAAGTAGTGTTATAAAGATCTGAATGATGAACGTAATGTGTGGAATTGACGATACAAAGTTGAGCGAAAATGGTGAATCATTATTCATTCACCAGAGCTGCACAAAAAAGGGGGAAGGAAGGGAGGCAGGTAAATTGCGATTGCAGGCAAACATGTGTCCCCTTTGGCTTTAAGTTAGGCATAGTTAACAGAGTGCGGACAACTAAATGGACCGCAATGTAAGGATAAGGGGGCGTCATGAGCTGGTTTTGAGGATTGCTGTGGCCTACTCTGGTGCATGCCCATTCTTTTTTATATCCTAAACAACCAAATGAAAGGTTTTTATATATATAACTCCAGAAATGAATTTGTTTGTTCATGCCGAAAGCACAACCTGTATATTTATATATGGGATGATGTGTGAGCGGGACCTAGCTTGGATGGATATTTCATATTTCGAAAGATGGGGCATCTGATTCAAAGGTTTGGTGAGTTTCGTATCTGCTTTTAAAGCAAAGCAACCGTGTTGAAATTATTGCTTCTCCACACACCGTGGATCCTCACCGCGTCTCCTTCCTTCTCTATGGACAAACGTAACCTTTAAAACTCAATTTCAATTTTAATAGTTACCCCCCCCCCCAAAAAAAGTTTTTTTTCCTCTCTCTGAACAAATATATACGAATAAAAGGAAGTGAGAAAAACAAACCGGAAGAGGCTGAGGCTTGTGACCTTGGAGCCTGGAGAGGCCGACGGCGGTGAGTTTGAATATTACCAGAGACGGAGGCTCGAAACTTGAAGGGGCGCCTACTTCCTGCATGTATTCTGCATCGTTTGCCAAAAACTTTGGTAGTTTTGATTTTTTTTAAACTATAAATAGTTGTTTTAGTATTTTTTTGCACTGTAAAGAGTTAGACCGCCTTACATATATTTTAAGAAATCGGAATGTTTGGTATCTCTACCTTCTTTTTCTTTTTGCCAGCAGATGATTTCATTAAAACAACTAAGCAGATAGAGTTCAAGTACATCACACAGCAGCAAAAACAACAACAAATAAAATCAACCAAAACACATCATCCAGTATCTAGATTACGCCTGCTTCTACCACTATCAATCAAACTACCAAATGCTTTGTGTGAACATTCCACCTCCCTTATAAAGCACAAATCTCTCATAACACATATGTTACGGGCTAGTCTGAGAGAGGGCTGTAACTTGTTAGCACATGACTTCTGTTCCGCACACAATAGACTGGAGAATGGTTGAAAATATGTTTTATGTTTTGCGTGCTCATGAATGGCCCCAGTAATATATTTATCATCACGAATAATATTAGATTTAGAAGTTGTGAATTAATTTGAAATTTAACTGAGGCCAAAGAAAAAAAGAAACCATAAATATTTTTATGATGGTAATTAAATAAGCTCATCTCACGTGCTATGTAAAAACGATCATCTAAAATGAATTAGAATTTTTTAGAAGTCGGAGCGCGGATCCGACAGCAGGCTTGGGTTGACAGCGGGTTATACTTATGGGGCAATTCAATGTAACAGCCCGGCACTAGGCTCAAGTGGCGGCCCATGTATCCAATTGATGCATTGTGCGGGGAGGTTGAGAATTACCCTTTTCACAACATCCTCACAATCATTAATTGTGTGATTATTTGGTAAATTTACTTTCGTGACTAAGGCTCTGTTTGGGTGCTCCAAAACCGTGGTTTCAGAAGCACTTTTCCGCAAAACGAGGTAACCTCCTCCACATATTTACTTCGTAATCCGTAAAAGCACTTCTGAAACCATGGTTTGGTTTTTATCCAAACACTCCCTAAGACAAAAAGGAGTCCGCAGAAAGACGCCAAATTAGTATCAACTTAACATTAGCGACGACCACAAAAGCAAACTCTCTGATTCCTTCGTCTAAAAGTTGGCCTTTGAAATGAAGAAAAAAAATTAAAGCAACACCCTCCTTCTGTTGAAATGAATTTACCACCCTACCCTCCCCCCTTTCTACACAGAAGTCGATCCCACGCCCGCCGTTGACCTCCTTGACTGGCCGCCCTCACTGGGAATCTGGCAACACTTCCCTCCGGCGTCCAATGCGTCGGAAATCGGCTTGATCACCAAGATGCCCTCCCCCGCCGTAGCAGAGCAAAGCGCGCTCAAGAACACCACCAGTGTCGCCACGGAGTACAAATCCTCGTCGGGGTTCCACAGCGCCATCACTCCGAGAAACACAATCTGCACCGTCAGGGACCCCAGAACGGCGAACGCCAGCCCGTAAATCCGAATCCTCAGGCCCTTATTAATCACCAGCGACAGCACCTTCCACGTGGAGCACAAGAACCACAGGCCGTAGGAAACCCCAAAAGCGGCAAACACAATGCTATTCAACAAGGGGTAAGCACAGAGCACCGTCTCGATGCCGGAGTCGTCAATGGTCCGAACGACGGAAGTCTGATGGAAAGAGAGGGGCAAGCGGAGCTCGTACGGCCTGAGAAGGATGAAGAGGAGGTGGACGAGGGAGATGGGAAGGCAGGTGAGGAGGACGAAGGAGATGGCCCAGGAATCGTTAGGTGTCTTCTTGCGAATGGAGGCGTTGAGGAGGAAGAGGAGGGTGACGAGGAAGGCAGGCTGGAAGAAGCCGAGGGAGAGGACGATGTGGAGGCGACAGAGTTCGGCCTGCCGGGGGAGGGGGATAGGGGAGAGGAAGGAGAAGAGGCGGAGGGGAAGGAGGAGCTGGGATAAGGCCCAGAAGAAGATGAAGAGGACGAGGAGGAAGCGGACGGTCCAGAGGGAGTTAAAATCTTGGAGGTGGAGGAGGGACTTGGATTTGAGACGGAGGTGGAAGATGAAGCAAAGGGAGAGGAGGGAGAGGAGGATGAGGGCGGAGACAAAGGAGAGGATGCAGAGGTCGAGCAATGCTAAGAACATGGATCAGGGAAGGAAGGAGGGCGAGTGGCGGGGAGCAGGGAAGAAGACGACCCAAATAGCAGAAGCGCCAGAAGGCGCCAAATGACAGACGTGACGCTCTGTTGTCGCCGTAACCATCCTTCATTCTCGGACTACCGTTATCCTTCTAATTCCTTATTAATAAATAATAACAGTGACCCTCGCAAAATAGGATTATGTAAAATTATACATGAGGCCACGCTGACATTTCTTCAGCTTCTTATTATTAGGACCTGCTGTTTCAACATGTGGGGATTTTGCTCGCTTACTCGCTGGATATTTGGGCGTTCAAATAAAACCTGAAAGCTGCAGGCACATGTTGCTTTCTTTAATTTCCTATCACACGAAGCAGATTGATCTGCTTCGTTTTCGGCAGCCGGCAAATATTTACTACATTCATTCACTTCCAACTATCAAGCAAGGCATATAGATTTCTCTCTCTCTCTCTCTGTTTTTTTTTTTGGCTTGAGAGGCATATAGATTTCTAGTATAAGACAACGAATTACAACAGATCATCGTTGATATCAATTCCCCGTTGTATTCATTGTATATATACAGATATATATATATATATATATATGTGTGTACCTTCTTCGTTCATGATCAAGTTTACGTCAACTACGCGATGACGATTACATGCATTTTTAATGGTTAGACACGTGCCAGCCGCAAGTTAATTATCCATTTCATTAGAAGGCAACACACACATATTTTTTGCCGAGGGGAAGGCAATACATATATATTATTTTCAGTCTTTAATATAAAAGTTAGTTAACTCACTTTAGCAAATTAAATAAGTTTATTAGGTTAGTTATTTATAACAATAGGTGTTATCTTTCATATAATATTTTTGTTAATAATATATATTAGTTAAAATTACTATTTAATAGAAGCTTCAACATATGTAAAGAACTGTTTAGATAATTAAAATAAATTGGGATCTTATATTTACGATCAAATTAAATGTCAAATTAGTTTTTATATTAATAATTGGAGGTAGTATTATATTGTGATCACATATATAATGAAATTAAACCTACATTTCCAATGATAAATTCCCTACCCCCCGTGTACATAAATAGGTGGGGACGCACAATTACGAGGATTTGGTGGCTTCCTATTGTCCGCCGGTTACGTTGCTGCTCGCCTGCAACCCACTAAGGATATATTATAACAAATCAATATGCTCTGATGTATTCTGCACAGTCTCCAAAGAAGCACAAGACCTCTTCTTCATCTTCAACCAATTCCGACTCTCTCACATGCCGGGACACACACACGCTGACAATGTCAATATCTATGGCATTGATTCGAGTTAGACTGGGAATATATGCAGCAGTGTTGCGGAAAGCTTAAGCTATATATATCCTATATTCTCAAAGTGTACGCATAATTAAAAAATGAATCAAGTTAATAAAATTTCTCTCTATATATTGTATTTTATAATTATTTTTGACCCCGGGGGGTGGGGTGAGAATATATAATAAAGAAGGATGGAATCAAAAGGAAGAATTTCAAAAGACAATAGAAAGAAGTGTGCTTTCAATAAAGAGAAAAGATTGCAATAAAAGAAGAATCTAATTCTACAGAGCTTATTTTGTCATCCTCCGTCCAATTAATGCCTCAATGACGACCCATACCTTTCTCCATCCGTCTGTCAGGTCCATGCCTTCCACTTGAACAGGCTTATTTGGAGGAAACAATTAAAAGCCGCTTATATATATTGGTAAAGCTGAGACGGAAGCTGGAAAGACTGAGAACACCGCTTGACCCGGCCTCAGAGAGCTAAACTCAATTCAATATATAAATCTTTAGTTCATGTGAGTTTGTGGGAGATTCAGGAGATAATTTCTTGCTGGCATGCAGAGGACAAGCAGTGCGAGTAGTGCTTTTTATGATATGGTTAGGTTTCAGACTTTCAGCAGTCAGAAGAGGTCGTTTTTATGAAAACCCTAGTTAAAAAACCAGAGAATATATACACACACATATATTTTGTAAAAAGAAAACACGGCCTAGCAAGCTCAAGACTCAAGTACAGGCTGAATGGCCATCAAAGAAGCATGATTAGCAGCAGCAATAAATCGAGAATGCAAAGTACTAGATGGCCGCCTTTTTGTCTTCCGTCAAATACAGCAGAAGAAATTTTCATCACTTCCCGAGAAAGTGAAGGAAGATCCACGAGAAAATGAAAAAGAATAAAAGAGAGGATATATGGGTGAGAAATGAATGGATCGTAATTACTTGAAACTCACCTGGAGATATGAAGAGAACGAGGCTGGAGAGAGGAGTCTGGAAGCAGTGATTGAGGGGAATGAAGCCTGGTCCGAGGAGACACTAGCAGAGAATCTGCGGATGAGACGTGAAAGTCAGTGGGAGAGATCTGCTTGGACCAGACAACATTCCCCCCAAAACTTGAAAGCTTCCCTAAAGGGGGTCTGATGAGGGGACTCTGTTAAATATTAATGAATGCGAATGGGAATGATGAACGCAATCATTTGGTTTTACCATAAAGTAAAAGAGACGACGCGCACGCACAGAGCGCGCGCGAGAGAGAGAAGGAGAGGCCATGGCGTTTTCTGGAAACCAACTAGAGGGGGTTGGGTGAGGGTTAAAGCCGCCCCTTATTACGTGTCTTTCTCTTTTAATTATGACACATGAATGATGGGCGGTGAGTGCGTGTGAGAAATGAAAGTGGTCAGCCTTTACCGTTAGATTTCGGATACGTATGTTTGAGTTATTATGATTCGTTGATTTGTGTCTTTCCATGTGCTCAGGAATAATTAATGTCTGTGTGGAAAACTCTTATCATCTTTCTTTCCTTTTCTTTTCTTTTTCTTGCCCCGTAAATTACGAGCGGTGCGATTCATTCATCACTTTATATAACGACCAGAGAAGCGGGTATTGTTGTCAAACTCGCCAACTCAGTTCAACCTTGATGTGCATACAATAACAGAAGTACAGATAAGCCTAAAAAGAAAAATGATGTGAAGCCCAGTGTCTGGCCCACATATGGTATCGTTGGAGCCCATAAATAAGCCCGTTCGTTTTTAATATGATCCTGCGGAAAACCTAGGCACGTTTCTATGAATGAAAGTGCAACTAATATGTCACATCAGAGAAAGAAAGTCCAACACAAATATTTATAGTCTCACCAACAAAAAGAAATGAAACAACCAACAACAGGGGTTGGTCCGAGTGTTAAGCGGCTCGGTTCCGCTTAAGTGAGGTCTCGAGTTTGATTCCTCATGGATGCAGAAAACCCCCGCTGGAAGACTCACCCACCATACCCAGGTACGCGACGCGGGTCAGATCCGGACGTAGTCAGGGCAAAGCTCTAGTGAATCGGGTGGAGAACCAAAAAAAAAAGAAATGAAACAAAGTTCACATAACCCCTGACAAGCGAAGTTTTGAAGTTTCGCTGCATGAATCAGCTATTTTACTGGAAACTGATTGATGATATAGACAAGGAATAGTAGTTGGATGGGCGAGTTGTTTATGGCAGCGTTGGGAAAAATATGAAAAGAAAAAGAAAAAGGGTATATGGGAAGGCAGAAAAACTGGCAAGAGAAGGAAAGGAAAAAATGGAAGAACAATGATGAAAAGAATCGAAGTGATGAAACGAAACACCCATGAATTATTGGGAAGAGGAATCAAAGTCAAGTCATTTTGGTACGACTTTGAGGAGCCCAACTCTCTTACTTGGCTTGCCTTCCAATTGGTGGCGTGGCTTGTGGGACTACCCTTCCATCTTCTTTTACTCTGTTCATATATAGCCTTCGCCCTGCCTTTCCCTACCCTACGATGATAATACAGGGGCCTGTAGCCCTCCCCTTGATGAAAAGAGAAGCCCCAGTTTCCTGGACGTGGACACTAATGCTACTGATCACCCTGACCCGCCACCTTTTCCATTAGGTCTCCTTGGACTCTGATTTATTGAGTTATGAGGAATGCTTTCAGAAAGGCTTTCCTTGGCGTGCAAATTTTGGCCTCCTAACATTAATAGGCAGTCTTTGGCCAAAAAAACCAAAAAGAAAACATTAATAGGCAGTCCCCTCCTTGATGGGGACGAAGGGACACTTCACCCGCCCCTCCTCATTCATCGCACCAACGTCCACAAGCAGACACACATGTTGTTATTAATTTCTTAATCGTCCGTGCAGCAGAGCTTGACATAAGGCTAACCCTCCCCCACGTTCGAGCCTAATCTGACCAGGACTTGTGCCCATATCATCCTTGGCCCCTGCTCCAAGACAAAACGAGCAATTTATTGGCTCTGTCATTTAACCCCACACCTCCACAGTGTTCTGTCTGTATTAGGCGACTTCAATTGAGCCTCTTTCACCTCCTTTTCCTTGTGTGTCGTGGAAGCTGTGCTCTTCATTATTATATGATTCCTCTCATCTTATCTCCTTCTCCACTCCACAAACGCCAAGCCAACAAAGTTTACTACGGTAACATCATAGCTTTATTTCTGCAATTTTTTGACCCCATCTTCTTGCTGGCAGCACTCGTATGGCTTCGTTCCTACCTAATAAAGTTGCCATACCAACGGCGCTTGAAGTGAAATCACTGCAGTTTTCACCTGTGGAGCCACATCCCATTTTCCCCCTTAAATAATTGCATTGAAGTTCTTAATTTGTCTACATCTTCGAAGTGAATCTGACGTCAGGAAGCTGGCATGTATGAACTTGCTTTCCATCTTTATGACTGCGGTCCTCACTTCAATACTAAGCCATGCATGATAAGTTTGACCAAGCATGAGAACTTCTTGTCAGCAGATTCAAACAGCAAAATGGAAGAAAGGTCTATCCTTTTTATAAGCATCAGTTTCTTCCATACTTAAAAAAAAAAAATCGAATTCAGCTGGAACTTCAAATCAGGCAACGTGACAATTTACTCCAATCACAGGCAGTTTATGGCGGTTATTGTGCAATTAATGACCTGAATAGCCATAATGATTATTCCTTTTAAGCCCCCACCCCCCAAAAAAAAAAAAACCCCCCAACAGAAGTACTTCTGAAACAAAATGTTATGAAGCCTCAAGGATCTTACCATGAATGTGTAGAAGGTGAGAGAACTAGGGAATGTCAAACGCACAACGTTAAAAATATCACAGGACAAGGAAAAACCCTAAGAAAGACTAATGATGTTAATTTCTTTTGCTGCAGCAGAAGGCGTAGATATTTTCCATTTATCTTAGGAAAAGAAACACGTGTGCTTCCTTGGGGTGATGAATGGGCAGTTCCTTGTTCCAATAAAAGAGTACGGCCCTATAGGAAATCTACAAGAAGAAAACCAAGGATAATTGTTTCTACAGTGAACGAGAATAAAAGCACCACAAGTTACCTAATTTCATTGGCCGATATGAGCCTTTAATTACAAGTTCCAGCAGCTTAATAGAAATCGCCAACTATATATTCTGCAGCCTATGCTCTTCGCCGGACTTTTAAATCTTTCATGAGATTTTATTCCTACTTCGTCCATAGAATTCCAAATACTTCTTTTTTCAGCTATCCCCGGTTCAATGATGAAGAAGGGTGGTGAGTATATTCAAGCATCAAGGGAACACGATATTGGAAGCTTCACCGGCTCAAAGGCACCTGAGAATCCGAAAAAGAAAAGCAACATAGAAAACAAGAGAAGGTTTAGTGATGAACAAATTCGATCACTTGAATGCATATTTGAATCAGAGTCAAAGCTTGAGCCAAGAAAGAAGATGCAACTAGCAAGAGATCTTGGTTTGCAGCCGCGCCAAGTTGCGATATGGTTCCAAAATAGAAGAGCCAGATGGAAATCAAAACGGATGGAACAAGAGTATAGAAAACTCAGAGATGAGTATGACAATTTAGCATCTCTGTTTGAGTCGATAAAGAAAGAGAGGGAATCCTTGCAAGCTGAGGTAATTAATATGCGTCTTTTATATGGAGTACTTGTGCAATTTCCAACGCCATATATAACTATGTCACGTATTTATGATTAACAGGTACAAAAGCTAAGAGATTTGGTGGAGACGTGTGATGATGGTAGTAAAAGGGAAAACACGGCCGGGATGGAAAATAGCACAGAGGATGGTGCTTCAGGCAGCGAACAAAACAACTGGATCTCTGAAGCAAAACCAAATTTCTCAAATGAAGGTTCAGAGAATGCCAAGAATGATGACAAAAGAGAATTGGGATCGATTGAAAAATGGCATAGTGTTGATCCGAGTGGTCTCTTAGACCAATCTTGCAGCAGTTCGCAGTGGTTAGATTTCTGGAATTGATGAATTGAACCGTAGTTGTGCATATTCCCTTGAAGAAGGATCAAGCCATTGGTTTGGTCTTCTGCAGCCAATGTTTGAAAGCATTCTGGCCCAAGAACAACATTGAAACTCACATTGAAGTGGCCAGGATGATCAAAGATGAAGTTTTGTAGACCTTGAGCTGATAGATATAGGATCTAGATTTGAGATAGTCTCATTTAGCTGTTTATAGATTGAGAAGAACAAAGTATGTACCATGTCATCTATGTTTTTTTTTTTTTTTGGCCTGAACCATGTCATCTATGCTCATGTTTGCATTCCTTTTCAACCTCTGTCCCATGATCCCATCCAACTACGTCTTCTTTTACCAGATCTGTTCTAGTTTATCACTTGAGCTGATAAGGTTGTATAAAGTGATTGCGTGTGATCTTTAGGACGTACTACTCTGCGCCTATTTATAAAGAACTTCCAGCATATTTTAGACAGTTTAGGAAAAAGCCTTAAAATGAATTAACTCTATTAAAATATAACAATTTTTTAATTTTATCCATATTTAATATATATACTTTTCAAAAGAAATAATTACCTACACTATAATAAATGAATAACAAAATAGTATATTTATACTGAAAATTTAATAAAGTGATTTATAAATAAGACAAAAAAAAAAAGTTCCTCTTTATCTTATAAATAGGACCAGAGGAGTAGCTAACATGCTCAAAGTATGAAACGAATTAGTTCTTTTTGGCCAACGAAATTAGAGTGACATACTTTGATCAACTATTCAATTCAGATAATAAGAGTAGTAAAACTTTACTCAAATAAACTTATAATAACGATCTAATTTTTCATTTTTATCTTTCAGGCATAAAATATTTTTATTCATATTTCAATTTATTTGAATGACTTACTCGTAAATAAATATCTATATCGGAAAACATATTAATATATGGATCATAATAAAATTTAATCTTATAACTATGAGTTAGAGTAATAAACCCTTGGGTTTGTTTACTACGAGATAGGGCAGGGGAGATCCTGTAAAGTGGAAGGCAAGGAAGGTTGATAAAACAGATGTGTCGTCTAAAGTATTACTACTTAACGTGCACAAAAGCCAAATGACAGTTTGGCCGAGTGGTCTAAGGCGCCAGATTTAGGCTCTGGTCCGAAAGGGCGTGGGTTCAAATCCCACAGCTGTCATCTGCTTTACTTTTATGTTTTGGGCTCTGGGCTCTCACTCCAATGGGCTTTGGAATGATGGTATTGGACAATCAATTTCTCTGACCCAACCTTTTTTTTGGGCCTGAATTATACTTCTTTTTAGCTCTTCAGACACGAAGTTTCGTTGTTTTGTGGCCGTCCTGCAATGTTACGTGACATGCAAGTGCCTGACAAAGAGGGTAATTGCAGTGGTTGATTATGTTGGTAGCAAACAAAAGATTGGTCTGGTCAAAAAAAAAAAAAAGCAAACAAAAGATAGGGAATATCTTACGCCCAAAAGGGGGGGGGGGAGATTGGGAATCTCAGGCAACAACGTATCGCATCAGGTATCGTTAAACTAATAATTCTGGCAAATGTAGCGGGAATGAGATACATTCTGCGTGCGTGAGGAGAACGGAGGAAGAAAGGATAACAAGCTGCAAAAGTTCACATGGCAGGCGTCACACCGCTAGCCTGGTTAACATCGACGTTGACTTTTTGGTTTTGAATAATAATTAATGAAGGCTGACACAGAAACTGGGGATTATCAATGCTGATTGCTCTGTCCAAACAAACAGCAGAGTGGCATGCTCCTCTGGTCTCGTTAAGGATGAGTTATGGCTTTGCGCATAGCTTAGGACTTCGCTCCTTCCCCACGGCAGAACTTGGGGGTCAAATGATTAAGGGGCAAAAAAGACACATCGTAAAAATCAAATAGATAGTGTCATCGCATAAGTCAGAGACATGATAGTCCATTGATAAAAATGCGTCTCCAGCAAAAGATCAAAAATTAACAACCGACCAAGAGAAACACTGCTAATGCGGTTCTAAAAACAACAGATGTAGTTTATCAAGCCTACAATTGTGACAATAAAATGAAGCTTTCTGGATCCCAAAATACATCAGCAATCCACTAACACCCAGGTTCCTTCTTCCAATTGTAAAAGTTTACTTGATCTTCTTCTTCGGCCTCAGCTGTAATTAAAGAAATAAAACAGCATATTCATCATTAGACGATACATAAAAAGCACGCCCTTTGAAAGATAAACACTGTCACACAGCTGACATACTCTAACCATAAGTCAAAATGGCATACCTGGTTGCTGTGTCCACACTTCTTCTTCCTGCAGTTGACGGCACGGGGGTGCAAACGAGCATAACACCTGCAAAACAAAATGTGATATGTCAGTAAAATCACACTCCTTCCTAGAATTGAACCATGATCTTATCATGAACAGCACTTGATGATTGTTAAATGTGAACGAGCGACCCAAATGAGCATACAAAAGCTGGGCAGTGCATAAAACTGTTGATTATATAGTAATTACTTTCGACCAAGCACACCCCCGGCCCTATTCTCCATTAAAAAAACTGACTTCATAACAGTCATAAATTCAACAAATATTTTTCTCGGGATAAACATAATTTATACGTTCAATTTGCAATATATCATTGATTTCAAAAAGTGCAGTCACAGTACACGATATTTATATCCAGAGAGTACGAATATGATAGTTAAGCTCATTAGTCAATTAAAGGATTACGCTGGGAAGGTCATCATAAACATACATCACAATCCGTAGCATGAGAACGACATTGGACACCGCCAAAATTAATTTCGCCGATCCTTAAAGTAAATACTGTAATTCAAAAGGCCTATAAAAGCTACACTGAATGAACTTACTTGCGACATATCATCTTGTCCTGATTATATTTCCTGGCCAATGCCATCAAAGATGGCTCGATAATACCACCACGAAGCCTCAAAACAAGATGCAAGGTCGACTCTGCAAAATAGAGGAACCGGTTAACTTAGAATCACAAATCAATCTGGATTTCCCTTATTTTTCTTCTCACTTCCTGGCAATAGCCCAAACAGTTATAGGAATATTGAAAGAAGATAAGAGAAAAGCATCCAAATTAGTAGACTAACCTTTCTGGATGTTATAATCGGCAAGAGTACGGCCATCCTCCAGTTGCTTCCCGGCAAAAATCAACCTTTGCTGGTCCGGTGGAATACCTGAACAACGACGTATAAGTCATGACCAGGAACCACTCATGAATAGAAAAAGAAAATCACAACCAATTGTATTCTTCAGGGGATATACGAAGAAACGCACCTTCCTTGTCCTGAATCTTAGCCTTCACATTATCAATGGTATCGCTGGACTCGACCTCGAGGGTGATGGTCTTCCCCGTTAAGGTTTTGACGAAGATCTGCATTTTCTTCGATTTTCCCTGTCACTTCTCTATCAACTTCCGCCGAACCGCTAATGACGTTTGGCTGCTCCTGCACACCAGTTTTTAGGTTAGGGTTTTTTGGGTTGACGGGGGGAAAAAAAAAAAGAAGGGAATTTCCAGACTATGCCTTGCTCCGCGTTTGGTAACGGGCATTAGCCGGTTAGGAGAGCCCTTTGGGCCCAATCATAATTTTTTGGAACTGAGATAGATAAATTGGAGAGATAGATGAATTTGGTTTTGTTTTGCCACTCCACGTTGAAACATAAACATGTCAATTTGCAACTCATATTCTAAATTTGAACGCATATTGTTTCACAAACTTATTTCATCCATACATCTAAATATAATGATTTTAATTATTCAGTTCTAAATATAAAATATATTTTGTAGTGTAAATTATATCATAAAATAAGTCTTATATTTATAGTCAGAAAAGTATAATTTTTTACTGGAAAAATATAATGATTTTATAATTAATTTTTAACATTTTACAGTAAAATATGACAGTTTACAACTTGTTTTTAATTTTAACACGGAATTTTTTTAAAAAAATTCCTGAACAATAAATTTCAAATAGTCATATCTCAGCGTAAAATTTTGAAAAATAGCTAAAATTTTCATAGCTTAAGGTGAATACTACGAAGCGAAATGAGTGTGATTTTTGTGATTGTAGCGACATAAATAATTTGTTTCAGTTAAGCCCTTAATATAAAAACTAGTTGACTAATTTGATTATATTAAAAAAATTTGTTAAGTTAGTTATTTGTAATAAATATGTATTATTTTTTTTCTAAAATATTCTTGTTAATCAAGTGTATTGTTTATAACTACTATTATCATAAGGACTATCTTAAAAAAAATGTGACAGACAAAATAGATTGATGTCTTATATTTAAGATCAAAATAAAAATTAAATAAGTTGTTGTATTAGTATCGTTTTGTCTGCCTGTCCCTTGAACTGCAGGGTATATAAACATTTTGGCTTTTTAGGCGGAGATGACGACTTTCGTTTGCTGCTCGGCAAAGAAGATTTGCTAACTTCTTTGCCGACACGAGTTTGATTTTTACTTTTAAGAATATAATGATGAACCAAACAATTTCAATCTGACGTTGTATCTTTTATCTCACAGTTCCTCTTAGAGGGTATTTAGATGGAAACCAAATCATATTTTCAGAAGTGTTTTTACGGTTTATGAAGTAAATACATAGAGGGTTCCCAAACACCCCTTAACTGAAATTTTCAATTTGTAGTTGTACATTATTGTTATTATTGAATCTAATTTTGATTCTCATTATTCAATTTTCACGCCGAAGACTGCATTATAAAGAAATGATTTGCTTCAAGTATTTTCTCAAGCACCGATACCTTGCTTGTGGGGGTAACAAAGTGATACAAGTAATAGTATAAATAGAGGCGAAGAAGAAGCAAACCACAACGCAGCACATCTTATAATTTCCATCAATCCTACGTAGCAAGAGTGGAAGTGTGAGACCAACATGGCCACCTCTGCCGCAGTCTCCGTCGCCTCCGGCTCCTGGTGCAATCCTCAAACCAGATCGGTGTCTAAGCCGCAGTCCCCACCCATGGCCTTCCTCTCTTCGCCTCAAATTGGCCACAAATCCCTCATTCGCCCTCTCAGGTCCAACAATGGCGTTTCTCCAGTGGGCCCCAGGCGAAATATGCCTGGACTGGTTGTGAAGGCATCCGTGGACGGTAACGTCGAGGTCTTCACTAAAGAGTATCTCGCAGTTTCTCTGGCCAAATACGTCGCCGATCTCTCCCAACAGTTTATCCAAGACAGAGGCTACTTCACCGTCGTCTTGTCTGGCAACTCTGTCAAGTATCTCAGGTCTGTCTCTTGCCCTGTCACGTGCATGTCTCTGTTCAATTCAATCTTCTAAGTTTCCCCAAAGCAAAGAAATTTTTTCGTGAAGTGACGCATTCTGAATTGACCAAATTTCAGGAAACTGGTGGAGCCTCCGTATGTGAATACAATCCCATGGTCCAAGTGGCAAATTTTCTGGGTGGACGAGAGGGTGGTGCCCAAGACTCACGTTGACAGCAACTACAAGCTTGCTTATGATGGATTCATCTCCAAGGTATGTTATATAATTTTGTTATTGGATCTTAGAATAAAATAAGTAGATTAATATGCTTGTTTTTAATTTGCAGCTTATACACTGTGTCATGATGACATGAAAACTTGTGTTGACAGGTGCCAATTCCACCTTATAATGTGTACTCCATTGATGACGCTCTTCCGGCAGAAGGAGTAGCAGACGTGTACGAGACAACGCTGCGGCGTTTGGTGGCGGGGAACGTGATAGCATCGTCAACGCAGACTAAATTCCCGAAGTTTGATCTGATATTGCTGGACATGGGGCCTGATGGGCAAGTGGGTGCTCTGTTTCCAAATCACCCGGTGGTGAACGAGAGCACGAAGTGGGTGACCTACGTGAAGGACGCCCCAAAACCACCGCCGGAGAGGATAACCTTGACGTTGCCGGTGATCAATTCAGCTTCCAACATAGCCATGGTGGTCACCGGGGCTGGCAAGGCGGATGCGGTTTACACGGCGATCGAGAAAGAGGAGACTTATCCAAAGCTTCCAGTTCAGATGGTGTCGCCGGAGGGAGAGCTCAAGTGGTTCTTGGACAAGGGTGCTGCCTCAAAGCTGTACAAGTAGAATGTTCATGGAGATGCAGGACCTTTTACCTATGGCCTTCCGATACGAGTGTGCGCGCTGCTTTCTTTATGTTCGACTCCAAGCAAGTGTGAAACAATGAGATTTTTTTTTTTTTAAACCTATGATTAGTGCAAGTGGATCCCGGATAATTTCAACCTACACAAGCGATAACGAATAAAATTATGATTTCTTAATTACCATCTAATACTGTTATATCTGTATCTTCTTTCCCCCCCCCCCCCCCCGCGGAGTTGAATGATTGGAGTCAACAGACTCAGTTTCACCGTTGATATCCTGAGAAAGTTTGAATCTTGCGATATATAAATGGACGCTTTTAAATCCACCCAAAAAAAAAAAAAAAAGGAAAAAGAGATAGAAGCCGGAAAATCTTATATAATTATAATTGGCGCGATTTTTATTGACATTTCTTTCATTTCCAACATATGATAGACATTTGCATTCTGCATGAACAAATGGGACTAAAAAAACTAGTATAGAGGGAAAAACAAATAAAATTCAATTAGCACGCGTAGATCATATAACGACAGGATAAAAACCCATGATTATTTTCCGAGTAAAAATACTTTTATTTCTAAACAGGAAATAAAATTAATGATACTATTAAATAATAAAAATATCATGTCTTATATTTAAGATAATGATTTTCACCTTGCTGGGTAAATAAGTTCAATGAGATTATGCCATGTTTGGAAACGCAGAAACCGTGTCTCCAAATTCCAATGCGCCCTGTCAGACGCATGCCTATATATATCGATACATAATTCTGTTTGACTTGGTCCTTTGATAACCCATGAGAAGAAGCCTTTATATCTCATAGTTTCTCTGAAAGAGTGATGAATCTCGATCTCTCATCCTGAGTAAACTAGCGATCTCAGCTTCTGAATTTCATCTCTTAATGGAAACCTGCACGAATAACTTGTAGCTCTGCAGTTGTTGGAGATCCAGTCCCAAGTCTTTGCTGAAAACCGCTGATCCAGCTTCCTTTATCATCCTCAAGTCCGGTTTGATGTCACAATAGAAATGACTTATAAACATATTTTATGTAAATCGAGATAAAACTCTTATAATATATTTACTCTGTACTTCGTAAACTATGATTAAAAATTTATTTATAAGGCATTCCAAATAAGGCCTGAGATACTCTTCTATAAGCAATCAAAAGTTATATAAATATACAATTTTATAATTTACTTGATCTAAGAAATAACCCCTCCTAATACAGAGTGAAAGAACTCTTGACCACATGAATATATAATGTAAATAGGGGGTCCTCCTATGATAAAGAAGTAAAAAGATTTTTTTTTATAAGTTACATGATTAAATTTTTTTATATGAATATATAATTTTTATTATTTATTTATTATTGTATTTATTGGTATTTTTTTAAAATATATTAAATACTAATAAAATTAAAAAGTTATTAAATTTTATGATATTGTTAGTATGTTTTTTATTCCAATAAAATATGATGATAATTACAACAGGATATCCGTAAAAGTAGACAAAGGCAAGGCGAATATCATAGAGACTTGGCTCAAATCTAAATGCAGATATGTTTCAACATTTTTAAAAGGCAATGAATAGAAGCTTTTGGGTCTTTATTTAGTCTGCAAGGTAAGGTTTTAACTAAAGCATGAATGGATCTGTGCGTACGTGAATAACATGTTCTTGCTTTCTTTCTTTCTTTTTTTTGAAAAAAAAAACATGTTCTTGCCTCCATGGCTGGCAAAAGTATCCAAATTTGTGCTTTGCTTCTAAGACCAACATAAGAATCGAAACACCCGAAATAAATACGAGTAACGAGCATCCAAATGAAACGCCTAGCCTTCGTAAGAGTGAAATCACCCCGTAACAATGGCATTCTCCGCAACTTTCAGCAGTCCGCAGAGCAGCCTATTGTGTGCTCAGAAGAAGGTAAATCCCGTATCCCCGACGACGTCGTTGCTTCCCAACCAACTTGCTCATCAGAAGCTCCTTTATCAACCTCTGAGGTATGATAAAGGGGTTGCTGCAATTAGGGTGAGGCAAAAGAGATTCTCCAGCCCAATAACGGCGTCGTTGAAGTGGGAGAAAGGGTATACCAATGTGGAGGTGTTTACAAAGGATCACCTTGCCGTCTCTTTGGCTTACGATGTTGCTCAGCTCTCCAGTAAGTATATCAAAGAAAGAGGCGCTTTCACCGTCGCTTTGTCCGGCGGCTCTCTGATCAAGTACCTCAGGCGAGTCATCACTCCGTGATCCTCTTCAATTCATGTTATTGGTGCAAAATGCCCATCATGTACAGAGACGTTTCGTTAACCGTAACTGTCAGGGTCTTACTTGATTATTTTATTGGATGTTGAATAGAAATATATATAAGTGAATTTCAGTCTTTATTAAAAAGAAATATATATGAGCGCAAGTATGTATGTATCCGCATAAAATTTTTTTACACTGCATGCTATATCTATTCAAGTTGGAATTTCAGGAAATTGGTTGAAGCTCCGTTTGCGGAATCCATTGAGTGGTCCAAGTGGCATGTGTTTTGGGTGGATGAGAGAGTGGTACCCAAGACTCACTTAGAAAGTAACTACAAGCTTGCTTACGATGGATTCATCTCCAAGGTAGAGAGTATATACATATGTACCTGTGGTTTTCACAGGCTTTAATTTGATAATTTTTGCTGGATTTAATTGAAACCTGTGGTGTTGGGAGGTGCCAATTCCTGGGACGCAAGTTTACGCCATCGATGACGCCCTGCCACCGGACGGAGCAGCGGATGTTTGCGAGACAAATCTTCGACGATTGGTGAAGAGCAACGTGTTAGCTTCGTCGGAGGAGGGGATTCCGAGGTTTGACCTGATACTGCTGGGCATGGGCCCCGATGGCCACGTGGCGTCTCTGTTCCCGGGGCACCGTCTTCTGAGGGAGGATCAGAAATGGGTGTCCTACCTCACCGACTCCCCAAAACCACCGCCGGAGAGAATCACTTACACGCTGCCCGTCATCAATTCTGCGTCGAACATATCCATTGTGGTGGCGGGCGCCGGCAAGGCGAGCGCCGTTCGGATTGCGCTGGAGGATGATGAGGAGAAGCCGGACAAGCTGCCCGTTCAATTGGTGTCACCGAGAAGAGGGGAGATCAAGTGGTATCTGGACAAAGGAGCTGCTTCCAAGCTCTTCAAGGAGTAGGACCCACGTGTCATCTCATTTGCTGCCCACGCCTCAGCTTCAATATATCCGAATAATCAGCAAGCATATATGCAGCCATAATTAGGATCATGTACTGTTGCATCACTCATCTTGGACGTAGCTGGGTGCCCTTTTTCTCATCAATTTACAAAAACTTGCTGCTGGTCGGGTCAATAACTAACGCCGGTCTTGGTTTAATTTCAACGCAGATGAGATCTATAGCACCCTCCTTATTCGCAAACTGACAAATCATACACATACATTAAACATTATGTTTTCAATAAACTACCAGCACATATTTGAGAATATAGGAGATTCTTGCTTGACAGGATCTTCTGGTGTCGGCGTGTTTCAATTTTTCTTTAAAAAAAAAAAAAAAGAGGAAGAAGAAGAAGAAAAATAATAAAAGAGGACGGCCTCTACATATATACCGGCTTTAGCGGCCATATAATTAAGTTGTGGAGTTTGATATAAGTGGAGTGTTACATGTGAATTAGGATAGGAAGAATTACAATCAAGTCCCACATAAGAGAAATAATTATTAAAAAGTTCTAATAACAATCTCAACAACCTATAATGACAAGTCTTACAGTAAAAATAACAATTTCTAAGACTTGTTTTTTAATTATTTTTTTTGTTTGGGATTTCATTATAATTCTCCCGTTAGTATATGTAAGGCACGGGTAACCGCAGGGTTCTTTCCTTTTAACAAGAGCCCCGTCACTGGAGCCGATGAAACCCAACGACGGCATTAACTGCAGAGTTCGACTTCAAGCGAGCTTGGTCTGCCATTATTCTTAATCATATTAACTCTCATGTATGGGCCCTGTTTGTTCTATTCCTTTTTTCCTTTTCAAAGGAGGGCTGTCGTGTAAGTTTGGACAGAGTACGCGAACTAACATGATGGGGGAGAAGCTTCTGTTTCAATCGGATGTCGACGATCCATTTATTTCTTGGGAACTTGAATGATACTTCTAAAATCGAGAAGAAATTATAGTCTAAAGTTAAGAGGAGATAGAAGGAAATATATGAGGAGAGAAATAAACAGACATGGGTCACGTTAGGGTACCGGCCTTCTCTGAACCGGTTTGGAGGGATAAAATATTATGGAGAATACAAGAGCTGGGCATTGGGTGCATGCATGCTCTATGTGGGGCCAAATTGACCGTCTTTTGCGGTTTCGATGCCTTACTTGAAAACCACTCCAAAGAACATCCACTCCCAATCAAGAAATTGAGGGGAATGCATTGCACTTTACTGTTTGCCTCGTCTTTCATACTTTTGTAGTTATACACTGATCGATCTCTTTTTGCGGGTGTGTTATGTTATTTAGGTGACTTTGGCTTCTGTGTCATTTTCCTCTTCCCTGTTAAGCACACCGTGGCTCCGCAACCTACGTTGGCCCATCTCCTCCAATTAGTGGCTTATCTGATGTAGGGGCACAGCAGGATCCTTTTTGTTACTTAAAATGGGTACTGTCTTCCCCTGTTTACAATTCATTATTGTTAACAATACTGGGAATGATTACTACTAGTAAAAAAAAGTTCTCCAGTATTAAGAGAGCTTAATTCTTTGCCCTTTAACTGTGTTATAAAATAGAATGAATAGACTAACCATGTTGCTCGTTGAGAGTGAATAAATTAACTTTGCAGCTCAAAGCTAGAAAAATGACATGGACAAGATAATAAATTACTATACACAAGACTCTTGTAATAATTTTTAATTCAAGACTCGAAAGTTTAGAAAGTTTATATATATAAAATATAATCCAATTAATATTCAAAAGGCTTGAGCAGGGCGAGTACCAATCATCAATTGTTAGAATTGGTAAAGCGGGCCAAAAGAAACATTTCATCATAAGCAGATTTGACGGCAATCACTCGACATTATTGAGGCGGTTCTTTAGAATAACACGGCATGGTGATGGTGGTTTTGTCCAATTGTCCCATAGAAGACACAGCTCTCTTTGGATCCATTGTTCATTCTCTCTGATATCTCTTTCATCATTGTGATAGATCATGACAAGGACCTAAATTGCATGAAATATGCAAAAAGTTCAACACATGGGCCTTACTCAGACCATTGTTTTAATGTCTTTGCAACTCTCTCTCTCTCTCTCTGTGTTAATCCTTTTGTAATCTATTTCAATAAAGGTATCTACCTTGCATGCTAACGCCTATGCCCGACTCAACTGGTGTGCTTTTTCTGAAGGATCGCTGTACTAGCTGGAAGCAGGTTGGTAAATTAATACCCTGTCTAAAGATTTGTGTATAGAGAAAAGTAATTCATGCTATACCTAAAGCTGCCTCTTCATGATGATGACTCTGGTGAACAGTTGAAGGGTTTGGATCAATCCAAACGAAAGTGCTGAATCAATGCAACCTATGCACATAATATGTTTGATAAAATGTACGAACCAATGTTCATATGTCGCCGTTGTCGGATCTTAAAGTGGCAGTTGATGTGAAAGCCAAGCACCACACCTCCCTTGTCTTTAATTTCTCTCTAATTGAGAAACTGAAGTCGCTGAAAAGTGAAGAGTGTTTCCATGGGAGCCCACAAGAATATGAACGACAAAAATATATCCACATCCTCTCCAGTAACCTGTCCACTTTTTAGGGATGAGAATGGAGATCACTAATAGTACTTCCCTCTATGGCATATGCAAAGAGCTTAAATTAAACCAAGAGAACATTAGTTGACCCAAAAAAAAAAAAAGAATCATTCGCATACAGACGATGATATAACAGCATGTTGCCGTCGGATCAAAGACAAGATAGATGACACTGCATGTGAGGGGCTTTCCAGCGCGAGTTCCACTTTTCTACCATTAGCATTATTCTTTCTCTGTTTTCAAAACCATTGCGCCTGTTTTTGTTGACTGATACTTTTAGATATCTGCCTACACAAGGCCGGGTGGGGTCAGTTGTTCGTTTGCTGTTAGCGGTTATCAACACAGCAGCGTTGAGGTTCTCTTTAAGTTAATTTATCTTTTCTTAATTAATTTAATCAACAAGATTAATGTGTTGGCGGTTCAAAGAATCTCACCGAGTCATTTTTGGGAAAGCCTAAAAAATCCTCGTATAAATTGAAGAATTTGAGATCTGGATTAATCTTTTAATTATATCTAATTGCGTTACCGTCTGCAGCATCTTGCAGAAGCGGATTGAAGCCGGATTAGAAAAGACGGAACTTGCAATTTTCTTTATGTAGGTTAAAGTTCCATGTTGACTGAAAATATGCAATGTTAGGCAATTGGCTTTCTCATTACTGTCTCGCCATAATGGAGTGATCAATCCATTTTGACTGTATTTTTACCTTCTACTGGTTAGGATTGGTGTCAACAAGCAAATGTCTTAAAAAGGTGTTTGGAAGCATTCACAAGTGTTTCTTACAAGTATTTTTTCACAAAACAAGACAAATTCCTCTACATATTTACTTCGTAAACTGTAAAATCACTTTTAAAATCATAATTTTGATTCCATCTAAACATCTCCTAAATGCTACCACGAGTAATTAACCGATAAGTTTTTATACGGGAAGAAAATGCCTACGCATATGTAGACAAAATAGATTCAAACTAGGCTTAAATGAACTTGGACCCTCACAGGCACAGTTGGTTGGATTTTTCCCTCTTCTATTTTTCTAGAAGTTGGGAAAATGATCGACCTAGCGGCGTTAGATTGACCATTGACCTGGTACGCGTGTCACTTATAATTAGGATTCATAGTTCATACTGCCTAACACATGACAGAAATATCTCCAAAAACTTATAATATTTGTAGTGGCACTCCCGTTTCACACTGATTAAATCAAAGCGAAGGAACCGAAATTCTAGTTTTGGACTTTTATTTATTTAATTTTTTTAACCACTGAACTCTAAGTCCTGTTCTCCGAAATGATATTTACAGCATGTCTACGTCCACAGCCACATGACCGGTAATTTATGCAATACTTAAATCTTGCCTGACCAAGTAATATCGTTAATAACTAATTATTATGGAGTAATTTAAAGCAGCGCAGACCATATGCTTCTCTTTTAAATCCCTCTGTATGCCTGCGAATTAACTATCAGTACTCGAATTTATCTCGTTCTCACTTCTCAGCAATGTGAACATTGGGATTTGACTTTTAAGTGGCAGGTGGCTCCTCCCAATCTCCCGCAACATCTCCCCTTTGTTTTTGGGAGCCTGAATAAACAGTGGTATGCTCTATTACCTCACGGAACATATTGATTAAGATCTCACGTAATAATTATTATATATTATTATCATCTGCGGATGAGTATTTCAGTGTTCTTATGAGATCCTGTTAATTTACTTTAAAAAAAATTACATGTGGACTGGTGCTCGGAATTTGTTACGAACACATCACAAATCATATACTACTCTAGTGCTTTTTAATTGTTATTTGTAGTAGTTTCTCGCATATCAAGAAGAGCATTAGATACATAAAATCTTTTATTTTTATTCTTATTAAATAGTAAGTATATATATTTTTACTCATTTTCATTTTTTTCATTTTTACATTTGTTTCCTTCAATTAATAAGGGTGGAATTAGAAATGAAGCACTAAAAAAAGTACAAGTAACAAATAAAAAAGATCAAAATCTCTTCTTCTGAGTAACAATTAAAAAGGACCAAAATGGTATACAAAAGTGGGGAGGAAAGACGCAAAATGTTTAGGCACATGCTCACGTCCAAATTCACGTAATAATACAATTCTTCCTTGGTGTGATCCCGAATTTCCTCATTCCTTTTATAGTAATATCAAATTATAAAACAATTGAGTGTGTGTGTGTGTGTAGTGACGGACGGTGCATTGTATGGAATATGATTACTCTCAATTGTGACCCCATTCCAATCTCAACTCCTTCACATTTTAATGGTATAGATTATTCTGTGTTTTTGAAAACTGCTACCCGTAAAATAATCACATGCTCAATAATCACCTCCAAAATTATTTATTGAAACTCGATGTAAATCTTATGCAGCCAGTTCATTGACTAAAACATTTAAAATTGATGGGTTATATTTTAGTGTAGATTCACTTTCTAATTCCAAATTATTCCATATCATCGATTTTAAAGACCATAAATGTGAAGATAATTTATCTGTATATTTATTTTTTTTGTTTGGGGGGGGGGGATCCGTGGACAACCGCTCAGTGCACATTATAAATGGAAGAGAGCGGCCATTGGGCGGTTTAGTGAATAGATTAGTTATTTGATGTGGGGGACGAGCGACGTCGTATAAGTCAGGTGAACAAGTAACTAAGACTCTGTTTGGTTGGAGGGTTTTTGGGGAGAGGGGAGGGGAGATAAGTGTGTTTGGTTGGAAAAAATAGAAGGGAGGGGAGGGAAGAAATTTGTCTTTTACGCTATGTTTGGTACGGGGTTTTCGGAGGGGAGGGGAGGGAAGTTGCTCCCCTCTCCTTGTTTGGCTGGTATAATTTTTTAGGAGGGGAGGGGAGGAGCTCCCCTCCCCTCGTTTGGTTAAGATGTTTTTTAAAGAGGTGAGGGGTTCTCCTCTCAAAAGTGGGGTTTTTTGGAGGGGAGGTAAGAGATTATATTTTAATTCCTTATATGCCCTTTCGATTTGTTAACCTCTAATCAATCATAAACATTTCTACATAATAGAGTTCTTTTGAGCATCTAATAAGAGGTTATTAAGATAATTATCTCCAAAATTAGTGAGCATTTGTAAACTTTTTTTCTCTTCTTCTAATTCTAAGAGGCCGTTGGTATTTTCTTTCACCTTCAAGGTCTTTTATCTGATTGAAATCTATCACTTGTGACTTTTTGTCTTGATATTCTATAAGTGTGTGACTGTATCTTGTAAATCAAAATTAGTGAATTGTATTATATATATAGTTATATCTTAACAAAATAAAAAGTGAGAAAATTCATTTAAATTTTATGAGGCTAAAATAGTCAATTTTTTTAGAACAAAATAAGGTATTATTAAAATTGCTCCCTCCCCTCCCCTCCAATCAATCCAAACAGGAGATCATTAAAATCCCTCCCTCCCCTCCCCCTCCCTCCCCTCCCCTTTCCTTTGTAGCTACCCTCCCCTTTCCTCCCCTCCCCTTCCCTTGATTAAAATCCCTCCCCTCCCCTTCCCTCCGTCAAGCCAAACATAGCGTTAGTGCTCCCCTCCCATCCAAATTTGGGGTTTTTTGGAGGGGAGAGAAATATTATGTCTAATATTGATCAAATTATCTATACTAACATTTTAATATTCGAAATTTGTCTGTCTTATTAAAAATCTTTTTTTTCACTTTTTTTTCTTTTTAGCCACTAATAATATTTGATAATTATAATATTATAATATATGCATATTATATATATTAATATATACATATCATAACATGTGTGTATTATAATTATATATCATAGCGTGTGTATTATAATTTCAGATAACATCCATATATATTAATATATACATATCATAACATAATGTGCGGTTATAATTATATAATATATACATATCATATATATTAATACATATATTTATAAAATTAATGAGATAGAATATTAAATTTTTTATCATATTTTCTAATTTTTTTAGTTTTATCATTTTTTATCACATGTAAATGAGGTAATTGTTTTTTTTTAAATTGATAAATTAAGAAATAATAATTTTGACATAAATATTGTAATAAAAAAATAAATTAGTCTAAATATAGAGATAAAGACATATTTATCAATTTATAATTACCTCCCTTTTCCTCCTCTTATGAACCAAATAAGAAATTTCTCTTCCTCTCCTGTCCCCTCTAACCAAACAAAACCATAACCTCTTTTTCCCTCCCCTCCCTTCCCCTTCTTTAATTAACCTCCTCTCCCCTCCGTTGAACCAAACAAAGCCTAAGGGCAAGGCACATGGCAAAGCTCTACAAATGCTGGAAATCTGGGCCAATCTTCTAATTCAGTGCTTTCCCAGTTTCCCTCATCCTCTCTGCGCTGGGAGCGACCAACATTTCTTCCTCTTCTTTCACAGAATCAAAGTGGGAGAGCACAAGGAACCACAATCAATTGGCTTTAAGGTTTGTTTCTCAACAAACAATAAAAGGGGAAGAAAATTCCACTGGCTAAAGACGAAGAATAAGACGAACGACGAGGAGTAAGACGGGCACTCTAGTAATTTTGATCTCCTCCTCCTCCTCCATGTTCGCATCCGCTCATTTGAACACCAACAGCGACGCTCCCATCATTTCCGTCGGCGGCGGCCGCAGTTTCTGGTTAATGGCAGTGCCTACCACGACCTCCACCTCGGCGGTGGTGGTCACGGCCTTGGCTGGGGTGGCTCTCATCGCTGTGATTTTCTACGGTGCCAGTAGGTAAAAACCCGATGAACTGAAAATGACAGCATTAGAGCGTCCAAAAACCCTAGACGCGTTCAGTCAGACATAGATGATATTGTTTTCCGTTACGATTTTGTTGCACTAGAAAGTTCTGTATATAAGGAATATATAGATGAATCCCCTTAGAAGAAGTCTCAATTCATCTTCGTCGCCTTCAAATTCCTCTCCTTCTTCATCGTCGTCGCCATCATCATCTTCCTCGTGGATCCATTTGCGTTCGGTTCTATTTGTTGTTAGTTCCTCCTCACCAGCTTCTTCTTGTTCACCCTCTGATCGGTGAGTTCTTCTCTCCTCTTGCTCTCGCATTTTTCCTATTTCGAAGACTAAGATTTGTTTGACCTTAGATTTCTATGTAGTTTCTGTTTGTTCCGGGACAGATCTCCATCTAAGTATTCCAAACCTTAGTAGCCCCATCAGCCTAGCTGAATCAGCATGCATCTACCGTTGCTTCGATTTCCATATTCTTAGTATTCTGTCTTTGCCCTGCAGCATTACCATCTAACCCTTACTCTCTCATAGATGATGCTGTGGTCTGCTGGTCTTATTCAGATATAATTGCTTGTCAGATTCATTTTTCATTCTAAGTGCATAATGAGAAAAAGGAGAGAAAGAGAGAGGGACATGGAGAAAGATATTTCTGTTGGCTGTGTTCCGTAGAAAATTTGAGTTGGAGCCTTTCTTCTCTCCTTTAGTTTCATAGCCTACCCCCATCGCTCTTGTCAAATCTTATGGCTTGTGTAAGAATTAGCCGTTGGGATAGTGTTGTTGAATGTCTTGGACACATTTTAACTTCATTATGGGAACTATAGTGATGGCCTGTCAAGTGGTATGGGGCGTTCAGGATGCTAGATTGTGGGCCTTATTAGCAAGCAAACATACGGTGGATGTTGATATTCAGTTTAAGAATCCCAATTTTATAGCTTTTCGTCTACTTATATTCTCATGTTGGAAACTCCCATCTTGATTTCTGAAGTCTAGTTAGGTGGCTTAAAATTGAGGTCGGACAAGACACAGAGAAACAATTTGTTATTGAACGCAGTACTGAATTGCACTTCTACATGGGGCTTCAACAGGCTATTCTGATCGACAATCGTTAATTTGGCTAACACTATTTCAGTTTTAACTTTTGTAGATTGAGCGCATCTGGTTTTACACGCGAAGTGCTATAGCACTTTGGAAGTAGGAATAAAGTATTTTACAAAATCATGAAACATCTGATATTTATCATTGTGTAATGCTCATTACTTTTAACATGGAAGGAAGAAGAGATTTTCGTTTATGCTTTCTCATTCTTCTGATTTTTTTTTTTTTATTCCTATCATTTTTGGCTATTATTGTCTATTTTCAAGCTCCCTCATGCGCATGGCAGGAAGTAATGAATAATTGTTTCTTGGAAATTTTCAGCGGTCGCCTCAAATCACCATGGTCACGCAGGAAAAGAAAACATGCACTTTCACCACAGCAGTGGAAAAGCTTGTTTACGCAAGATGGAAGACTCCGTGATGGTGGAGCTAAGTTCTTGAAAAGAGTTCGCAGTGGAGTAAGTTTACTTTTTTGTCTATCATTGTATCTACACAAGATGCACTTGACCTTGAAGCTATGATTCTCATGTTTCTGTTTCACCATTTGGAATTAATTACGATGGTTTTGCAGGGTGTTGATCCCACTATTAGGGCTGAAGTTTGGCCATTTCTACTTGGAGTGTAAGTATGCTTTCTTCCTAGTTCCCTTCCTGATAGCTATCACTGCATCTGTACTTGTATGCTTGAAATCGATCATACATTTTTGTTACATAGCTGCTCAATTTTGGTGCTTTTCTCCATATTGCATGTTTGGGAGGACATCGATTATTCTTTCCCTAGATTTGGATTACTGGAGTCTTTATTCTCTATTTCATATTCTTTTCTAAATGAATTAATTTGATTAGACAAACTTCATTATGGGTGGTGATTGTTTATTCATTTAAACAGCTATGACTTGGACAGCACCAAAGAAGAAAGAGATGTTATAACAAGTCAAAATAGGTAGGTGTACAAATCTGATATCTAAATGTGTTATATGATTCTTTCTTGCTTGGTTGTGTGGGCTTCTCTGCTCTCAGAGCTCATTTTGTTATCTTCTTGTCCCAGCTAATTATGTGTAGTATTAATTCCAAACCTTTTAAACGCAGAAATGAATATCAAAAGATCCGCAGGCGATGCCAGAAGTTCCTAAATCAGAATAATGGGAGCTTCAAGGTAAATGAAACTGGTGGAGTCAGCAGTGAAGGAGATAGTGGGGTTGTCATTCATGACTCTGCCTCTCTTAGTTCTGAGGATGTTGTTAGTGCAAGGGAATCCCTTTCTAGTGAGGAGAAGAGCCCTGATGTTGAGTTCTCAGATGATCGATCCAGTGCATTGGTTGACAGAGATGATGTTGCCACTATCAACAATGCTGGTGCCTCTACACTGGATACTGATTCATCTTATTCAGATTCATCAGAAGGTCCTGAAGTAATTCAGAATTTCCCCTCTGGGCCTTGTCAAGAGGAGAATGATCCCAAGATAGTTTCCAAGAAGGATTCTTCACCCCAAACGGAAGTCTCATCAAAACTTAAAAGTAAGGAAGATTTTGCGACATGGCAGCGTATCATTAGACTTGATGCAGTGCGTGCTAATGCAGAATGGATGCCTTACTCCCCCTCTCAGGCTGTGGTTTCGGAGAGTAGGGCACAACGATCTGCTGAGGCGGTAGGCTTGAAGGATTATGGTCACCTAGAGCCCTGCAGAGTATTCCACGCTGCTCGACTAGTTGCTATCCTTGAGGCATATGCGCTATATGACCCTGAGATTGGCTATTGTCAAGGCATGAGTGATCTGTTGTCTCCTATCATAACTGTTATATCTGAGGATCACATGGCTTTTTGGTGTTTTGTTGGATTCATGAAAAAGGCACGGCAGAATTTTAGGCTTGATGAGGTAGGTATAAGGAGGCAACTTAATATTGTTGCTAAAATTATCAAGTTCAAGGATTCCCACCTATATAGGCACTTGGAGAAACTCCAGGCTGGGGATTGTTTTTTTGTTTATCGGATGGTGGTGGTATTGTTCAGAAGGGAATTGACATTCGAACAGGCTCTTTGCCTCTGGGAAGTGATGTGGGCAGACCAAGCGGCAATCAGGGCAGGTATTGGGAAGTCTGCATGGAGCAGAATAAGGCAGCGTGCTCCCCCAACAGAGGATTTATTGCTTTATGCAATAGCAGCTTCAGTGTTGCAAAAGAGGAAATTGATTATTGAGAAATATAGCAGCATGGATGAGATCATCAGGGAATGCAATGGCATGGCAGGACAATTGGATGTTTGGAAACTGCTTGATGATGCACATAACTTGGTGGTAACCCTTCATGACAAAATAGAGACAACATTCCGGTGATTGCATTCGGATGATCATTAAAATGATTTACAATATTTTTTAAAGATCTTATTTATTTTAGTCTCTCTAGTAGGAAGAACAAAAAAAGAGCATTGCAAATGATTCAACTTTGAGCTTTGGTGCTTTATCTAGCCCTGGTTGCCGTTAATGAGCCAGTAGGGATGGAAGTTAGTTAGGTGTGTGTGTTTTCATCCTACTTTGCTCTTCATCTTAATTTTAACAACAACAAAAACCTTTAAAAGGTACTTTTATATAAATTGAAGTAATTCTTCTTAAATATTTACTTTGCATATTCTAAAATTATTATAAAAATTATATTTCATCATAAGTATCCAAAATAATGTGGTAGCAGCACATTAAGGTATTCTTTTCTCGTTTATTGTTCATGACGATACTTCCATGTTCAAACCTGGGAGATGTGAACCTCGAGATTCCGACAAGCGACGGACAAGACCAAATTGTTCAGTTGCAGAGAAAAAAATACGCGACTTCACGAAATCATTTTTGAAACGACTTGGTTGTACATTTTCTTCCAAAACAATCTGCCAGTAATTTTAAAACGGTTTGGTTTTGTTATATCTCTAGATTTTGTAAAGAGAGGAAACGGTTTTTTCATGTCAACGAAGATCACGATACCTTGCAGTCGCTGACTATCAATACGGCTGCGTACTAAAGACGGAAAACAATTACTAAATGAACAATCCAGTTCCAATGCCCATACAAGAGAGAAGCTAACCACAATTTTTAAACGGCTGAATGGAGACAGCAAACTAAACCTTCCCAAAGTTCAAATCAACGAAAAGGGTCTCTCTAATCTTTCTTGGTGTATTGTCGGACAGCGAAGGCTAACCCCAATATCAGGAGAGGGAGAAGGAACTGCAGAATCTTGATCACAAAATCATTGGTCTTGTCGGGATTGTAAGAAGGTTGCTGAGGTGGAAGGTACTTTCGCTTCTTGGGGATGGTTGTTGCATCAATCTCCCCAATACAGTATTTTGCCATCATTTCTCTAGCCGAATCACTGTGTCCCACATCTTCAAAATCGTTGGTTGCATCTTTTCCTGTCAATTGCAAAGTGGGCAACGATAAATAAATATGATAATCTTTGGCACATTCATCAACCGTCCGTAGATAATGCAATCGATGAGTATACCTGTGGAAGATAACAGAACATCATCACCTCCAGGATGATCTTCCATGAAAGGGGTGACATCATAGACCTAATATGATCAAACCATATAAAACATCTAAGGGATAGTTGTTTATCGTCATACAAGCAAAATAATCTATTTCACCCACCGCATATACAAGTAAAACATCTAAACGAGACAGTCGTGCCCTATCGGTTTGATGAGGTCTTTTTTATAGTCATGATCCATTAATTCGAGTTGGATTTGGTCCAAAATGAAAAAAAGATTTCCTAACAGTTTTTTTCCATTAACAACATTCAAACTCGAGATTTTTATGTAAAGGGTGTTGAGTATTGTCCCACTCAACCCAACGTCGTTTCACCCACTCGACGATTGTGTTCTTAGTACATGTCCTTAAGTAGCTTTTTAAAACATCTCAGATAACAGTAATCAAACAATGACGTTGACAACCAGAACAGAAAACTCCAGCCCATGATGGAAAAGTGAGATTCTAATGCAAGACATGTACGTGCATATCAAACTAGCATGTTCTGTAAGAGACAAATAATTGTAAGTCCACAACATATCATATTGACATGTTTCTATAAGGCAGCAAACTATGTTTTAGACTAATTCATACAATCACTTGAACTAAAGCCAAGAGTCCGGTGAAAGCTACTAAATAACACTACCTTCGCCTCCGGTCCTAATTATAAAACTTTATTTGACTTTTATTTTGATTTTAAATATGAGACCCCAATCTACTTTATCTCTCATATTTATCAATTTTTTTTCAAAATAGTCTTTGTAATAATAGTTGTAGCTAATACACCTGATTAGTAAGAATATTTTAGAAAAGATAACACATATTTATTACAAATAACTAACTTAACTAACTTCTTTAATCTACTCAAATTAATCAATCAGCTTTTATATTAAGGGCCGGAGGTAGTATCTATTATAACCTTTGATTAGCTAGGTACAAATAGAGACAGAATTTTATACCATAGACATTCATTTAAACTTGAAAAAAGGTGCTGCAGCTATGGTAAAGTTAATATTCTAAGGGAATCAATATCGGCACAAGAGCCTTATTTGTTAAGCATCTATTGCAGGCATGAGTCAGGGCATAGACAGAAGCCCACTTACAGTCAATTTTTTAACTATGAAATTGCAGTGGCAGATAAAAACACAGCGCAAATTTTACCAAATGAAATGAGAGATGTTATTTCAATCTAGAATACTGAACAAGAATGCCAAATGCAACATGTCGCAGGAAAAAGTGATCATTTCCATCCTATCTTGTCCAACCTACGAGCCAAAAAACTAAAGCTCGCATAATGTAGAAAGATAAATAAGTCAACAAGACATGCACGTCGTTCAAATATCATAGGATTAAACGCCACCACGTGAGACAAATGAAGTATTTTAAATCCCAATGTTGAGTTTTAGCTTAAAGAGAGGCAGCACTGAATCAAAATTTCAAACGATAACCAAATCTATCAAAGAAACAACCCTATGGCCAGCAGACGACCAGACGTGAAAGGAAATCAGAACTATATAAAAATATGGGATACATCAGACAACAAATAATTTAATATGTATATGTCCAAGCCATTCATTATGCGAAAATCTTCAAAAAAAGCAAATTGCAAGAATAATCGGCAACTACCAGACTGAACCCTGAGCTTCCGACCGTTTCTCACAGCGTTAATCAAATCAGAAAACAAACCATCATGGAAAACATCAAATGATAAGAAGAACTGACCTTCCCAGATATGATAAGCCAACAATCTTTGATCTGATTGTGCTTTGCCACTTCTTCGTACAGGAAAACTTTTTTCTCCGAAGCCATTTTTAACTCTGCCACCTGCCACAAAAATGAGATACATACATAGGAGCCGGTAAAGTCTTTAGTCACGTCAACAAAATTCCATTCGCGAAGAACGATGATAAAAAGGATCAAGAAAAGAGGGATCCCAAAAGGGGAATCACTAAAAGCAGAAGGTCGAAGCCGATCAACGAAAAACCTCGAAATTTTACCGAAATCAAATTAAACATTGAAATTTCTGTTAGAGGAGATTTGTGGTCAAAACTCTAGTTAAGAGCCTACCAGGGAGAAGGCTTTTCCCAGATTCGGAGCTTCCTTTCCCACGCCCGATTGCGATGTCAAATACTGCCACGCTCACGCTGTAATGTCGGGCCGGCCGCGCGTGGCTTTATTTATATGTGGTTCGATTTTGATTATCACAAAATACCCCTGAACATTTCTTTAAATTACCATATGAACCGTCGTCGTGATTCTGCCAGAAGGGTGGTTTTGTCATTAGAAGAGTTGCAAACTCGTTTCGGTAACATTGAATTCCACAAACAAAATTATTATTATTTCTATAGTTGGTAGGTGAGGAACTGAAAGGAAGGCAGTCTGGCACTTTCTAGAATGAGAGTGTTTTTATTGAATTTTTTAAGGAAATAATTATGTTGTAGTTATTGAAAATTGAAAATAATATAAAACCACGTTTAATAAATTCCGTTCTCTTGAGGACCACATATTATTGTAATTCATGCTTTTCGTTTGTATCGTCACAAAGAATGAACATTTTTAACATTAGCTATTGGTTCAATGATGTACATATGCGTAATATATATAAGTTTTATATTTTGTTATGAAACGTTATTTTTTCCCCTGAAATATATAGATAGAATCATGTTTCACTTCTTTTTTTTGGGATACAGGCGCAAAGAACAATTATGTTTTACTTTTTGGACGTTGCATTAAGTGAAATGCATTTTTTTTAACTAAAACATAAGTATTCTTTTATTGAAGACAATCTTATTCGAGATACTGTTGGACACTAAATGTGAGCTCCTTTTCTAACAGAAATTTAAACTTTGATTCGTCACATTATGAAGACTAATTCTTTCTGTTACATCCAACCCATTTGTACATTGTTGATTACAAAATAAAATAAAAAGAAATATGGACCACCCTTGACCCTTTAACTACCACAAAAAACAGTGGGCTGGTTACACCTACCCTCCGCGCTCAAATGTCTCAGCCCAAAGGTTTGGAAATGAACCAAGGGGCTCATTTCGAGGCATTTTGAATCTCACATGGATGTCATAGCCTCCTTTTTCTCTTTCTTCTCCAAGTAGTGCCATCTGTTGCAAATATACTTTGGCATTGGTACGTTCATATTAATGAAAGTAGGAAGAACTTGTATCAATTAATAAAATATTATTATTAAATTATAAATTTATAGTATTAAAAAAATAGGATTGAAAAGCTTGACATAATACACATAAAGAGCTTAATGTTATTAATACTCTTCCTCTTCTTAATATAGGACTCAATTATTAAGTTGGTTTTGTGTTAAATATAAAACCCATTTTTTATATTTATCATTTCTCTCTAAATTACTCCTATGATACTCTCTCAATCATAATTAAGTAGAAGAGGAAGAAGGGGTATTAAAAAAGATGATCATGGTATTTTAGGAAAAACGTGTTACATTTCTTATAATTAACTAACTTACTTACTTCCTAATCTAATCAAATTAGTTAAATGAGTATTATATTAAGGACCGAAAGAGTACTAATTAGTACTCTAAATTCTTCTCTTCTTCTTCTTTTTGCAAGAAGTCAGCTCATATTATTTTTTTTTATAATAAAGCAAAATGATCAAATTATGTTATCTAATTTCTTTGCTTTTGGAGATTAATTTTATGGTGGAATTCAACGTGATGGCCCAACTGTTGTGGTCACCGCGAATTGTGTGACTTGTCAATTTCCATAAACATTGTTTACTACTCCCTCCGTTCCTTATTATAAGAGACAAATAACCGAAGTACGTTGATCAAAAAAACAGTTAAAATTAGTTAAGAACAATTAATGTGTAAAAAGTATAATTTTTTTCCAAAAATACCCTCATTAATAAGGAGAGAGAGCATGAGAGAACAATTAAATTATTAAAAGAAAAAGAAGTGGGAGGGAGAGAGAGTGTGAGTTGGAGATAAATATGGGTAAATAGTAAATCAACAAAAAAAAGTAGAGACAACTTGTAAGTGTCTCTTATATATAGGAACATGCCATAAATATCAAATGTCTCTTATAACAAGGAACGGTCTTATATTAAAGACCGAAGGAGTATTATTTAATACCCTCCTCGTCCCAACCCGTCCTCATATCATATGCTTAAGCTGATTACTTTTTGGCCAAAAGCTTAAGTTGACTATTAAATTAATTAATTTGAGCGTAACGGACGGTTTATTTTTTATTTTTTATTTTTTTGCCTGAAGTAACGGACGGTTTAATTAAATATTTTTAAATCGGTTTAACAAACCTGAGTTTTCAAGTTAAATAACTTATGCAGCATACCATCACCCTTATCTTCGTTTTTCTTCAATAACTACATTCATTTATGCTTTTATTTCTGCTTTTAATTATTGCTACCTTCGGGAAAAATAGTTCTTCTTGTTTTAAAGGTTGATGTAATACAATTATTATCATTCCAATTATACTCTTATCTTTACTGACTTTTTTTTTTAATGCCAACCTTATCTTTACTGACTTTCATACGTAACAACGGAAGTAATCGTGAAAAATAAATAAATAAAATAAATTCAGATATATTGAAAATGAATTAAAAAAAAAGATGCTGACATAGTGACAGTTCTTTTTCCCATTAAAGGGAAGAGTGTAATGATTTTCAGAAAGTAGAACGTCGTGACGAATCATATGACAAATCTAATGTCCGGGGGGCACATAACCGAAAGCAGCACAGCTCCAAATTTTTAGGTTTTCCGATGAGACATCTGTTGTTGCGAAATTAATTAAACCGGAGCACAATATAGTTAACATTGCCTCTTCTCAATGATCGCGTTCAGCAGTTATATGAAATTTAATTATTGATTTCTCTTTAAAACCTCCATTATTGGATCTTTAGTTTTTTCCTCCTTAGTCTCTTGCTCACTCTCTGAAGCTTCAGACATCCCACAAAAATAAATAGATAACTAATTATAGTTCATTTGATTTGCTTTGCTGTTACAGTTTTATTGATATCCATCTACTTGGGCCATTTCAACCTGTCTACACATCATTCTAGATTCGCAATTGACTAAGAACTGAATCTCTATAAGCTAAATGCCATATGCAACGAAGGTCCAGGCAATTCCATCTCTTTCTAGCTAGAGGGCAAGAAGCTCATGCAGATTGGAGGACGAATCTTAAGCAAAGCAAGAATAGATGAAGGCAGAATCCACAGCCCATCTCCACAAATCAATCCAGAAGCAACTGCAGGGATCATCAACCCAGCTTCCCTGCTGTTTAGTGAGTGCCAAACATACACAACCAAACTGCCCACGCACATGTCTATTGCAAAGTAAGCCCCAACTAAAAATGGCACCGCCATTGCCATTGGAAGAGGAACCCATTTCCCAATATTTCTAGGGTTCAGATCTCTCACCAAGTTGGCTGCTATTGCAAACGCGAAAGCCCCGTAACACAGCTGCAAGCAATGATGGGGCAGGGCTGAAAAGCCTTGGACACCCAAGATTGCCATGTTTCTGTATACAAGGGCATATGGGGCCTTGTACTCACCATCTGGATTTCCCACATCAAAAGCCTTGTAGAAGAGGAAGAATGTGAGAGGAGCTACCACACATCCTATTGCCGTCCCTATAGCCTGTGTCAGAAGCATTGCACGAGGGGAAGTGAAGGTGAGATGGCCAGTCTTGAAATCATGCATCAAATCAGATGAGATGGAAACAATGGATTTAATCAGGCCACAACCCACAAGTCCAGCAACCACTCCATTCTCTTTGCCGGCCAAGGCTGCCAGCACAAATAGAGCCACTTTCCCATAGTTATAGGCCATGTTCATGTCGGTTAAGCCAGCACCATAGGCATTACAGAAGCTAAGAGAAGGTGCAAGCAGATAGGCCACCACTATGTAATACCACTTTAACTCTGGGAACATCAATGGGATTATAATGATAGAAACAATGGCGAACAATGTGTATCCTGCACATGCCAGCCAGATAGGAATGCTTTCTCTAATGAACACTTCATTCTGTCGAAGATCATCAAGGGGCATCCTCTGGTTGTCGGATGCTGCAGTCACAAAGAAATCAACTCATCGTTGAATGTTAACGTGATATTCGCACACATCATAGTCCACTGTTTATATTAGATCACCTTTGGTTGGCATGAAAAGGTCAATAACCATTAGTTGATTATGTGCACAAAAAATGTTTCTCGACATGGAATGCTTTACGACACAAAAAAAAAAAAAAAAGAAGACCAAGAGGCCATTTATTTACCTTCTTTAATGTTCCTCCTTTTCATTCTGAGAATGATATTTGCGGCGGTGAAATAAATTATTTTGAAGAAGTTGTAAAGCCCATCACCAAGGATCAAGGCAATGGAAATGAAAACCTGCAGCAAGTGAAGAGAGGGGACATAAGGCTTGAATCACAGGAAAATGTCATCTTTTTATAGTCATAAATTTCAGTTCACTTCAAGACCTTATAACCATTAAGACTCTTCATACTGCTTTCTGATAAATTTTTAGGAAACCACTCTCCTTTTAGTCCCCTGATCAACGGCCACATGATACCCCATGAAAGCACAGCACCAAGAAGCAAAGATAAGTTGACGAGATGCGAACAAATCATCCCAGCTCCAATGTAAGTCATACTAAAATCAAAGTAGAATCTGCAAAATCCAAACTTATTTTATCATTGACGGCCCTGCAAACTCTTTCATAAAGAAGACTAACACAGCAGAGGCAAGATGCAAACACTCACGAGTTACGCCAGGCTTTCAATCCAAATGTAGGAAACTGAACAAATCCACATTGATCTCCACCTGAATAGAACCACTGAAAGAGAGCCCAGAAAAAACTCAAAGAGAAGTATTTCATGAAACCATGTACCTGCTTCCTGCAAAAGAAGTCGAGCTAGGATCAGATCATAAATATCTTTCACCTTGATTAACTCGAAAATAAAACAAAAGAAAGCCTTACTTGGCCAGCTCATCCCTTTTAGTGGTATGGAAGCCGTTTATAAGAACAGCAGTGGCAGTTCCACTTGGATACATTAATTTGTAGTCTATTATCAATACCTGTTTGCATAAATTGCATAAACTTACAACCTGTGAATAAAAAAGGGTATTTGATTAAGTCGTGAAAGCTTAAGAGGAATTACTAATAAGAAACACCTTTCTAAGAGGAACCAAAGCCAAAAGCCCAACGAAGCTTGTCACAAAGAGAAAACCAGTCATCCAACCAATCCCAGGTTCCTTGGTGCTCCCAGGAGTATTCCCTTCGGTTTCGACCCCTACTTGTTCATAAGTCTTCCTGTTCAGACCCAAAAGGTAAGACCCAAAACCACCTGCAATTGGAGGAATAAAGTTCAGAACATTACTGATATTAAGGGGAATAGTTCTAATTAGACATTAAAAAAATCAGGAGGAAAAAAAAAAATCCACCTCCTACTGCGATGCTATAGCATGCCACAGCACAAGTCTGAATGATGGTATTCTCCTGTTTAGTGAATGGTGTTGAAACAATTTTAGCCTTTTCAAGCAGTTTAGCCCATGTTCGGATGAAGACAAAGCCAAGAAGAGCAGCTGATACGTTGAGATTGGGGACTAGCCCGGTTGTGAGATTCAACTTCATCACGATCACACTATAAATTATTCCAATGAGTATGCTAGCTATAAGCCCTCGAAGTGTGATCTGTCTTGTCCATGGTGCTATTCTACTCACATCCTCCGGAACTATTCGAACTCCTTCCATTTCTTCAGCGTTCAAATTCTCAATCTCTCTGCGTTCATCATTGTTCAGAGTACCCATTGGACTCTCCAAATAGTCTACTCTGAGTGAATCAATCATTGTAGTAGAGAAAAGAAAATGAGGAAAGTGATATAATCGGGAAGGGCGGGAATAAGTAAATAGTAAGCAGAACTCTCGAATCCTTCACTTCAAGATTTTACATTCAAACACTATCCAACCAAAAATGGGAAACTCGTAATTTTGAATCATATTGGATAATAAGGTAATGAGAAATAATGTTTGAGATGTATCTTAGATTGAATAACATTTTAGAAAGACATTAGCTCGGTTGTCCCACGGAAAAGCAGGAAAAAGGAATTAGCATCTGATTTAACAAGGAAAAAGTTCGGGAGAACAAAATCGCAGCATGAGTCAGTGATCAAATATATAACCCACCTAGCTTGCCGCAATTTCTTTTATGCTGACAGTAGATTTAAGCTTTTTGACAAACACCTAGGCTTCAGTTGTTGATGGAAAAAAATTCTCCACCACAAAAATGAAAAAGTGAGTTCATCAACTTCTCCAATCCAAGCATCTGATGCCTCCAAATGCCATGAGTAATTGTAAATAAGCAAATAGATGGCTTCTGGTATGCGACAGGGCAAAACCAGAAGGTGAACTGAAACTTGAAATCTGATCACCGGGAGCAGTTAAAAGGGACAAAAAAGTCGTGAGAATTCAAAATACCCACAGATGGGGTCTCAGAAATCGAATCAGGAATCAGCTGAAAGCAAGACTGAACTGGCAAGATTCGGGTCAAATCCTGACAGTTGTATCAACCATTGCAACAGACGGAAACCGAATGGACTCCTACAAGAACTAGAATGAGGTGGTACGACCAAAAAACCATGCTTTTTGTACCACACTTGTGCCCCGAGCAACTTTCCAGCCAAAGCCCCACAATTTGTTAAACATGTTCAAGTACAGTTACAGATCAAAAATCACACCCCTTTTGGTTTGGTTGACTCAGGGAGAGGAGAGATAAGAAGAGAGGTAGAGGGAGAAAGCAAGCAGGCGCTTGTTTTAATGTGGTTGGAAATAAAGGCCTTTCTTGGTCGAGTTCCCTTCCCTTCGAAGTTCGTCCTCTTTGGCCTAGCAAAGGCGTGTGGCCAGAACATGGCGCCATTAATATGAAAAGATCCAAAAGGTAAAAGAGTGATCACAAAGACACCTGAAAGGTCAACTGCGATAAATCGCGTAGGACACCGAAGGCAAGAGAATGAACGACACATAACGTGGGACTGCGAAGTTTGCATTAACGGCAAGCCGGTAACGGACATTATGGTGGTTTGGCTTAAATCCTCGACCTAGGACCAGCTCACTTTCTCTGCAAGGTTGACAATTTGACATATGCATCAAATTGTTGTTCATCAATGTGATGGTTTTATTTATGAAGCAGATCTGGTGAGTGGTGACTGAGATACTCTCTGTGGGTGTGTGTGATTTATTAAAATTTCCGTGCTTTATGATTTTGGTGGAATACAGCTTTCATTCACAAAAAAAAAAAAAACGCTCTATTAAAAAAAAAATTCCGTGCCTTATGAGGATGGGTATTTATAAGAGAGCGATTGGGGTTAATTAAGATGGTACACATTAACAAAATAGGATGCAATTAACGTTACTAAAAAGAATAATAGTGATGGAAACTGATTTACGGAAATAAACAAAAGGGTAATTATGGCATAAGTCAAGTGAGAGGCGATGTGATGGAATATGAATATTTATGACGGTGTGCCAACGAAGGAGTGAGAACGATGTTAGCTGATACCATCAGATTCTTTTCATGTTATTAACTCATTATAATATATTTTTCTTGCTCTTTACTGTTGATTGTTGACGGGCAATCCCCAGCAAATCTTGGAGGAATTTTTGTTTTAAGATAAATTTTTTCACATATTTATTTCGCAAAAATACTTGTAAAATTATAGTTTTGATTCTATCTAAATATTTACAATTTTTTTTGAAAAATACTATTTATGATTTTTTTTTTTTTCAAATCTAACGTTAAAAATATAACTTAAAAAAATGCATTAGCGGGTGGAAATTTTGCTACTTGATGGCTATAGATTGATGCCATTCCTATTGCAAACAAACTAGAGTTCACGCTCGGGTATCTACTTTTGTTCTAGCGTGTGTCGTGCATAGAGTTGATAGTGAATTAGTGACGCATATAATATTAATAATAAAGGTGAGGTCACTTCAATTGGTATATTCTCATGCAAGGCTGTGTAATCAGTATTACCAACTCTTATATTAATTGAAGTCACGGTGGCTTTTGCTCCTAAAGCAAGTGACGAGGTATTTGTGTATTAGCCAGACCCAGTAGGGGGAATCTAGTGTTTGTCTTAGCTTTCATACATATAATCAACAACAGTGAGAGCTCATTTTCGTCCAACGTGTTTTAACAGGAAGTAGTGACGCAGTAATTTTGGGCGGCTAAGCGCTAATGATGCTAATACTATGAACAGAAACTTGATTCTCTGACGTGCTGGATGTTTAAGACCGCAAAATATGTATTAACATATGCTGCTGCATTTGCTCTTGAAGGCTATAAAACCTAAGCAGAGGAACATACCGTTATACATGAGTTGCATTCTTAATGGAAGCCTGGCCTGTTCTGTTGACGAAATCTTTTACCAAAGACTTGTAGTTAACTAATAAGTTTCTCTTACAAGCCAGAAACACGCACACAAAACACACACAAATTAGCTGCTATTAATTTAGTTGCGTATCGTGTGGATCAGATTCATATAGGAGCGGCGAGTATTTGTGGCAAGAAACCTCTTTCAAATGGGGACTGACCTCTTCTGCTGCCAGAAAATAACGCAACACAGCACCGAAATGTCAGAGCACATATTATTTGGAGACTTGTGTATTACGTGCACGTAATTTCATCATTCATCATTCTATTTCAATCAAAATTATTCTTTTTGGATAAGCTTCTGCCTCTCTCTCTCTCTCTCTCTCTGTCGCCCTCTCTCTTAAAATTAAAGAAGAGTAATGACGGAATGTCGTCCTCTCACATCATTATTATTTAACTTCGTTGATGTAATTATCATTCGCTTCAATAATGATCGATTTCCACAGTTCAAATGTTTCTTATATGGTCTTTTTAATCATTTTTAATGTTTTATCAGTTCTTTTGTAAAAAGTAATGCATAAAACCGAAACAATCTTTCAAGGAAGAAAACTAAAAAAATCAAGATGGATAATGATGAAGTAAAAATAAAATCTAGGCTGTTAAATTAAAAATGGATAGCTAAATGAAGAAATTCGCATTTTCTTGTGGCGTAGTGTGAGGATGTGGGTGAGATGCTTTGGCTGGTTTTTGTGAACGGAGAAGTGAACAAGTAGTCGGAAAGCTGGGGGCATCCTGAAGAGATAACGCAAAGGCCGAAGCAGTTATTGAGTGAGAATGTGTTCGAGCGATGGAGCAGAGACAAAATGGTATTCTCTTGGTGCTCAGTGACATCCGTCCCCTCCTTTTAGTTGGATGAGATGTGATTCCCTCGGCATTTTTTTTCTCCCTTCCGCAATCATTATTCTGATCATCACGCTACCACCAGAATGTTTGAATAGAGCGAAACCCACTCCTCCCCACAAAAGAAGAGTCAATATCTAGATAGGGTTTCCTCCCCACTTGCCAGCCCAACCAATTAAACTGAAGGGGTACGGGATTTCTGATTATGACCCTTTTCAGCGACATGCATACGATCTTTTATCTTCATACATGTCATTACAAATTAAAAGAGGTGTTCACCGAATGTTGTTGAATATGACCACTTCCTTTACGACCCGGGAAAATAGACCAGCTTCCAATCCTCTTGCAAAGCCCCGAGCGATGGGTTTTGGAAACGGGCTTTTAGTTTTTTTAATCACCAATACATGATGGTCTTCTACCCATCCTACCCTTATTGGGCCTAGTCATCTGGATTGACTTAAAAGCCGCCGGTCTTCTGGGCGGAATCGCGGCCCTTTTCCTGGGTTTCACTTCAACCGTCTGAATGCAAGGCATCTCTCTCCCGGTTCTTTCCTGAAATGTAAGGAATCGAGAATTGCTCGCGTCTTTTCGCCATCACCCGGCTGGCCTCACTATGTCATCATTTTATTTTTAGGCATTCGCATTCTTTCGGAGCCGGAGTTTTAGTCCCGAGGCAAACGTGGGCTTCCAACGTCGAATGCTTCGTCCGATCACCGTAATAATTTGTTGTTGGACATAGACTGATGGCGGGTTCGTCCGAGACGAAGTTCGTCCAAGATTTGTTCTTGTACGCGGCCAGTGCGGCGCTCAGTTGCTTGGTTTTGTTCGCTGGGCTTCGACACCTCGACCCCAATCGTGAGACATCAAAGAAAGCTCTTCAACACAAGAAAGACATAGCAAAGCGTCTTGGTCGTCCTCTCATTCAAACAAACGCTTACGAGGTGCCGTTTCATTTTCTTAGATTTTCTGTTTTATGTTTGGCTTCTGCAGTGGACAATTGATAGAGTTTTGGTTTTGTGATTCAATATAGAAGAAACCAAAATCATGGGGTTTTGGAACTCTGCTCTTCTAGTTTGGATGAACTTCAAGTAGATAAAAATTGTGTAAATTTGCGTATGATAAATGCAAAATCTAATCTAAAATTGCCCCCTCTGCTGTGTACAGGATGTCATAGCCTGTGATGTTATTAATCCCGACCACATTGATGTGAAGTTTGACTCTATCGGGGGACTGCAAACGATCAAGCAAGCTTTGTTTGAGCTTGTTATCCTGCCGCTTAAACGACCTGAACTGTTTTCTCATGGCAAACTTCTTGGCCCACAAAAGGGAGTCCTCTTGTATGGACTCCCTGGTACTGGGAAAACCATGCTTGCTAAAGCTATTGCAAAGGAGTCTGGATCAGCTTTCATTAATGTAAAGATATCGAACCTGATGAGCAAATGGTTTGGTGATGCTCAGAAACTTGGTAATTGCTCATTATGTATACGTTTGTTGACAGTCTTCATGCTGCTTATTTTCTACTTGTTTATGAGCTTGGCATCAGATTATTGAAACTGTCATACTTTTTATGTGTTGTTGCTTATGAGTCAAATGTCATGGAGTCTTGTTTCTCTCATTGCTAAAAAATGCATAAGATGTGACTCATGGCAACCCGTAAGTTTTAGGAGACTATCATGATTAAATTTGACTAGAATAGTTCTGCTCAATGCTAGAACTATACTTTCATTTCCCTAACCTTGCGGTTATGATTAGATTCATTGTACTTACTTTTATAAGCTTTAGTTGCAGTGAAATGAGCTTATTTTCTCCATTTGGAGTGCGACTCTTTTATTTGTTTGATCATTGATATTCTGGTGTCTTTTTTTTTTTCTTGGGGTGGGGCAGTGGCTGCTGTATTTAGTCTGGCTTATAAGCTCCAGCCTGCTATCATATTCGTTGATGAAGTTGACAGCTTTTTGGGTCAGCGTAGTACAACAGATCATGAGGCAATGTCAAACATGAAAACTGAGTTCATGACTTTATGGGATGGATTTACCACCGATGGTAAGTTTGCAAGCATATCATGTAATTTTCTCAAGGACTAAACATTAAAACTAAGTTGAAGCTTGACAATATTAGCTATGTAGATGTAGTTTTCTCAGGTTTGACCGTTATATATTTTCCCCTTCTGTAGTGAATGCTCGAATTATGGTCCTTGCAGCAACCAATCGTCCCTCAGAACTTGATGAGGCCATATTACGGCGTTTTCCTCAAGCCTTTGAAATTGGACTACCAGACCAAAAGGAGAGGGCTGAGATATTGAAGGTTATCTTAAAGGGTGAGAGAGTGGAACGCAACATTGACTTAGATCATATAGCTGCCTTGTGTGAGGGATATACTGGTTCAGATCTGTTTGACCTCTGTAAGAAGGCTGCCTATTTTCCGATTAGGGAGCTGCTGGATAAAGAAAAGCAAGGGAGAAATGCTCCTGTGAGTTTGTTCATTATTCTCTTCTACCTTACCTCCTTTAAATTTTCTGCTTCTGCAGTAGTGAATAGCACGATGGGGCTGCCTTGACTGTATTTCTTCTTTAGTAGTGTCAAAATTTGTTTAAAACCGAAAAGCTACATTTTGACTTTGATTATTGGAAAATTTTTATATGAGCCCAGAGATATATTTTTGCATGCTTGAATTGCGTTCTTGGTCTGTGGAAAGCAATTATTTGTGTCTGATTTGACTATTGCTTCTGCTTGTCGTATGTCTTTTTAAGGGTTCATCAACATTTTGGTTGGGAAAAAATTTCCAGATGATATGGCGTTTGAGTGGTTATCTGCAGGCTTTTTGACCAAAATACTACGCACAGTAAACAATATTACCCAGATGCCACAGAAACAAAATTATTTACCTAAATACTACATCCAAACTTGTTCTCTAGGTGATGAAGTTTGGAAAAGTGAAGAACTCGTTCTTTTTTAAAATTTTTTAAAAAAATATTCTTCATTTTTTTTTAAATTTTCTTTTTCGTGAAAATGGTGCTAGGCTACTCTTTCCACCTATTTAAATAGGCTGCCATCTATCTCTCTCTCTCTGTCCATTCTTCTCCAAAAGCCTCCCGTCACTCCCTACACTTTCCTTCCCAGTCTGTGGAGACCCACATACATACTACTCCTCCAATTCTAAATATAAAATTTTTTTTATAATATAAATTATATTACAAAAGAAGTTTTATATTTAGGAACCGAGTAGTATCATATTACTATTTTCAATACTTATACACAGTATTCCTCCAATCCTATTAAGATTTAGTTAACTAATTTAAATAGATTAAGAATATTAGTTAAATTAGTTAATATGATATATTTTTATTTAAAATACTCTAAGTATTTTTTTTTATTTTCTCTTTTTTTCTCCTACTTAATTATTGTTGAGAAAAATATCAATAGGCTTAATTTGAACAAAAAACTGATAAACATGTGAAATACGTTATATAGGGCCAATATCAACTCTCTAATAATAAATTATTATTTCATTTAATTTTAGTTTTTGCATAAATCATTTATTTAATTTTAGTTTTTGCATAAATCATTTATTTAATTTTAGTTTTTGCATAAATTATAAATTTTGGTTTTTGCATAAATTGTTTTATTTAATTTTAGTTTTTGCATAAATTATATTCTTCCTGTCTTGAACATAGGAGTTAATTAGAGAGTTGATATTGGCCTTATATAAGACTTATTTCACATATAATTTTTTTTGCCAAATTAACTCTATTGATATTTTTCCTACAATAATTAAGTAAGAGAAGGAAGGAGGAAGTTAAGAAAGATGCTTAGAGTATTTTAAATAAAAATATATCATATTAACTAATTTAACTAATATTCTTAATCTTTTTAAATTAGTTAACTAAATCTTAATAGGATTGGAGGAATACTATGTATAAGTATTGAAAATGGTAATATGATACTACTCCGGTCTTAAATATAAGATATCTTTTGTAGTATAATTTACACTATAAAAAAAGTCTTGTATTTAGGATTGGAGGAGTGCTATATATGTGGGTCCCCATAGACTGGGAGGGAAAGTGCAGAGAGTGGAGGGAAGCTTTTGGAGAAGAATGGAGAGAGAGAGAGCGATAGATGGCAGCCTATTTAAATAGGTGGCAGGAGTAGCCTAGTACCATTTTCATGAAAAAGAAATTTTAAAAAAACATGATGAAGACGAGTTCTTTATGTTTCCAAACTTCATCTCCCAAAGAATGAGTTTGGATGTAGTATTTAGGTAAATAATTTTGATTATGTAGCATCTGAGTAATATTGTTTACTGTGCATAGTATTTTGGTCAAAAAGCCGTTATCTGCAGTTTTCCTCCTTTCTCTCTCGCCTCCAAAAAATTATTTGGAGTCGATTCTGAATATCTGAATGCCTAGTCTGTGCTTCTGTTTATTGCTACAGATTCACGATGGTGGCTCAGAACAGTGCATTTGGTGTGTCATTGTTGCTGTGAAATTGAAAACAGATTAGTTATCTCAATGGCTGTGTCAGGATAAGTCATTCTTTAAACTTCGAATATTTCTTCTTTTCATGTTTCAGGAACCAAGGTGTTTGTCACAGTCGGATTTGGAGAAGGCTCTCACCACTTCACAGAAAACAAAGGTTGCTGCTGGTGAATACAGTGGATTAAATGTACAGTCACCAAGAAGGCCAGGACGCAGGGAGTCAGGTGATTATCAGTTTCAAGCTGCAATCAATGAACTCTCTAAGCTTGTGGTTTCTCAAATTATTAACCTCCAATCAGATGCACAGGATCCGTAACATACTTACCTTGTGTTCTGGTGCATCCATTTAGCATATAGTCTTTTAACCGTGACGGCATAGTTAGTCCAAATTCTGTGGTTTGCCCATAATAATCCAATATTGTTCCGGTTTCATATGTGTCCACATCCTTTCTCCTATGGTACTGGCTAAATATGTATTAGGAAAAAGAAGTTCAATCAGACAAGAACAGTGTCATTTTTCAATATACGAGTTGTGTTGATATTACATAGATGATTAAATTCATGATGTAAGTTGCTTGGACTTGAATCTAACGGTGACCTACCCAACAATTTTAACAGAGTAAATTTAAGATTCAAGATGATGCAATAAGCAAGCTGCCAGCAGCCGTCAATGATTGAGACCCGTGGGATATTCCTGGCAGTGAGATGGGCAGGCCTTTGGTTTGGTTCTCTTTCTTAAAGCGATGGGGGTCGGTGATCCTTGTTTCTGTCCTCTTTCTTGGATAGTCTTGCTGGTCCACCCCATTCGCGGAAGGTGATGATTAACCTTGGCCCTCGAAAGTTGCAAGCTATCGATATTGCGTTCGTCCGTATGAAGCACACGACGCTGCACCCAAGTATTGTACTTCCTTTTTTCTTTTTCTTTTTTTTCATCTCAAATATATTTCTACAGTGAAGAAGGTAGGACCCTTAACGATGCCCATGCCACCTTCCTTTTTCCCCGTTTCTGTGTTCAATGATTCTTACCTCGTGGCTCCATCATTACTAAAAGAAAACCTTTCCAAGGAAATAAAAGAATAATGGATCAAACTTATTTCGTACTGATGAAGAAAAGGGAGTTAGAGAACTGAGCGAGTGAAAGCTATCTGCTGTTTTTTTTATTTATTTTCTGATTTGGATTTTGTGAGGTGACCAATTGGAATAGAAATAAATATCCGAGCGTTATTATCAAAAAGCCAGTAGGTCATATGGACGAACAATATGGTTGCACGCGATCCACAGATAAAATATTAGAGGGGCAAAACAACTGCGTTTTTGTTTTTTTTCCCGTGTATATTGCAATCTAGTAGGTCATGGTAGTCCGCAACGCTTGGTTGAGGCAATCCTCGTGGACGATTTTCCTGTGGCCACTAACATTTTATGGCAGCTTTTAGGAGATGTTTGGGTAGAAATAAAATTTTAAAAATATGTGAAAGAGTCTCTCTACTGGTGAACAAATGTTTTTTAAAAGTATTTTTGGAGCTAGACAAAAACTTCTTTTTTTCTTCGTTGAGAAACTCTTGATGCTGATTCAAACGCATTATTATTACTGTTCATAAACAAGAATGATTCCGACTGTTTGCTAGCACCCTCTGATTTATGTCGTCAAACGAAAAATTTTCTCCTGCAGCAGTGGTGACGAAAAATAGCGAACAGATGCAATTTCGGGCAGTTTTTTTCTTTTAAAAGTTTTTGGTTGACCATGAAAATCAACTAGCACCCCAAAACCGGCAGTTTTTCAAATACGACAAACGGGTCTTGAATGCAATGTTAATTTATTATTTATTCCCTTTTCTAGTCTTGAGTCGTCACGATTCCCTAATTCCAATTGACTTTACCCAAGCAAAAAGGATATTTATCTTATTTTTTTCTTTTATCTTTTCTTTGGGCATCGTGTAGGATTAAAGCATCTTTACGATCCATGTTTATTTTTTTTGGCCAAAATACGATACATGTTTATGAAAAACTTAAATTTGGGGCAACAACTATAGCTTGTGATTCATGTGATCGGGATGAGCAGGGAATCTAATATGAATCATTCGCTTTAGCAAATTAACCAGATTAAAATTAGATTAATATTTGATTTTTATATTTTTAATATGATTTATTTTAAATTCAGAGTGTAAGATAAATATACTTTTATAATTTTCAAGTTTTATAATTTGAAGTTATCACTTAACAGTTTTTTTTGGGACCTGAATCACTTAGCAAATTTAAAGTATAAATTTATTTATAAAACAAATTTTCGCAGAATCAAATAAGTACTTGCATGCTTGCATATAGTCAGCTTTACATTTGGATCCTCTCAATTAACTTTGAACAGATCAAATGTCATGCTACGAATGAATATGTGGACTGAATAAATATAAACTTAAGTGATATCATATTTGTTCAAAAGTTGTAACATCTACCATGTAATTAGTAATGTAAAAATGTTAATATTTTTCGCTCCACGGCCACATGCAGATACTTCAACGAATATATAAAATTTATGATTGGTCAAGCAAGAGAAGGAAAACAAAGGCTCGTGGTCGTGGATAGAACAAAAACGGATGACTCGGTATTATTCTTGCCATTTGCTACGTAATTTAATCAAAAACAGGCAGCCACTAATCTATCATTTCCTCAGAGGTTGGCCTTTATCTTTATGAATCACATGACTTCCATAGCATTACACATCATCGCTAATCAACTCATCCGCCAGAAAGATAAAAGGATGAAACGTATAAAACAAACTTAAGAATTAAGAGAAACGCGGAGGACAAGAACTAAGCAGAGCATTTATATCACAGGATTAAAAAAAAAAAAAAAGACTAATCGGCCGCCAAGAGTCAGAAATCTTGAAAATCAAACGCCTAATTATCTATTCTCCGATTCAAAGACATCTACTAGTCACATATTCACAGCTAAAAGCACAAAGAATAAAATTTGCATTGACCTGTTAAATCTGCCAAGCGCCCCCACTGTCTCTCTTCAAAATCCATAAGACCGTCCGCCGTTGGACGCCCCCATCTTCCTATCTTGCTTGTCGGCTTTTAAGTCTCTCTGACTCGTCCAATCCACATGCATGGTCATGGAGTAGCATTTAATTTTACAAGCTCTTGCAGATTTTCTTAGCCTTGTTTCAATCAATATGATTTGGGTTACCTTCATCTCTTCCAGTTTCTTCTCCCTCCTTCTAATCCTTCGTTTCTTCCGCAAAACTTCCCTAGTATACATTCTTCAGAGATGGTGGTATACCCTTGAAAACCACCTCCATGTTCACCAGTCCTTCAAAATCCCACTCTACAACGAGCATTACCAGGAAAATCAACTGTACCAGAAAACTATCACGTACCTAAACTCACTGCCTTCCGTAGAAGACTCTGATTTCACTAAACTCTACTCTGGTTCCAAACCTAGTGAAATTTTCCTTCATCTAGGTGCTAACCACACGGTGGGCGACACTTTTCTCGGAGCCAGAGTTTCCTGGACAAAGGAAAAAACCGAAGGAGATGTTAATTCTGCACTGGTACTCAGAATCAAGAAGAAAGACAAACGCAGAATTTTCCGTCAGTACTTCCAGCACATCCTCACGGTGGCGGATGAAATCGAACAGAAGAGAAAAGAGATTAAATTATGCGTGAACTCTGGAAGTGACGAGAACTCGCGGTGGCGAACGGTTCCATTCACCCACCCGGCGAGCTTCAACACGGTGGTGATGGATGCCGAGCTGAAGAACAAGGTCAAATCCGATCTCGAATTGTTTCTCAAGTCCAAGCACTACTATAATCGGTTGGGCCGTGTTTGGAAACGAAGCTACCTTCTCTACGGGGCGTCAGGGACGGGAAAATCTAGTTTCATCGCGGCAATGGCAAGGTTCCTGTGTTACGACGTATACGATATTGATATCTCCAAAGTCTCGGACGACTCCGATTTGAAGATGCTATTGCTGCAAACAACGAGTAAATCGGTGATTGTCATCGAAGCACTCGATAGATTCCTTGCATTGAAATCAAAAGCTGTGAGTCTATCAGGTATTTTAAACTTCATGGACGGAATTATATCGTGCTGTGGGGAGGAGCGGGTGATGGTGTTTACGATGAACGAGAAAGTTGAAATCGATCCGGCGGTGCTTAGGCCAGGAAGGATTGACGTTCACATACACTTCCCCTTATGCGATTTCTCCGCCTTCAGGGTTTTGGCCAGTAGTTATTTGGGGGTGAAGGATCACAAGCTTTTTCCTCAGGTGCAAGAGGTTTTCCAAGCCGGCGCCAGGATGAGCCCGGCCGAGATCGGTGAGATCATGATCTCGAACCGGAGTTCACCCAGCAGAGCCTTGAAAACCGTCATCACGGCCCTCCAAAGGAACGGCGGCGATGAGAGGAGGGGACAGAGGTCGGGTGACGGCGGTTCATGCCGGAATAGCGGGGAATTGGTACCCAACGGAGGAGCATGTCAGGAGAGTGTTCACACGATGAGGGAGTTCCGAAATCTCTATGGGCTTTTGCGTATAGGAAGTAGGAGAAAAGACGATCATTCTGGGCCCATAGAGAAAGAAGGCCCACGGATCTGAGCATAGGACCACAGAGAGAAAGGTTTGGTTAATCAGTTCGGAGTTATTGGGTTGGGCGTCTGTACATTGTTTTCCATAATCTCATTTGATGATATGTCTTTTTTATGAACTCTTCCGATCCTTAGACCTATTTAACTAATTTGATTAGATTAAAAAAATTAGATAAGTTAGTTAATTATAAAAAAAGTGATATATTTTTTCTAAAACACCATAATCATCTTTCTTAATACTTCATCTCCCTCTTCTACTTGATTATGGTTGAGAAGTATCCATAGAGATAATTTAGAGAAAATTGATAAATATGAGAAATTGATCTTATATTTAGGACTAAAACCAACTTAAGAATTGAATTATATATTAAGAACTGGAAGAGTATTGAGTATAGTTTTAAAAACAAGAATGAGTCATAAATGGTGTATCATATTATATATTTCATGCTTTATCCCTGATAATAGGCGCAGCAAGAAGCTGGTAATGTTTGGCGAAAGAGAAATGAGACTCCCCCCGAGAAGGAAACGGTTCGGAAAACTGTTTTTTGTAATTGCAATATATTCAGCCGAAGCATTGGAAAACGATTGAGAAATGGAAAATTGCATTTCAGCACCTACAGGCTAGAAGTGACAAGGCTTTTGACCCTGCATGATAGGACACTGAGTGGAATACGAAATAAAATGGGAATGGAATTTAAAAAAAAAAAGTAAAGATAAAACTGAGAGGCCTATTAAGGAGTCACGACCTAATTAAAACTTTGTTTAACCTGTTCTGTCTAATAAAAATACCAAACTCAAACCTAGAACCAAGCTCGTTAAAGTAAACAGGTTTAGCTAGTACATGTTTATATGAAGATGTATTAAGTGATATATAAATATAAAAATAACATGACATAATAACTTTATTATTTTATTTTAAAACCTCATTGCATCATTTTTATAGTTGAAAATTAAAGTAATAAAGAGAGCAAAACTTCGTTTTATGTTATGTTCATTAATTGCTACAGATATCATTCCCTCCCTTATATTTCTATGTAAACACTATTATTATTATTATTTGAAAATAAAGCTCTCCCCGATATCATTCTGCCCCCTAACCCATCCCACTCCTCTTCAGTGTTCATTCTTGATCCATGATATATGGCTACGTCAGAGTTCATGGACTTCTGCGGCTTCGTAATTGCGGCCCAATATCTCCCAACCTTATCAATCGTCGCCGCCGATATCGGCGGCTCATATTGCAAGCTTCAGCCCAGCAATACAATACAGCCGCCGGATGTTGACACCCAAAACTCAGGATTGCATTCACATTCTGAGTTCAGTATGACTCTGTCTGTGGCTGGGAGGGCATCTGACGTAACAATGTCTTTAAACGAAGAGGTTAACACATAATATGCAGGAAATAAAAACAAAGTTACAAGAAACAAACAAGGAAGAAAATGTAGAGAAGAAGCCTATCAGGACACAAGAGGCCCCCTACAGCAATTTGACGTGAATTTTGTATCTGCAGATGATTGTGAAGGGGTAATTCAAATGGCATCTCATGAGCTGCTGCGAGTGAAGCAACCTCAAAATTCTCTGTTTTCTTTGACATTTATCCAGCCTTATATTCCCTGCAGCAGATATTGCAGAAGCAAAATCCTCGTGATTGCCAAGCTGAACATAGTGATTCAACTCGGTAAGGTTGAACGTCAACCGACCCAAAAAACTTTTTTTAAAAACAAAAATGGTGACTCCTGCGGGCAAAAAGTCGGCATGAAACATGAATACTAAGGGAGGTTTTTTTTTTTTTCCCCTTTTCTTTTTTTAAAAAAATACTTACAGTGGACCAGTCAATGACAGCGGTGAATACTCATAAACGGAGGGCCAATTACAGATTCCCTTTGAATAAATGAAACCAGTGTCGGCCATGATGATGACTTGCTGCGTCCTCACAAGGCTGTGTTGGAGGGCCACTATCCCCGTATTGCACCATTACCCACCTTCCGCTGCTTTCCCATTTGCTTGCCCTCCCTGCTCTTTCTTCAATGGAATCTATATCCACTCATTATTTTATCATCCTACAAACACCCATCAAAGGTCGCAAATACATATTTGTGGTGTCTTAATTAACAATACGACAAAAAGAAAATGAACATCATGCATTCCTCTGCAAACAAGTGTACCAACTTCATTAATCCCTCCTAATCCATAACATGGGCTGACCCGCCGATTCGTCCAGCATTCTGTGTGAAGCCTCCAAACTTGAAGGTGAATTTGATGAATATACCCGAAGTGTATAAGCAAAATTTTTGCGGAATTTTAAATAAGTCGAATTCGCTTCTCAGGCAATTGTGAGCCTTACATTGTGGATTCCCATCCGTCTTGAGAGTTGAATTTCCTGCCAAACCTGCCACAACAATTTAACGCATATTCACCTAATTTCCAAATTATAGTTTATCACCGTTCCTGCTGGTGTTTGACGTTCCCATAAAAATATATTCCATCTGAATTTCACTGCCCCAGTATAACTAATGTGATTCAGTTAAAATAGCATAATTTCTTCTTCTTTTTTTCTTTGGTTGGTCCCCGACCACTGGGAACTAAGTGTTACATATGTCATTGCTTTTTTCCCCCAGAAAATAATATTAAGAACAAAGGAAAGAAAAGGGACGCGATTTGTTCTCAAAGACACATCAATCTATGGCATCTTATCCCCATGATAAGATACTATTAATTGACGGACATCATGGAACAGAGACGTACGTGGCGGCTCTAACCTCCCGTAAATCAAGACAAATGACATTCCTTTGCTTTACCTGTTGCACTGAAAAAAATTCGAATGTAAATACTAAATAGGAGAGATAGCACACCTTTAGTCAGCCTGCAGTACCTAAAAGTAAGCTCCGTCAATTGGTGAGAACACAGAGCATGGTGAGGTCAATGTCCCCTCATCTTCAAACGAACGAATGAATTGAAACTAATTTAACTACTGATTGATGCCGCCAAAGGTGGCATGGACCGAATAAGTTTGGATGCTGACTCGACTTCAGACTTTCTTGCCAATATAAAATAAAATAAAAGCGGAGAGATCATTGCGGAGAAAGATACTCCCTCGATCGAGATTAAAATTAAAATCAAGAAAGTTTGCCAAATATTAAAATTTTTGACAAATTTTTAAGTTAGCGTTTGATTGATACAGCTTATTAGGGAGAGAGGATTAAATTTAAAACCTCAAAAGAAGAGATGGGGTATTCTTAAAGATTAATTATAAATATTTTATTAAATTTTATAAATGTTTTTATGCCGGGAATCAACGATAAAAGCTTGTTTAACTGGGGTGAATGCATTAAGATCATGAGAGATGGAAGACAGTAAGAGGGTCCTCACTTCTCAAATGAAAGAGCATGGAATTAGAAATGGAATGTACTCCCGAGAGGCAAGATGAATGGGGTACGGTCATACGCAATCCGCATGGAATACTACGTGGGGCCCTGCGTATAAGACCACCGACACGAGTTGAGAGGCCTGGGTGGTTATGCACTACGCCCCTCTATTATTATTATTATTTTGAATGAGTGTCGAGAACGTCGTTTAATTTGATAACCTGCATAATATTTCATTTTCATTAGTTATATTTTTAAAGGATCTGAAACCTTACTTCAGACAGAAAATTCATCATAAATTTAATTTTAATTATTATTTCTTGTCCTCATTATAAGAGTTAGTTAACTAATTTGAGAATTAAAGAAAAAAGTTAAGTTAGCTATTTGTAACAATTTCTTAAAATATCTTTACTAATCAAGTTTATTGGTTAGAATTACCATTACTGGAAAGATTACTTTAGGAAAAAATACATAAATATAAGAGACAAAATGATTGTGGTCCTATGTTTAGAATCAAAATAAAAGTCAAACAAAGTCTTATATTAAAAACTAGAGGTAGTATATACACACAAATCGATAATCTGAATCAATATCTCTCCATCCGTTAACTCGGGATTTCCTTCACCCCATGTTCATGTGCACCGTCCCTCTAGCCCGATTCAAGCTTCTTAGTTCTAACGCTCTGCCTTGCTTCTGAAGCATCCTACGTAACCCCTCATTCCTCAACGGAGATTGGTAACTCCGTCCCCACACCACAAATCTTCAGTTTTTCTTTTTTTCCCCATCATCGTTTTTTGTCAGTAAGTAATAATAACGGCTACATTAGAATAAATAATTCTTTTTAGAATTTATTCTTATCATCAAATAAAATCAGCACAGGTGTAATTGGTGTTTTAGTACGTTAGCTGGGACTCACTATCGTGCTTTCTTTCCATCTAAGTGATTCAAATACAAACTGTGCTAAAAAGGTAGAACCAATTGCCCAAAAAAAATTGGCCAAAAATATCGCCCAAAGGATGATTGAATTACTCTAAGCTAATTAAAATTGTTAACACACACACACACACACTCCTCCCACGCGTTTTATGGGACAGGACGAATCATTTAAGCAGTGTGGCGCTTAGGACTTTGGAGAAACCAAATAACAAAGCCGTAGGTACATACATACAACTGTGCGTCTGCCATTTAGGACGCTAGAATTGGAGAGCCCATTTATTATTACCACAGAAAGGATTGGGTCCATATACTATAATAAATTCCCACCGTCGCATGGAATCATAGCGTCGTCTTGAGCTGGAACCGCTATATATATGTATGTCCTCTCTCGCTCCGAAATCTTACTCTGAGTTCTCGGGGTCTCACCCGCGCTTTTTCTCTTTGCCTGATTCTCTGTTCTCGCATCGCACTCTGTAATCATCAGCTGAAACAAAATGGAGCTGTTTTACTATCTGGTGTTTGGGTCATTGGGCGCGGTGGTGGCAGCTCTTGAGCTCAGCAAGACCAACAAAGATCGAATTAATACCTCTTCGGCTTTCAATTCCTTCAAGAACAACTACCTCCTTGTTTATTCGCTCATGATGGGTATATTTGCCATCTCTCTACCTTAGATCTGTGCTTCTGTTCTTCCACTGTCAGATCTTGCCTGAATGTTCTTATTGCATGACCTTGTATGTGTTTATGCGTATCCGGTGGCTTTAGATCTAGTCTCTTGGCATTTTCTTGTTCACTGAGTTGAACGCTAATGGAAACTGCTCATTTTCTTGAGATCAGAATTCATTTACATTCTTGTGCTTTTGCCGCTTGATCTGGACGTGATTTCATGAACATGCTAGCGCTGTGTTTTCGGTGTTCACACAATTGCGTGAGCGCTTGGTTCAAACGAAACCGAGTGCCAAAAACAAATGCGAACTGTCAGTTTATCAAATGACTAGCGTTAGATGTTTCGCCAAAAGAAGGCGTTAGATGGTTTGCTACCAATAAACTTTTAAATGTTGCTTAGCATTTATAGCCGGCTTACTTTCTCTTAATTGTGACAAAGAAACAAGCGAGAAGTTAAACATCTGAGATGGATCCTTAATTGATCTCAGTATCTGAATGGAGAAGTGATGCCATGCGTACTCTTGATTGCTTGCGACGGCATTGTTATGCTACTCTGTTTTCTAAAATAATTTTATTTAAGGTACGAAATAGATGTATACAGTTCACTCCACTAAGACACATCTTTGTTCGGAAGTTTTTATTTATGTATATTGAAAATCATATCTAACTAAACTTCGTCACTGATTTTTCGAATTATGATGACAGCCCCCGAGCTTCTACTCAAATTATTCAAACTGGATCAGTCTCTCTTTCTATGTTAAATGTTGGCTTTTGAAAAGAGCTGGCTAGCATGATATTTCTTGAGTTAGTTCAACTTTTAATTGCAACTTTCATTGGAAAACATACGTTTTAGATAACAATTATTTTTGGACTATATTAACCTATAGAAGTTGTTACTAGAATTGTGGCATGGGTTTGTTCCTGGTTTGTCAACAGCTGCTTATGAAATATTGTAGAAAGAGAGATTTTTGTTTGATTACTGGTTTCAGGAAAAAAAAAATCTAAGAGTTTGCTGTTTCTATGACAATAGCTGGAGACTGGTTGCAAGGTCCATATGTCTACTACCTCTACAGTACGTATGGATATGGGAAAGGAGAGATAGGCCAACTTTTCATTGCGGGTTTTGGTTCATCCATGCTGTTTGGAACGATTGTGGGATCTCTTGCTGACAAACAGTGAGATGCTTCTTCTTTTTTTAATCCTCGGTTGCTTTGTCTCATTTTGTGCATTAGTTTCATGGCACTTTCAATATATCATGCTATTTTTTTATAACTAGGGGACGGAAGAGGGCTTGTGTTACTTACTGCATAACCTATATCTTGAGTTGCATTACGAAGCATTCTCCTCAATACAAAATCTTGATGGTGGGCCGAATTTTGGGAGGCATTGCCACCTCACTCCTGTTTTCAGCATTTGAGTCCTGGCTCGTGGCTGAGCATAACAAGGTGACTTTTAAAGATTTGACTGCTTTTGATTAGGAAAAGAAATTACTTCTGGACGTGTTATTATTAGTCACAAAGTACTCTAGCACTGATATCTTGTAACTATATTAATATTAATATAGTTTTTTGTTTTAAGGCACTAGTGCAGAATAGTTTTTTGTTCTCAAATGTTAACATAAGGGTTCAAGGTTGGAATTTCAAATTATGATTGCTTTGTATAATATTTATTACATTAAGTGAAACTCTGAAGTTGTTATTGCAAAATATAAACGAGCTGATTTGGTTTCTATAAATGCCAACCTTTGGACTATAACAGTCCATTGTTACTTCTGTTAAGTGCCATATGGATATGATTTTGTGTATTGATTCTGCTTACGAAACAATCTTAAACTATGAAACAGGACTTTTTGAATCTTGACGCCATCTGAATCTCTGAAACATTGATATCTTTGCTGCGTTTAAGTTAGTTTTTCACTTACAAATATATAATCTGGGAAGATATTAATTCCAAATGATAATGCCCTACCTATTCCTGAAATTTTTATCAGAGGGGATTTGAACAACAATGGCTATCAATAACATTCTCAAAGGCTATATTTCTTGGAAATGGTCTTGTTGCTATCCTGTCTGGGCTGTTTGGAAATGTCCTTGTTGATACTTTGGCTCTAGGACCTGTGGCTCCCTTTGATGCTGCTTCATGCTTTCTTGCAATTGGTATGGCTGTCATACTATCATCATGGGCGGAAAATTATGGGGATTCTTCTGAGAGCAAGGACTTGCTGACCCAGTTCAGGGCTGCTGCCGTGGCCATTGCTTCTGGTAAAGTTCATACTTCATACATTCTCATTTTTGTTAATGTCAATTCCACAAAAGTACTCCGGTGAAGTTATCTATATGTTATCTGCATATGGACTGGACCGACAATCTGTTCAACCTACCATGACTATGATGAAACATACCATAACCAAACATCTCTGAGGTGCTGAAGCTGCTGTCTGACCAGAATTTAAACTAAAGAACCTGGGATGTTTAAGGGAAAAGCTTCTCCCCTTTCAATGATTGATCTACTGCTAGTCAGCAATGCATAACTAATTGCAGGGCACCTGGCCTTAGAGGAGGAAAATTATTTTGTAACCTATAGCTGTTGCTTTCGTCTAAAGCAATATGGAATGACATTGGGGAAACAAATATATTCTTTGCCTATCCTTATTCTGTTGTCAATGTCATGATCATATTTTATTTTCTTGCATTCTCTTGCTTCCTGCATATCTTCATTTTTGTTCTGTTTTTGCATTTCAGATGAAAAAATTGCATTGCTGGGTGCTTTGCAGTCTCTCTTTGAAGGCTCCATGTATACCTTTGTGTTCCTATGGACTCCTGCTTTGAGCCCAAATGATGAAGAAATTCCCCATGGCTTTATTTTTGCAACATTCATGTTAGCTTCAATGTTGGGAAGCTCAATTGCATCCCGGTTGATGGCTCATACATCACCCAGAGTAGAGAGCTACATGCAGATTGTTTTTGCAATATCTTCTGCCTCTCTGCTACTTCCCATTCTGACCTCTGTAAGCTATGGTTTCAGTATATTCCTTATTTTCTTGAAAAAGGATTTGAGTCTTTTTTTATATGCATTTTTATTCTGTTATTTTGACTTGGTTAATGTTTATCAGTCCTTGGTAGCTCCTTCCAAAGAGAAAGGCGGAAGCATCTCATTCTCAGGCTGCATTCAGCTTCTTGGCTTCTGTACTTTCGAAGCTTGTGTAGGCATATTTTGGCCGTCCATTATGAAGATGAGATCTCAGTACATTCCCGAGGAGGCCAGGAGCACCATTATGAACTTTTTCCGCATTCCTCTCAACATATTTGTGTGTGTTGTGCTGTACAATGTACGTTGCGCTATCCACTTAGATAAAATGCTTGATCTTAATATTGTATATCGGTACATGTGGATACAGATTGCTGGATCTCAACATTCTATTTTACATTTCATTTTATTGTATGGTTTGAGCTGGGAATGTTTTACGTTAGAATTTTTAAACCCAATGGCAGGCATTATCCCATTGAACTCCACAAAGCTATAGCTCCATGTTTGGAAAAACCATCCTCCCTCCTCTCTCCCTCCTTCCCTTTTTAGTCTTTACTTTCACCCCGTTTAAAAAGCAAACAAGGCAAAAAAAAAAAAAAAAGGAGAAGAAAAAGATGCATAGAAACGAAATCCTTCCATCTGAGTGTGTAGTGAGTATCTGACTAATTATTTCGGTTGTCTGTGCAGGTTAATGCATTCCCTATTACTGTCATGTTTGGCATGTGCTCAATTTTCCTTTTCGTGGCTTGCATACTTCAGAGGCGATTGATGCTGATTGCAGATAAGCCAAGTAAAATTCCCCCACACGACCTTCTTGTTATTTTTATTTTTCGGTATAATGGTCTTCTTATTTTATGTTTTAGAATTGCTGTGCTAGGGATTCCAGGATTTACGATTAATCAACTCTGCTGCGGTATTTACCTACAGAGTCCCATGCCAAATCCTGTGATCCCCCCATTCCCCAACCCCCCCCCCCCCGGGGGGGAACAGAAAAACACCAAACCAGGCCTCTTCTTGATTCTGCTGCGCTCACAAGGCGAACTGAAATTTTTCTGCGTGGACTAGTATCAATAGGATTCGAACCCAAAAATACAAAAAGGCCATCAACGAAGAAAAGAATCTGCACATAAAAAAGTTCTATTTCCACGCAACTTTTTTCTTTTCCTTTTCTTTTTCGATGACTACTGTTTTTTGTTTAGTTTTTGTCAAACAAAACGTGCTTCCTATAGAATCATGTATAATCTCTGCATAGAAAGTTTTTGGCCGCTGGGGGTTGATTACTTGTGTTTGGAACAGAAACAGAAGACTGGGCATTGAAGGATAGGAACACAGAGTCTGAGCCATTGAATATTTAACAGAAGTTACAATGAAGTTTTTAGGAGGGCCTCGGTCATCAGCCGCTACATTTAACGTATTGTAGTTTCCATGTCAGAGACAGTGTGACTTGACGACGGCACACCTTGAAAGAATGGTTATCTCCCCGGCAAAGGAAGGGGAGGAAGGAAAAAGGGTAAGTTGAAGAATTTCGCAAGTGCTTTTTTATAATTGTTGTAGTATATTAGATGTCTATTGGCTACTGCTTGAGGAGAATTCTCCGTTTTGTAGTTTAATTTTATTCTTTGGGGGCGGGGTTAATGGTGTACATGGCATACTATTTCTCTCTTCTTTTTCCCCTTTTTGTAATGGAATTGGACTTGCATTCAGTCAATTTATCTTCTCGATCTTCATTGTTCCCTCCAAAATGTCGGTTGTATTTTGTTAGAATAACATGAGGAGTTCAGCCTTTCAAAATAAATGTGCTGCAATGGTAATTTGAAGCAGCATTCGTGCTGTTTACAGAATCTGCTCAACCTTCTGGGATTTGACGCAGCATTTCATGTCATGGTAATTTTAATTTTGATAAGCTCGAATGATCAGCAAGCTGGTGTAAATAATCTGTTTTGGTTTTACTCAAATGGTATTACTACTTCAACAAAACGGAAAAAGGAAAAAAAAAAAAAAAAGGGATAGTACGCTGTGGGGGTGGTCCAGGTCAATGCATGTGTGAACGAAAATTGTTGGATATAAGCAATTAAATGAGATTATTTGTTATTTTTATATTTTATTAATATTCTTTATTTTAAAAAAAAACGAAAACAGTGGCAAATAAAATTAAAAGATATTTTATTTTCCCGCTTACTTTTCTTAAATTCAAAACATAAGAAACAAAATAATAGATCACCCGTCAAGTCTTCGCCGAAAGTAACGTTATCAAATCACCCACATGACATGGAGCTATTATAGCATGTAATGATTTCCCATCTTTGAAAGCCTGCGGGAAAATATATCTGTCTGTTTCTCTTATTTAGGGAAGTTTCATACAAGTTTTTAACGCAAATCCAAATTATCGTTAAAATAAAAATAACATTAAATATTTTACTTTCATTTTTTTATATGCGCAACAATTTTCGAATTCAAGAGCCCTTTAAACTACCTGCTTTGATACAAATTGAGAAACTGGTATCGAATAAACGGCTGAATACACAAAAGGAGACACGATACAGATACATACGTGCATTTATTGGAACAAAAAAAAAACCCCCGTAAATTGGACATTTATACATAGAAATTGGACATACGTGCATTTATACATACATAGAAATTGGACATTCAACTTCACTTGACATTTAGGGCTGATCATGTCAGACGGCTACGTTTTGCATCTGCAGAGGCAACTTCCAAATCCCCAATGAAAAACAGAATTTTGTCCAAAATTCCTAAACAAGAACCAGGTTCTCCCGTGAATTCTCTTTCTAAACCATTACTATGGCAGATGAGGCTTCTTCCTTCTTCCTTGTCTCTTCTTGAACCCAGACATTTCTGTATCTCACCTTGGTGAACAAGATAGTAGTAACACCCCTCTCTTATAATCTTCAAACCCCTGTTTTGTGAACAACGAAAATTAAAATCACACGCTCCCTTTAGAACACACTTCCAGGATTGTTTTGCCACACACTAAATTCTACCCTGGCATGCTAAAATGTTCTGACACAACTTTTGGGATATTACTTGTTTTGTTGCGTCCTAGATTTAATGATGCTCACCAAGATTCAGCTGGAAATATTCATTTAGTAGAAGCCTAGAAGGGTTATTTTTTAATATGTCAGCATCACAAATGGAACTGCATATTAATCAAACATCAATGTCTGTCTGCCTTACGTTAAAGGGAAAGAGAAGAAAATAAATTAGAGTCTAATTTACTTACACTCCAACTCGATCACAACGATCTTGAACCTCAAAAACATCTTTCCATGATTTTGAACCATTAGGAGCATAGAAAGCTGCACGATCTTCTCCCCATCTCTCCTTAAAAAGGTTAGACCAGAGACCATTATCTGAAGCCAAAAACTTCCATTTCCTACACACTGTACACCCAAGTGTCAAATTTATGATTTATCAAAATAACGCAACGAAACTCTGAATCCTCAAAACTGAATGGGAATCGTTACACGGTATATGCGATGAATGGCTTTTATTACTAAATATCCACATAATAAGACCACCAGTGGCTAATTAACAAACGCTTGATTTTGTCGTACACAAGAGACATGATCAAGAGTTACGACTTGGGAAACAAATCTTCTTGCCATTCAAGGTTCTGTTAAATTTGGCGTTCAAGATCATGCAGCTACAACCTTTTTTTTTTTTTTGGTTTGCATCAAGATACTTGATGACAGCATGACAATTCGAATCTGTGTGAACCAGAGGATTAGGAAGGAACCATGCGAAACAGATTGGACAATATGCCATGTTGCTTCGGGATCAATCTTCAAAGGGTCAACAGTCCACGTTTATAAGATCCTTCATTCCATTCCGAACAATTTGTTTCTGATCCAAGTGTATCAGTTTTCGTGGTCAAAATTCAGAATCGGCCATGAACTGAACAGAAAAATACTAATTTTACAGATTGCGGAAGGTCATCTATGTCGGCAAACGGAGGATCCGACAGATATAAATCAGAAAAGGAAATGCGGGCGGTATAATTGAAGAATATACCCATTTCAGATCTAATAACCTTAACTCAGATGACACACAGAATAAACAGAATGATGAATAAACTATTTCGGATGCCCGGTGCTTCGGAAACACATAATGGGGCGAAAATTTTTCATATTCCCAACGAGAAAACAAAGCAATCGGCAAATCACGAGGGAACAGAGTTTGCAATAGTACCCACTAACCTTGTTGAGCAACGACAAGATGTTGGTAGTCCAAGAAACAAAATATCTTCATACATATTTCCACAGGTAAGCTCTCCATTCCAAGAAGCACGCAATTCATGCGCCAAACAGTCTACGATACTTGGGAGTAATCAGGTTCACTCACAAGGCGAGGCTGGGTATATGGAGTCTCCTCGGATTCTGATATCACAGTGGGCGGTCCTGATTCTCACTTTCTCCTTCGGTTGAAATCTAATTACTTCCACGGCCCCGAATAAGAGAATGCGAAAGGCGAAACTTTTAACTGCTCGCCATTTTCTGGACCGCATAACATAAGGACTCACTCTATCGGAATCGGACTATTGAACAAGCAAAGCAATGCTACCACGCGTCAAGCGTAGATGTGATCACCACGTGGCAGGTGGTGACTCCCTGTCATTCCAACTATTTTTTCTGTCTGCTACCGCCAACCTGAGACCGAGAAGGATTGAAATAATTTTTGAATTTTTCATTGAAAATTTTGTCATTCTTTCCCCATTTTCTTTCTTTATCCCTTTTATGTGATGTCTATACAAAATTTGAGGAAATAAGTTGCATTCAATTTATATCTTTATGTTAAAATAACTTAAAATTATGATAAAGGCCTGCCTTTAATCCGTCAATTTTGATGTGTTTTGCTTTACTCTTTTAACTTTATTAAGTTTCAAATCAATCTTTTAACTTTTAATATTATCTGAACAAATTTTCCTAAATCTTAACACCATTATGTTAATGGAAAATGATTACTCACATGTTTAAATCTATATTATCACTACTATTATATTTTAATTAGATTTAAATGGTGATTCCACAAATATGAAAAATCAGACTTGAATTTATCATAGAAACAGCTTTGTGCATGAAGAAAGATTTGAATATGCCTTTGCTTTTAGCATCTGAAGTTGCTGACGTTGTTCTATAATGTTTTGCCCGTCTGGTCACCAACGAACACATAGACCTGTCGTATGTAGAGCTGCCTCTCCTGATACCTGTGAAGGCTGGCCTGACAACCTTAGACGCAGAGATATACAAGAACGCAAAAACTCTGTTTTACAGAGGCGCAGCTACAACATGCAGATCATCCTTTACAAGCTCTAGCATGAAGACTGAGAAGAGCGTCGTACCTTCACGAAGCTACTCAATTTCATGTTCTTTGCTGTTCGCTTTGATCCCAGTCTGTTCTGTGCATGACCTGATGATAAGGACTGTAGATCTTGACAAGTTTAAAACAAAATGCAACCGTAAGTCCATGACAATACATAGAAGCAATGGATCTAACTTATTAAAAAAGAATTAAGCACTCATAGTATCCGAGTGCCTTGTCTAAAATTATCCTCAACGGTTCCACCTCATCTCCATTTTCCCAAATTGATCTAGAGAAGGAATAGACGTCTCTTTTTCCTTGTGTGTTCCGAATAAAAGGAGTGGGTGATGTCTTATCCTCCCTTTCGGACCTATCTTCTTTCTCCTACACTTCAATTATGTACGGAAGTTTTTTTTTTTTTAAAAAAAAAAAAACTCTCTTGTATACGCGTCTAAGGATAATCAAGTACAAGCAGATAACATATCTAAATTTGTCACAGAATAAGGTATTGAAATAGATTCATACCATAATCTCACCTTCAGCCTCGAAAGGCAGCTGGGCATATATCACTTGCCAATGCATTTCTTCTTCACTTAGCTTTCTCTTATGATTAATCTTTGCAAACACCTTTGGGATATTGAAATCATAATTAGCGCTACCAGTAGTCCCCGCATGAGCAGGAGCCATCACGAAAGTGATGGAATCGATTTTTGTCTCTCAATATGATTTCTCTCTTCACTACCCGCGACACGTACTTGATTGCTGAATGGCAGTCACCACAAACCCTAATATTCTTCATGATACGTATAGTGGATCCAGGATAAGTATTCAGAAGGGCAAATGCCAAAGCTAGCTTCTCACTATGGTACTGTAATTTCGCTTCCTTCTCCTGCTGGTCAACAAACAGAAGCACATGACTAGTGTCTGGAACATAGCCAATCTCCTTAATTTTCTGACTCAACTCCTCCCACATTTCATGGATCTTCTCTTTCTGGGGATGGGCATTATCATCAGCCACAAATATATGGACAGAATTCCCAATCTCAACCCAACTACAAGCTGGTTCTTTCTTTACCCCGCTCTCTCTCATTACCTTTCTGATTCGTGCTGCATCACTCCACCTACCAGCAGAGGCATACATATTAGCAAGCAAAATGTGAGGCCCTGAGTCAGAAGGATCAAGCTCAAAGATGCGTTCAGCAGCATAAGCACCCATTCCCAAGTTCTTATGCATTTTAGAAGCACCAAGCAAAGCTCCCCAGATGGCTGCAGTGGGTTCAATTGGCATTTCCTCTTCAATGAATCTCTTGGCTTCATCAAGAAAACCAGCTCGACCAAGAAGATCAACCATTGTCACATAATGTGAGACTTTTGGCTCCACTTTATACTTGTTCATTAATTTGAAATAATATTTACCATCGTTCAAAAGTCCAGCTCGGCTACAAGCAGTAAGAACGCAGAGGAATGATATGTCATTGGGTTCAAACCCAACCCTTATCATTTCTTCAAACTCCTGCACAGCTTCCTTTCCCAGCCCATGCTGGGCATATCCGAAGAGCATTGAATTCCAAGACACCAAATCAACCTTTACCAATTGAGCAAACACTTTTTCGGCATCCTCAATGCTGCCTGCTTTTGCATACATGTGAAGAAGAGTGTTCCCTGCAAAGCCAACAAGCTTTCTGCCCGATTTCATCATATGAGCATGAAGCCATTTACCTTGCTCCAAAGATCCCAAAGCAGAACAGGAACAAAAAAGAGAGGAATAAGTAAATTCAGTTGGTTTAAAACCTTCCCTTTGCATCTTGAGAAACAGCGACAGAGCTTCCTCTCCTTCATCTTTCCTTGCATAACCAGCTATTAAAGCATTCCAAGAAACCTCATTCTTGTTCACTAGTTTATCAAAAATTTGCCGTGCTTCAGACAAGTAGCCACATCTAGCATACATATCAACAAGTGAACTCCCCACATACACATTGAAGTGACAACCGTGCTTGAGACAACATGCATGAATTTGCCTCCCGTCCCTGTAGCTAGGCAAAAGAGCAGCAGACTTTACGACGCTTGACAATGTAAATTCATTTGGTTTCAACCCATCGCGGAGCATCTGAGGGAACAGCACAAGTGCATCTTCAGCACGTTCATTTTGGGCATACCCAGTGATCAAGGAAGTCCAAGTGACCATATCTTTGGAAGTCATTTTATCAAACACCTTGCGAGCATCTTCCAAATTCTTACACCTTGCATACATGTAAATAACAGAATTTTGAATAACAATATCATCCCTGAACTTGGAACCAAGAATGTGGGAATGCACTAGTCTTCCCAGTTCAAGCCTCCCCAGTTGTGTACATCTCTTGAGCAATTTATTGTACAGCGTCCGGTCCACTTCGATGGAGCCACTGTCCATCAGATCCAGAACATAAAGACCAGTTTTGGACTTCAAACTGGGACAAAGAAGATTATTATCGTCAACAATATATAAGTTGTCCCGCTTGCCGTCCGGCAGAACATCTGAATCTATACAAGTTTCTGGAGTTTCAGGCCGAAGTAAACTACTTGAATGCCATCTAGCAAGTTTAGCTGCAATTTTGGAAAAATGAACATGACAACTTTAACTGCAGTTACGGGATAATAAAAACCAAATATTTGAGGGGGGACTGAAACAATTAGAAGGAATTCCCGAAGTGCTGAGCTCACCGGAGTTTGCGAGCAAGGTTCTGAGGTCAACAGAGAATTTGAGCACTGAAGCCAGAGTCTTGCATCGAATCATCACATCCGATCTGAGCTTCTTACCCTTAAAACCAATATTTGGCTCTTTACTTGTTCGTCTTTTCAACCTGAGGAACTTGAGATGACCTTCGGCGCCAACTAGCTGATTCGGGTCCCAGTGGGGTTTTATGCTTCGGCTGATGTAAGACCTTTGAAATTGTCACTCCCAAGACCTTCCGCGCCAAGTATGCCGCGGCATGCCGTTAAAATCTAGACCAGTGAGCCACGGCTCGCGGGGCCGGGGCGAAAAAGAAATCTCTTAATTTCTTTTTAACTTCCCCTCTATTTATTATTTTTACTATTAAATCACCACTCAATAATTGAGATTTAATGCACTACAATAATATTATCATAATATTAATTAAACAAAAATATATATTCACGCGTTAGAAATTAATATGCATATATAATCTGTAAATTTTTATTAAAATATCTTATAATTCTTTTATTTTTATCATGATTATGATAATATATATTTATATAGATTAAATTTATTCATATGAATTTTTTATTATTTAATATTATAATAATACTACCATAGTGTATTAAATCTCATCTATTAGATGTTAATCTAACGGTAGAGATAATAAATGGAGGGAAGTAGAGAACAAGCTAAATAGAGACATTCTTCTTTTGGTTAGGTTTGCCACTCTAATGCATTGCTTATAAGGAAAACCCATTGATAAAATGAAAAGAATAAAAAAAAATAGTGGACATGATACGTAAAAATATAATATTCTAATTTATTTGGTTCTCATTATTTATTAAACTAATTCTATTAACAGCATATGTTAAAGAAGTTTACATCAAAAGATAGTTTCAAACCAAATAATTTAAAAAGATATTTTAGAAAAATTTATATATATTTTTAACAAATAATCGATTCAACTATTTTTTTAGTTAGGCAGATTTTATATTAAGTAGCAAATGTAGTATTTAATTTTGAATTCAAAATGTTTCACAGGATAATAACCATACATAAATCCAGTACGGAATGGTTTTTTCCGTATTAGTTCTCTTATACAAGTATTATGCCATTGCCGCATTTAACACAAATTAAAGATTGTCGTTTTAGAAGCAACAAAATTCGTGTCCCTGAGCTGAGGTTTCATGTTGAACAAGTCTAAAATGCATCTGAAAGGTTTCTAACTTTCCATAGTAAAACCTAAACTAACCAGTCCCCTTTTCAAGTTTTGCTGCCCATGCAATAGGACGGATGCCATACATCGCAACGGCATACCCGTTTTGGTTTTGAGAAGAGGAAAAAGCTAATACTGTAACACTTCTTTTCTGATAAAATCAAAGCTAAACGGCACCGATCATACAAAGTACAAGCAGCTTGATGAATGTTGCGGTGATCAATGAAGAGGGCAACCATGAGCAACGATGCCTTTGGCAGTAGGGCAAGAAGCCAAGGGACAACCTTCGAGATTATTTCCCCACCAGTTAAGGCTAATATCCTTAGACCCCAAAGCAAGAAATAGTAAGATGGTCATGAAGGCTGTTCCAGCATCGAGGCCACCAGACAAAACATAATTGTAGCGTTTCCACCAATCTTGTCTGTATCTGTAAGCAACAAACCCAGACAGAAATCCTGCAATTATCCAACTGGTGAAATTAACTGCCGTTGCAGGGGGCATCATTGATGTGGCACCCAACAAGACAGGCATGTGGATCTGACTTATCCATGTTTGACCTGGGAATGCCTTGTGAGCAAGCCAACAAGAAAGGGAGCTACAGCTCCACCCAGGAAGAACCAATTCACGCCGCCATATTCACCCAGGTTTCCAAATATTCTGCGGGGCCCAACAAGCCCCCAAATGACAGATGCATCAAAGAACACACGGTCCATAGGACATGTCCAAGGGCTATCTTCATCGGCGGTAACACAAAGGTCTGGTACGGTTGCCATCAGCCACCATGCAGTTAATGTGTATACAAATACTGCTATGACTGTTCCTACGACCTGCAAATAATGCAAAGTTCAGTCTCTGGCACAAAGGGAAAAAAAAAATACCATGCTATGCATGTTCAACAAAAATATAACTAACCTGGGCCATGAACATTGTTCTCGGTGGAATCTTCATATAATGACCAAGTTTGAAGTCAGCCAAAAAAGTTAGTGCTTGAGCCATGCTAATGTACCCATAAACCTTGAAGCACATGTTAGCCACAGGACGCTCAGGGTACATATAACCAATGATGTACTCTGTTATAATGTTCAAACCTGGTTGCTGTTCGTCAGAAATAAATTAACTCTTAGAAGAGTTTTCCTCAAATTTAGATGTGAAAGTGAATCCAGGAACTTTTGTAAATAATCTGTTCAGGTACCTGATTTGTAGTGGCAGTAATAACACCAATGGGGAGAGTGAAGAAGATGGCAATTCCGCAGGCAAGTAATACGCCCCACCACGGTAGTTGAAGTGATTCATTGTAGTGCTCACAAGCATAGATAATGAGAGCTATGTTCAGCACTAGGATGATAAGAAACCACCAAGTGGGCACCGATTTGTACTTCTTCATAAGTCTTGTGTGTATGTCCATTTTCCTTGTGCCCGTGAAGGCCCTTTTGCTTTGCTTCCATATATCACTGCATGAGACGGGTAAAAATGAAATTAAGCTTTCGTAAAACTTGTAGCTTAACTATCATGGGGCTTTGATTTTGGTGGGTTTTTAGCCAACGGATCCATTTCAAAACAATCAAATTGCATTTTCTTCACTATTTGTGCTACATTTAGAAGGAAATATCTTTATTTCAATTTTGAACTTAAGTCTTGAAACACCATGTCATGTCTAATAAAAGTTGAAAAGTATTTCAGTCTTTAGTAAGAGAACACCTTGTCACAGTCAATCAATAAAAATGGATGCGGGAAAACCACGACAGAGATGAACAAGTAGCTGGTAGAAAGAAAAGCTGGCATGTTTGAGTTGAGCCATATGCCGCAGCAAAATAAAATTGAGTCTATAGCGAGGTGTATGAGAATGAATTATTCATGCAAAGATAGATATTAACAATATAAGCGCGTGCTTGAAGTGGCAATTACCTTCCATTGAAGAGGAAAACATGCACAAGAGTGGCAGAAAGTGTGGCAAATCCAAGACCATAAGTCATTGCAAAGAAGGTACTGAGATGAATAGGCCCTGCCTTCTCATAAGCAACTCGATCAAGATGGAAATTAGAGTTAACGATGCTTGAAATGTCATATATAGAACCGTTGCCAGCAAAAAGCTTGCTAGAAAATATTGGGAAGTTCTTCGCATTATAGGCATTTTGAAAGTAAGCTACGGGAGTCATTACATACATAACGAGAACGAATCCAACAATAACATTAGCTGTAGCAAACCATGGGCTAGCGAGAGGACTACCAAGATAAGAAGCAATAGTGGACCAATCCAAGCCAAATGAACCAATCCCAAGACCTCTCAAGCCAGAACCGATTTGCTGAACCAGGATAGACTTGGGGGAAAGCCAACACATCCAAGAGAATGATGTCAACATTGAGAAAAGATAGCCAGGAAGGACGTAGTAAGCGAAGCCAGAGATCATGACAAGCAGGAAAAATTGAGTACGGGTTGTGCCACCTTTAGGTCTTCTTTCCTTCTCATGTAGGGCACTGCATTGTTTTACTCGAATTAGTCTCAAAGCACAGTTTAGTTGAATCCAACAAGTAAATATAGTTTTGTTCCCTAAAAGATATATGTCTCTAGTCTTTGAAGTTTGAATTGCTTTTGATTAATGGGAACAAATTTAAGAAGCTAAAAATTAAAACATGTATCATTATAAAAGAAAAGATGCACTTCTCCGACCTGAACAAAGAGACCTGAACCAGATTAGAGGGCCACCACATTTCCCCAGGTTCAACCAGAAACTTTCGAAAGATCCCTGCCCATCCAAACCCCAGAACCTGGGATTGAACAAGAATAGGAGGCATAAATCAAGGCATTAGCAATACTTGTACAGTATGAGTTTTAACATAGGTATTAGAAAGACAGGGTTTTAACTAATCATAACGGTTATTTCGAAATCAAGTTTCTTTTCTCTGCACCTTATTTTCCAAGCACGTGAGGGTGAGACCATTGATTCTCACAAATTAGCGTCTTATTAAGAAACAAGCAATAGGAATTACAAATGGCATATTCATTTCGTTGGTAACAGCATCCCGAACATGCCTTCATCCAAGTTAGAAAGATCAGAATTCTCAAAGAGGAGATATTGAGGACAGAAGAGAACCTGAGTGGTGAACATAACGAGCAGGGACGGAAAGAAGGTGAGGCTCCTTGCATAGTAAAGCTTGACAGCAGTCAAAATATGAGTAGCATAGACGGTTCCAGCGCCAGAATTAGCAAATATGGTTATGAGAACATGTTCCTTAATGTTGAAAGGGCCAGGATTAAGCGAGAACTGAAACCTCGTATCCTTGAAGAAGATGCGTTTAGGCAGCGTCCTGGCCATGAGATGGCCCAATGGAACCACGGCAATCTGAGCGGAAATCGAAGTGACAGTCAAAGGCTGTGTTCTGTACCAAAAGAATTGGTTCACGAAAGACAGAATCACACAGGAAGCAATACCCAGAACCCACATTCTGAATGTGAGAAGAGGCAAGCTGGGGTCATCCGTTTTGGGCACTGTGAGGTCCACTTGTCGTATTGGACAGTCTTCGTTTGCTTCCTCCGAGTCCGAGTGACCACTCTGCTTTCCCTCAACATCACTTTTGCTAGCCATGGCTGCAGAGTGCAGAGAATAGGCTCTGTTACCTTGCCCCAAAATCTTATGGCAGCTCACCTAAAGAACATCATTAAATGCAAAGCTCATGTGCAATTCAGACTGGAATACAGACAAAGCTGGAGCTAGGTAGAAAGGGAAAGCCACTTCTTGTAGTTTAATATATTTTCCATATCCTTCAGCATTGTTGAAGTGTTATAAACTAATATAATCTAATCTATATTTTTAGTCAAGACAACCAACTCTGATTTTGAGATATAGTTGGTTTAAATGAAAAATTGTTAGTAATTATTTTCTTTATTAAAATAGCAACCTTTTTTAACAACAACAAAAATTACACGACTTGAGAATAAAATCTAAAAAGGTGTTTGGATTTGTTTAAAAATACTTTCTAAAAATATTTTTTTTATAAATCAAAACAAACTTCTTCATGTCTTTATTTTGTATACTAAAAAATTATTTTTAAAATCATAATTTAATTTCTATCTAAATTACTGGAACTCAAGATATGGAGCTGCAAAATAATTATGGGACAGAGTAGCAACAGGGAGCGGAGAAAATCCAACAAAGAGTACGAGGCATTTAATATCATAGGAGCTGAAGTCGTTGGTACTTGGTAGGATACCAATGTACATGTGGACTCATCAAAGCAAAGTCAGGTTCTGCTTAAAATTATTTATAAGAATATTTTATACAAGTCAAAATAATACTTAGTGATGCGAAATCATTAATTTGATAAATAATGGCATGCAACTATAAAAGATTAAAAGGAAGCAAGAATGAAAATGACAAAATCTGATAGCCGAGCTAACGAAAATAAAAAAATAGAGTGATTTAATTTAACTTGCAGGAGTAATGTAATCAAACCATACAGCATGCCTAAACGCCTTGAGTGTTGATTTTTCTAACGAAATCGCATAGCTCCATATTGTTATTATACTCCTCATATTTCTTCTTAAGAAAATACTTATATCAAATTTTTTATATTTATTACGTCACAAAAAAATTTATGATTGGTAATTCATTTGAAAGAAAAAATTGTGTTTAAAAATTTAAAATAACTGTGAAGAGGTAAATATTATAAATTAGTAATATAGACATGTTTTAAGAAACTTCTAACTTTTTATGGTAGAATCACAGACAGGCTGATGGGCAAATCTTTCCTAAAACCAAATTTGATTGATGATGATAGGATCCTTATCTAGAGATGCGCAATTCAATCCTACCGGCTACCAACTTGCTGTTATGACAGTGGGTGTCACTAAATGAAGTCGGTGGATCAACTGATTGGCAAATGGGAGCAAAAGGCTTATAATGAAAAACGGGTGATGCTCTGAAAATAGGGAAGGGGATAATAAGGACTACGGGAAATCCTCTCGTAACTGCAAAAGAGACGCCAAAAACAGCAGACGGGCGTGGAAGCGCCTAGACGAAAATGACCTCCTTCTGAACTTGGGGGTAATTGCCTAATACGGACAAGTCCCCTTGGATCTTCTTGTGCAGGGAGAAGAGTTATCATAGATAAATTTACTATATTTTGAATATTTTACATTTAATTGTTAAAATTAGAGTGGATACACGAGTATTGCTTCCTTTTTTGAACCTAAATGCCCTGCATCGACTGGTGATAAGGAGATGTTTGTTCAAGTTTTCAATCTTCTTGCCAAATTTGGGTATATTTCCTGCGAAGCTCTCTTCTAGCTCATTAATGAAGAGGAGGTGGAGAAAAATGGGTAATCAGATCTATTGGCTGCCAACTTTACTCTAATGGTCAGTGTGACTGAGTTGAAGATGGGCAACATCAGGTAGGCTGGCTCCTTAACTTGCATTTTTTATGACCACATTCAATAAACTGAGGATATGAATTTCCCCCTTTTTCTTACCTTTTATATGCTACTCGTCTACTCTCTCTACCCTTCGTACATAAATGAGTTGAGGTTGAATTTAACTTTAAATATAAAATTTTAATATTAAGAATTATATTACGTATTCTCACCTCTGTTATTGTCCATTATATTTATTTTATAAGCATTCACGCCATGAAGTATCATCGCTTCATACAATCAACTACAATTATAATCTAATATTTAATCATTTAACTCATACTTTAATCTTGGACTTAAAAGTATTTGTAGATGAAGACTCCTCAGGGTTTTTTTCAATCTAGAGTAGAGGAAGGTTTATATTGATTAGATAAACAAATCTTAAATATCTAATCTACTTGTATTATAAAATCCGTCCTATTATCGCAGAACTTTAGCTGAATCAATAGTAAATGAGATATTTAATTTAACTGCCGAGCTGATTTAAGTGCATGTTAATGTTGGTGTTCTTGCCCTGGCGGGAGGCTCAGGTGAATGTTTAGGGAAAAATAATAAAATAATAAATTTAATTTACACATAATAAAAGGGAGGGTGTTTGGACTCCGTGCCCATATAGGCCAGCGGCCGGCCCAACCAATTTCCCGGTTCCAGCTAGGCGGAGGAAAATCTGTGGCCTAGGATACCCAAAGGAAGTAACCTAATTAATGCCAAAACTTTGACCCTTGGCCATTTTACTCTAACGAAGATCAATCCAATCGGCAGCTTGATAACTCCATTAATTAAAACTCATGTCTCAGCCTTAACCAAAATCTACGCGGGATTCAATTTATTTACTCCTCAGAAGAACCTTTCACCCTTCAATAAAATTGATGTTATTAATTATATATATAGCAGATGCTAAGAGAGAGCAAAATAAAATAAGAGAAATGGAAATGTTTAAGTAGCGCGTGATATGTACTTGGTTGGGGGAATTGAAATACGCTACCAAATAAATAACTGAGGGCAGAGAGAGGAGGCGGTGGAAGGAACAAATAATGAAGAAGAAGAAGGTAATTACCAGTGGGTGTGAGCAACAATTACCAAAAGAGGAAGAAGCAGTGCATTTGCATGGTGGCGAGAGCAGTAGGAGGAGTGAACACGAATGGCATCAGAAAGAGACCCCGAAGCCAATAATAAGAACCAAACTATATTAGCTACTTTCATTTATCACTTTTGAAGCTGTCAACTTGAGGATTACACAAATAGCTCATGCTGCTTAATTGTGTGAGCCATCATCTACCAAATTAGTTGAGTCTTTCACAGATCCGATTGTATTGCTCCTCATACGGTGGACTCATAATATCCACATCACCCTCAACCAGCCACACCCACTCAATTTTTCTAATTAATCCAATGAGTTGGCCACATTGTAAACATCTCGTCATTTTCCTTCCAAATTTAAATTCAAAACTTGCAAATGGAAGAAAAACTGTTTATAATAAGACTGAAGCATTATTTTATTCTCTTTTAACTTTGCAAATTACAGGTTTTATTTCAACTCTTAATTCTTGTTCTGTACGTTCTAATGTTAGTCAATGATCCAAACGTAATCTAGTGGACTCTCTCTTGGCCATGCCATTACTTTTCTAACAGAACAACGTAAAGTGGATTCCAGCTGAAACTAAGCTGATGAAAGGATGAAAAATCCCAGAGAGATAAGAATAGAACAAATATACAGGTAAATGACTGGAAAAATAACAAAGGTATTGTGTGAGAAGGCGATCAGAGAACGGGGCAGCCGTCGACAACAATGCCTTTGGCAGTAGGGCAAGCAGCCAAAGGGCAGCCTTCAACGTTGTTTCCCCACCAGTCAACCCCAATGCCCTTTGATCCCAAAGAAAGAAACAATAAGATGGTCATAAAAGCAGTGCCAGCATCCAGACCCCCAGACAGCACATAATTACAGCGTCTCCACCAATCGGGTCTGTATCTGTATGCAACAAAGCCCGTCAGAAACCCGACAATCACCCAGCTGGTGAAGTTCACTGCAGTCGCCGGGGGCATCAGTGACGTGGCGCCTAACAGCACAGGCATGTGAATTAGCCTTATCCATTTCTGACCCGGGTATGCCTTGTGAGCGAGCCACACCAGAAGGGGAGCTATGGCTCCACCTAGGAAGAACCAGTTCACATTGCCATATTCACCAAGGTCTCCGAAGATCCTGCGCGGGCCGACCAGACCCCAGATAACAGAGGCGTCGAAGAACACACGGTCCATTGGGCATGTCCAAGGGCTGTCTTCTGGTAACTTCGACGTGTCACAGAGGTTAGGAATGGACCCCATTAACCACCACGCTGTAATTGTGTACACGAAGACTGATAAGATTGTTCCTACGACCTGCAATTAATATTGGCCATGCTTAGCTTCTGATTATAGAAAGCTCAGCATTATTTTGTTGTATGACGTATATCGTGATGTTATGGTTCATATATAATTTTAAAGATACAGAGGAAGCAGAATTGACCTGGGCCATGAACATTGTTCTGGGGGGAATCTTCATGTAGTGACCAAGTTTGAAGTCCGCTAAAAAGGTTAATGCTTGAGTCATGCTAATGTACCCATACACCTTGAAGCACATGTTAGCCACTGGGCGCTCTGGGTACATGTAGCCAATGATGTACTCCGTTATAATGTTTAAACCTGGTTGCTGCTCAGCAGGAAGAGATCGATTAACTTACAGGAGACATTTCGTATAAACAAGTTTACTTCTCACATGCATGGTATTCTTATTTTGATGATATATTTTTCGAAATTAGAGGGCTTATGGCGTGACATCAATATATAACATTGGCGATGCATGGAAGTGATATACACACACCTGATTTGTAGTGGCTGAGATTATACCAATCGGGAGAGTGAAGAAAACGGCAAGTGCGGAGGCTAGCAATACACCCCACCAAGGCAACTGAAGCGACTCGTTATAATACTGGACAGAAAAGAAGATTAGAGCTAGGTTCACCGCTAAGATGATGAGAAACCACCAAGTGGGTACTGATTTGTACTTCTTCATGAGTCTCGTGTGTATGTCCATTGTTTTACTCTCTTTGAATGCTTTTCTGCTTTGCTGCCAGATTTCTCTGCATAGCGAAATTAGTGCAAATCATCAGCTCCATCTTTCCGGGATCTGACACTCAGAAATTAAAGCGGTGATCATATTATAACATACCTTCCATTGAAGAGTAGAACATGCGTAAGAGTTGCAGAAAGTGTAGCAAATCCCATGCCATAAGTCATTGCAAAGAAGGTGCTGAGATAGAGTGGCCCAATAGTGGAATAAGCATTCCGATCAAGATGAAAATTGGAATCAACGATACTTGAGATGTCATATATGGAGCCATTTCCGGTGAAAAGCTGATTAGAGAATATGGGGAAGTTTTTAGCGTTATAGACATTGAACCAGTAGGATAGGGGTGTCATGACATACATAACGAGAACGAAGCCCACAGCAACATTAGCAGTAGCGAACCAAGGGCTCACAAGTGGGCTGCCAAGGTAGGCAGAAATGGTAGACCAATCGACCCCAAAAGAGCCAATTCCTAGACCCTCTAAACCAGAACCTAATTGTTGGACGAGGACTGACTTGGGGGCAAGCCAACACACCCAAGAGAAGGAGGTCAGCATTGAGAAAAGATAGCCTGGAAGCAGATAGTAAGCGAAGCTAGAGATCATCACAATGAGGAAAAACTGAGTTCGGGTTGCACTGCCCCTGGGTCTTCCCCCCGTCTCATGCAGAGCCCTGCATTTAATTTACATGCACATTACATCAGCTTGGTTCTAGTGTTGTGCATGCGGCACGCACACACACACACACACACATAACGTAAAAAGAAACCTGAATAATGAGACTTGAACCAGATTAGATGGCCACCACATTTCCGCTGGCTCGACCAGAAATTTCCTGAACAGTCCTGCCCAGCCAAACCCTAGCACCTATAACACGAAAAGTCATTCTCTATGCGAGTGAAGACGATTTGATCCGCAAATACTGATTGCATGAGGAATACTGGATATGATAGAGTAGAAAAATAAAAAGAAAGGAATGAAGGAAAGAATGACAGCGAAAGATTAGCAACTAGTTCATCAACTCCATCATTTATTTTTTAATTTGAGAACGAGTTAGAATGGTACCTGAGTGGTGAGCATTACAAGCAAGGCCGGAAGAAAAGTAAGCTTTCTTTTATAAAGAAGCTTGACAGCGGTTAAGATATGAGTAGCATAGACAGACCCAGCACCACAATTGGCAAAGATGGTGATGAGAACATGCTCCTTAATATTGAAAGGCCCTGGGTTCAAAGAGAACTCAAAACGTGTATCCTTGAACACCGAACGAGCAGGCAACGTTTTTGCCATCAGGTGGCCTATCGGAACGACGGCAATCTGAATACAGACTGAACTCACACTCAAAGGTTGCTTTCTGTACCAGAAGAACTGGTTCACGAACGACAGCAATACACAAGAAACGATACCAAGCACCCACATTCTGAAAGTGAGAACAGGCATGGTCGGATCATCTGTTTTGGGCACTGTGAGTTCAACTTGTCTGATCGGACACTCATCGGCAACCTCCTCCGGGGTCTTTTTCCGCTCACCATCCTCGACAGTTTTCGCCGTATCCATGGCTTCAACTCAGATCAGAGATGCTGCTCTGAAGCGCCAAGTATGATATATCGTAAACTAATAAATAGGAAGTTTTGTCAGGAGCTGTGAATGTGGCATGGCGAAATAAATAGAATGAACCCGGCCTACAAAGTTGCCAATATCATATTGCTTATACATCGGATAAGGTAGAAGTTCGTTGAATATCCCGCTTTTCCTTTTCAGTTACGATTGCATAAGATAACTGTAATCAATATCAATAATAATATATTTACCGGCTCTTTATTGTATCATTATTATTAGACAAATCTTTTGTATATCTAAAAGATTAGCTATCGAATCAATTTTAATTTATTATTTACAGCTTGGATCTAGCTGTACATGCATTATTTATTAAAAGCGTAATTCCATATAATTACATTTATAACGGTCGTAGCTTCCTAATAAAGTGATGAATTATAACTCCATTATTAATTATTTAATTATTTATTAGTATATAATGATAACACAGAATCGTTGGCCAAAAAGAAAAAAAAAGAAAAAAGAAGATAACACGGAATCTGATGTGATGATATAATTACCATATATTTATTATTCACTTACTTTTTCCTTATGACACTCAAGGGCCTCTTTGAATTTTCTTTCAGAATTTTGTGCATTCAATCAAATCCCATGAATTATGAAAATAACATGTTATTTTATAAAAATAAAATTAATAAATTTTGTTATAATAGTGTTTTTTTTTATATATACGAAGGAAAACAAGAGAAACTAGCTAAAAGAACTGGACTCTAAGATTAACTAGAGTGGCGGGACCAGAATTTGTTATAATGTGTTACGTGTTACCATTGTTCGATTTTGCTATCCCATTGAACTCTCTCGTGCAATTGCAAAGATATATTGCCCGTTAATAAATTAAATACCACTAAATTAATCTATCCCTATATAGTTTTGATTCCTTCATAACTCAATTCCTAAATTTTAATTTAATACATCTCAATTTTTAAAGTTTTCACTGGATTACAGTTTAGTCTATAAATTTTAACTCATTGCAACTCAGATGTGTATGTTTATAATTAACTATACATGTTTTGTTTTAATATGGACATTATGTTTTATAGTAATACTACTTTCGGTCCTAATTATAAGACCCAATTGACTAATTTGAGGAGATTAAGGAAGTAAGTTGAGTTAGTTATTTGTCCTAAATAGGTATTGTCTTTTCTAAAATATCCTTGCTAATCAAGTATATTGACTAGAACTATCATTATTAGAAAGGCTACTTTGGAAAAAAATATATAAATATGAGAAACAAAGTGAATTGGATCTTATATTTAGAACTAAAATAAAATTCAAACAGGGTCTTATATTAAAAACCAGAGGTAGTAATGTTTTTTATTAGCTATACATGTTTTGTTTTGACAAGCACTGCACATACGTTGATAGATGAATGATATTGATGAGTTGTGAATGAAATGACTTGTTATGAGTTTTATAAAATGTTAACTTTTTTGTCAATATTATGTGTTCATTGATAATATTTCTTCCATACAAAATACAGCTAATTATTTCTTCATTTTAAGCAAGACTATATATACATATGATAAATTCACATTGTAATGCCTACCCTATATTCCACTGATTTCAGTTTTTGACCCTTTTTTTTTTAATTTGCACTTTGCACCTTAGTATCCACCAAATACAGTCAGCCCCCATATATTCCTTGATACCAACACAATTTACACAAAACACCATCAACATCAAGCATACAAGTCTTGCATTTCCATGGATAAAGTATTTTTCTGTAGGCATTTATAATATAGCTTTGACAGAAACAAGAACTAACTCGATCTGAATAAAGCGGTGAATCAGCGGTTGTTTCTTGGAAAATTTATGGGCTCGTTTATCGATAGAAACATAGGAACCAAAATGATCGTTTATACAAAATTTCTGTTTGAAGACATATGTGGAGCATAAAAATGAAGCTCAAAAATCTAAGAAACTGCCTTCTGGGTACGAGCATATCCCAAACATCTCATTTATCCTATAGCCAAATATTACTACTGCATGTAAACATCTACGATATTCCGGACTTCAGTACAATTGGAATCCACAAGATAATACCAAAGTGGCCACAATATGACTATGGTCTAGTTTAGGATGAACCCCTGATTTATAGTGAATACCTTGAAAAGTTCTGGTCCGTCTGACCACGAGCAACAAAAGAACTCTGTATTAGAGGCAGTAGCTATACTTTGAAGCCAATGCCCATGGTCCGTCTGACCCCCTGATTTATAGTGAATACCTTGAAATTTGACCGACATGCCCATGGTTGCCACAAATGAAGAAAGAAGCCAATAGCTAAGCCACCAACACAGCGACTTCATGTGCTATACTTTGAAGCAGAAGTTGTGAATCTACTTCCCACATGATGGCAAAACCAACTTATGTCACAGGAGGAATGTACTCATCAATGAAGCACATAATCAACTAAAGAGGTCAAGCCTAGATCTCCTTTCTCCAAATACAGCATTGTTTTTACCCATCCAAGCACATTACTTAAATAGAGCAGACAAAATCACCTGCAAACCCTGTTGTACGGATCAATGACTTGGCAATCTTCACCAACCTAAACCCAGATTAAAAAAACCTAAAATTCTCAATTCATAAAGTATTCTGCAAGGACGACCAAAATGGCCAGTAATTGTTTATAGTTAAGTGACAACAGGCGCAGAAGCTGCTTCAGACTTGAGGCTAATGTCAACGACTAAATAACTGAATGCATCAGTTGTAAAATGTTACATGCCAAAAATGGCTAATAATCACCCTTCAACATTTCTACCATTCTGGTCATAATGACAAAATAATGTCCTTAAATTAAATTAATAATCATAATTTCTCAATGTCAGTAAAGTCAAGGTCACCACTGTCGATGGGAACAAACCAGTTACTGCTGTAACACTGCAAGATCCATAAGTACAAGCCAAATATCTAAATCTATAACTTAAAAACACAAATTAAGAGGTCAAAAGTCAAATTACAATCTGAGGAAAATGTTCCCAAGAATGTCTGTAAACACTTATTTAAAAAAATAGATCATAAAAGCATATATACAGACATTAAATATGAACTACGAATTATAACCTGACATTATTAAGCAGAAAAATAGATTGCATCCTGAATTCAAATCGACCCACGCTACCTTTACCCTATCATTCAAGCCTGAATGGCAGAGCTAGCTGTGAGAAGCATGCACATATTTTTCTCTCAGGGTATACGCAGAAGGAATATACTTGTTTGACACCCAGAGTACATACGCACAAGGAAAGATACGTAGAAGTTGAAAGTTTTTCGCTAGAGCATCTATATTGTTTATAATACATGTAAGCAATATACTTGTTAGCCGCAATTTGTTTGTCTTTTTAGGTATATAAACAATTAGTAGACATTATTTGATATTCTAGAAGGCTCAAAGAAGCATGAAAAGTATGCATCTAATTAACACCCAAAGTAAAAATCCACCTTCAATAACGAGAGAATCTAGGGAACACAGACAATCTGAGGTAATTTATTCTTAATAAGTTAGACAATTTCCTCAAACAAATGTACACTCAGCATAGGATAGGCGCAAGATTCAGCTTGTCTTAACGAATGCGGCTGTAATTCTTGAGATAAAAGAGGGGTCTCTAACATCTGATGAGCGAGTCCTACTAAGAATTGCCGCTCCATGATTCAGTACGATTTACCATTCATAAACGAAGCTTTGAGTCAGCACCAAACGACCGTCATTAATAGAAGTCCATGGAACGAAACAATAGAATTAATCAGCAGCCGACAAATAGTTCAACGCTTGCCACGGTGCCCGCCACCTGACCTTGCACCAGGATAGCGAGCAAACTGAAACCTTAAATTGACCGAGTTGCGGTCAAGCTCGTCAAATTTGTAACCTGCAAAATTAAGGCCCACTGTTTTACGCTGAACAACTAGCCACGTCAACGGCGAATTACGGGTGTCAGAAGACAGAATGCATTAGACGTGCGTTATCTTACCTCAGTCTAAGACATATTAATCCTGAAATACACTTGAAAAATGTTTAAACCCTATATCTAACATATGCGTAAATACGAGTTCCTCACTCATTACAAAAGGGGCTAAAAATTCACACGAGAAAAGAGGCAGAAGGAGAGCCACCTTAAATAGTTCCCCACAATTGGACTATCTCTACCTTTAGACACATTGAAACAAGCAAATTTCAGAACATGCAAATTTCGGCACAAGTGTATCCTCAAGCCTCAGGAAGACGCGACACTGAAACAAGAAACGATGTTTTAGTGGATATTATCCACACTCCCGTCTAGTCAGTAGTTGGCAGGATACGGAGAATCAGATCTGCCTTCTAAACTAGAGGTATCTATGGTTAAATGGGCTTCTATTTCAAGTAACAGTATATTTCCTTTTTCGTAATCCACACAAACAAGAGGTGTTGCACTAGGCCAAGAAGGTGAATGCTTCCATGATTTGGAAATATCTGCCCAGCTGGCATTTGGGGCTAAAAGCGATATGTGCGCGCAAATATATAACCCGAGAAATCAATGAAAATTGATGTCGGCTTTACCATTGGGAACAGAAATGTTAAGCGAATCACATTCATCATGTAAGCCATAAAGCAACCTTCCAAGCTTCAGTCCCACTTTCATCTCAGTCAAACCAACTCCCAATGGCCAAACAAAGTGAACAACAAAATGGAGAAGCAAAATAGCTCCAATCTAATTGAGGCACCTTAGAGTAATTCCTTTACTCAACTGTGCTGTCGCAAGAAGCAATCACATCCTAGACCCAATCCATCCCATGAAATGATCGATAGATGCTCGTCTCTACTACCATAAAACCAAATGTGCATACATCATTCCAACCAGTCTCATACTCTTGGCAATCAAAAGAGGAAAGGTAGTATAAAGAAGTTCCATATGTAAATCATTCCTTTGCACTCTTATTTTGGTGATATCCCCCAAAAAAGAACAACAACAACAACTACTACTACTACTACTACAGATGAGTGCTATTTCTTTATCATCAGCGCAATAAGGAAAAATGCATGACATTGGACTGGCAGATGCTCATTGGTGTCATTTCTAGAATCATGGAAAAACAGATCTTACCCTGCAGGGCATCCATAGCAGTTGCTGCATGGGCGGGACTCACAAAATCAACAAAACAAAGTACCAGTGGATCACCCCCAGGCTGCATGTGATCCCATTCAAAAGTCAATCAAATGCAATAGATATATATTTTCTATTTAACAATTAAACTTACTTGTCTTGATTCCTTGCTAACAAGTCTAACTTCTTTGTAGCCAACAAAAGGACGAAAAATGTCTATACATATAAGTTAAGAAGCCAGAAAGAGTATTTAACACCATCATTTTAACATCACTCGTTACACCTACTTCTTTACAAATGATTCCATATTCGGTATTAGACAATATGGGTAAATTTTTGTAATAGGCATTGCACATGAGAGGAACAAAAGTGGTGCAAAGTCGGCAGTGCAAATATGCAATTAAAAAGAATCAACATAAGAGGAATCACATAAAAGGATACGAGCTACTTCTCGTCTTGTGCAGTTGGAAGGTAAGCCCTCCACATACAGTGTATTGGTAGCATCAGGTGGAAGCAGACGCTCGGCCCTTCCAGTGCTTATTCCCAGGGTTTTGTCTTTTGCAGTTGTTGTTGGGTCTACTCCCCCAATACTATGGGCATATGAATCATCAACAGGACGATTGGAAACCACCCCGCCAATGGTTCTGGGAGGCTGCCCAGCACCATAAGAGGAAACTTGCTGAAACATGTACACAATGTTAGACATAAACCTCATAGGCCCCTTTGGTATACCAGACTTCCCCTGAGATTAAACATGCCTGGGCAAGGTTTAATGCTGTATTCTTGTGATTATTACACAATAATTAGAACAGGATAAAAATTGTTGAAGAATTTCTATGAGAAAAATTCCTTCAATTATTTACCCCCCACCTTCTCCAGATCTCCCCATCAGGCATTCAGATCTAAAATATTCTTCGATGGGGGATTATTTTTTGGAGAAATCGCAAAGAAAGACCCTGTAATTTGAAAAACACAGATAGAGACCCGTGACAACTTCACTATGAGTTTTGTTATTATTGTTAAAAGCCATAGTGAAGTTGTCACGGGTCTCTATCTGCATTTTTCAAATTCCAGGGTCTTTAATTGCGATTTTCCCTTCTTTTTTTTATCCAGCAGTTAAAAGTTAAAAAACAAGAATATTAAATTGAACAGATTTATATTGCTTCCATATGCATCAACACAAAACAGAATTAATACATCCTATGTGCCTAAAAGTTAACGTGCTTGGTGCCCAAAAAAAAAAAAGGCTAACATGCCAGTCAGGGGCACGAGAGATTAAGACATATATTCTCAACCGCGTAGGAACGATCATTGGTAGGGACAAACAGTACCGCGCTATGAAGATAACGCTCATAGGATGCTTCAAGGGATTCTGTATCTCTAATTACTTGGAGCCGGCCTCTATCATCATCACGGGGAAAGTAATTGGCCATGTCATGAACACCAGAGACATCTTCAAAGGCAAGCAATATTTGTAATTAACAATCAGACGGAGACCAGAAAAAGAGAGAAAACAATCATTTGCATTGTGACTGGTGACATGAGAAAAGTTTCATTTACTAAGATAAAAATAGGATAATATAAATTTCAAACATCTGTTGAAGATTATGAATCTGGGTGAAAACAATCTAACGCAGACTTAGAACTTCCCAAAACAGTAAGACCAATCTGACAATTTAATCATTAACAGCCTCTTTTCCCCTAGAGTTCCCAAGCAAATAACCATAACTTGAGCAGAACCAAGAAGAACAAACGGACATTGAATGGGGATTTTATTTTTTTTTCTGGGACTTCTCAATGTTTAGAATCATTTAAACAGACACTAGGTCTATTAGACCATCAGATCGCCCTCCATTGGAATTTCAATTGGATCTCAAACCAAGCTATCCATTTCCAACTTTGCCATGTCTCCTTACATACATGATCCCGCGAAATTAGGCAATATCTCCATTCTTCATTTTTTATTCAGTCGTAAACCTTGTAGCTCGTCTACGCCTATATCATCGAACGCCCCCCCCCCCCCCCAAAAAAAAACCCAAAACTATGAATTAGGGGGAAAACAATTATTCTTCGAAAACCGAATAGCATTAGCAAAACAATGCGTTCTACTTCTGACATGGCCTATCAGCAACTGGTAAAAACTCAAATTTTAGCCATTTCAGCGACTAATCGAAAGGCAATTCAATTAAAATAATGCACAGCATCTAAAAACCCTATATTCCATCATGAGGCAAGCAATTCCCATACCATAGTCCGTGCGCGAGCGCTTTCCGGCCATCGAAGGCATCGACGACGGCATCTGCCGTGAGTCGCTGTATCTCCAGTAAGCATCAGACATGAGGATTGTTACAGTCGGTCGGACGGACAGACAACAAGCTCCTGAAGAGAGAAGGAGATTGATGATGCGTTTACCGCCGCGTTTGAGTCTTCGGCTGGCACTTGTCAACATTTAGAAAAACACTCATTGCAAAAAAATATCATTGGCCGAAAGCAAAAAGAAAACATTTTTCGTTCTTACAATTACAAATACAAACAATTAGTTGAAGGCACACAAAAAATACAAATAGTCAGTTTGATACTTGGTTTTTTGTTTATTTCAAATTTGTGTTTATAAAATTGAGAAAAATTTGGAAAAAAACTCATTTTGAAAACTTAATGAACTAAAATGACCTAAATTTAAACGTATACAACTATGATCTATGAGTGTAATTTTTTTTGGTTGTACGTAACATATCTTTTGTTGTATGTAAATGACTTTTGTATTTGTAATTGTCGCACATCATTGATAATATACTGCACACAACAAAAGAAAAGTTATACTCAGAAATTATAATTGCACTCATTTAAATTTATATCTTTTTTAACAGAGACTATTATCCAGATTTCCCCAACAAGGATGAAAAACACATGGAGGCTCTGCGGGCTGAATTTCTACCATGTTTAGAGACCGTAACACATGCATTAACTATATTTTCTTCGCTTGCATGTCATAAAAAGTAAACATTATCCACGAGGCTCGGCCCGAGAAAACTATAGAGCGGAACGGCATCTTGATCTAAATAGAACTTTATGCGCGAAAATTCAGAAATCAAATTCAAACGATTAAAAAACGAAGAGAAAAGAGATGATGAAAATAACATCACACTGTTTAGTGGTTGGCGTGCAGTAATATTTGTATGCACTTTTATAAATTTATAGATGGAACATCATGCTTTGTATTTTGTGTAGTATGACATCTACTGCCTCTTATCCTTAATATAAAAAGTACCACTTCTGATTTTTAATATAATAACTAGTTGAATAATTTGATTAGATTAAAAAAGTTTGTTAAGTTAGTTATTTGCAAGGTATGAAAAATCAGACTGGTTAGTGAACCGATCAAAATAGTGGGTTAAGGGTTAGTAGGTCGGATCAGAATTAACCCGGAGTCAAACCGGTAATCATTAAAATCATGTGATTAAATTAAAATGTGTAAAAAATATTTACTAATAAAACTATAATTTTAAATTATTTTATTATTAGTATATAAAATGTATTTTCCTTGTTATTTCTCTCTCATTCACCTACTCTTCCTTATCCGTTGTCAAATTTTCTTTCTTCCTAGTGTCATTTCATCACTTCACTTACACTCTATTGTCAAATCATCGTTCTTCTAGCTTCTAAGTCACCATTTCTTTACGTTGGGAGTTAAACGCAAACCTCTCACACAAAAGAAGATCTGCGTCTAGCCATGGAGGTCACCTCTTCCATTCACCGATCAGCGCTAACTCTTCAGTCTTCACTTCCATCATCAGAATCCACTATGGTAATGCCACAGCGTGTGCCGTTCTTTTCAAATGTAAACGCATTCACTCTTGCCACTTGCTCTTTGCCTCTTTCTTTCGTATTCTTCCTCTCACTCTTCTTTCTCTCATTGTTTGCAACACCCTCCATTCTTTTCGGTGAGCAAAAAAGTTAACCCGAGCAACCCGCCTAACTTAGTGGGTTAGCCGAGTTATTACCGAGTCATTCCGGTTTATGCCGGGTCCTACCAATTCATATTTTTACCAGTTTAGGAAGTCAACCGGATTGGACAAGCGGCTGGTTTCTGGCCGGTCTGGTCCAGTTTTTAATACTATGGTTATTTGTAATAAATATGAGTCGAATTCTCACCCTTGCTTATTATCTATATTAGTTAGAATTACCATTTGATAAAATATTTAACATGTGTAACTATTACAATAACTACTTTGGAAAAAAATAGATAAGTATGAGAAACAAAGTGAATTTGAGTCTTCTATTTATGACCAGATTGAAAGTCAAGCTAGCTCTTATATCAAAGACTAGAGGTAGCTGTTGACTAATTTGACTAGATTAAAAAAATAGTTAAGTTAATTGTTTGTAATATATAGATGCTGTCTTTTATTAAATATCATTGCTAATCAAGTATATCCTGGAACTACTATTTAACAAAACATTTAACAAGTGCAATTACTACAGAGGCTATCTTGGAAAAAATAGATAAATATGAAAGATAAAGTGAAATGAGGTCTTAAATTTAATATCAAATTAAAAATCAAACCAGCTCTTATATTAAATAATGGAGTTAGTATGTATATATCAGCAAGAGATCTCTATGAATTTATTTGTTGATAAATAATTGAGTTCCTCATGCTTCAGTTTGTCAACGAAGTTCCTCCGTGGAAAGATCAGAGGGGCAAGCGTACTAAAACTAGTTATTCTCGAACTGAATTATAAACAAGGAGAATTAGAATCAAATCACAAGAAAGAAAAAATAATTACTAATAAGTCTTAATAACAGCCTCAACAGTTTATAATAACAAGTTTCATAATAAATAATAACAACTTTTGAGATTTTTTTTGCAACTAATTTTTTTCTCAGAATTTGATTGTAATTTTCCCTTATAAATATGTTCATTCACTTATGATGTAATTTCAGGATGGCTGAGTTCTCCAGCACTCATCCCGTTATTAATTAGATCCACCCTTTGCTTCAGCATCTTGTTTTTGTCATTTGTTTCATGTTGCTGTCCCGATATTTTATCTGCATAGCCAGTTCTTGGAGGGGATCAAACTTTGACCTTACTATTATACTACCTAAAATTTTTAATATAAAAACCAGTTGAAGATTAAATTTAATCATAAATATAAAATATCAATTCACTTTATCTCTCCAATATATAATGTTTTGTTTAAAACATCTCTATTGATTGGAAGGAGTTTTTAGCAAAGTATATTTTCAACTAACGCACATGATTGAAGAGATAATTTAAAAAAATTAACATATATTTATTATAATTAACTAATTTAACTAAATTTTTTTAAGTTCTTCAAATTAGTTTTTTAGTTCTTACGGCAAACATCGAAGGTAGCAACACCTAGATACGCAATATTAAAGAAAGTCATCAGTAACTGATTCATGGTTTTTTTCAATAAACAAAATACTCATATGTCGTTTGACTTTAAAATACGTACACACGTGTTAGCATAAGTCAAGCCGCTCGGGCTTTTTCCCCCTCTTTTTTTTTCCCTCTGGGGATTATCAGTAAATCATAGTCATAGGCAAGGGTGTCTCCGCATGTGCTCAGTGTAAAAGCATTAACGGCCACGCAGAGAGACTGTTCTTCCACGGATCGAGCTGGCCAAAATATCTGTTTGTTTGTTTATCTCCCTCATGAGTGTATATTTGTTGCTATCAATAAAAATTTATTGGTACTATTTGTGTATATATATAATCAGCAGGAAAATAGATACTACATCAGGTCTTTAATATAAGACCCCGTTTAATTTTTATTTTGATTCTAAATATAAGATCCCAGTATATTTTGTCTATCATAATTTTTCAATTTTTTTAAGGATAATCCTTCTAATAATGATAGTTATAACCAATAAACTTGATTAGTAAGGATATTTTAGAAAAAATAACATCTATTTATTATAAAAAATTAATTTAATTTATTTCTTTGATTTACTCAAATTAATTAACTAATTCTTATATTTAAGATCGGAAGTAATATTTATTAAGCTGAGGTTGATATATACAGGCGACCGTAAAGGTGACAATTCACAAGGATGCGACCAGCTGTGAATATTGATTGTCATGGAATACCTGACGATCCGGTCACGAATCTGCGTACAGATCAAAATGAAAGTTGCAAACAGAACAGGCCAGAGGTGCAAATTCAATCCATGCCAAGTGGCCTAATCAATGAGGAATAATGTTTGCAAATACTCCTCCTATCCTAAATGTAAGACCCTTATACTATTGTGCATAATAGTCTTATATTTAGGACCGGAGGAGTAGCATGTTAATATTAAACCAACCAACGTATAATATATTGAAGAGTTGCCCGTCAAATGACGTTCAGCGAAGATTGGCGAATATTAATATGGTGGAAAACGTTTTTTCGGAAATAAATATTAATAGAAAACTTCTGTTGCATTTACAAGTTTTTATTCGGCATCGAGCAGTTTTAGCCTCCAAAATAAGTGGCATATTATATCACTTGAATTGATGACACTTGAAGCATAAGAAAAATATATAATAAATTATCGGGGCAGGATGAAATTCGATGAGCAAAGTTTTAAAATTAAAAAAATTAGCACAAAAAGAACGTCATGTGCTGCATGTCATGATCAGAAGCATGGATATATACATACAACTAAAAGTGATGGTCCTAAATTAGAGTGATAATTAGTTCAGAGTTGGGAAGTCTTGTTCATATTCAGCATTCAGTGTCTTGAAACGAAAGTTTTTGTCTAATGAAGGTCTGAAACCGGGGGAGCAGCATTATTCAGTAACGGCACCATATTTGTTAACGCCTTCCCACAAGTCATTGATTTTTTCCTTCCCATGTACAATTTTTTACCTGTGAAAATAGTCTTTTCTGCTTAAAATGAAAAAAATTTACGAGTGGTAAGTGATGATTAACGAAATTTTGAATATATGCATGACACAGTGACCCCATTAGCTTCAGGTGATGATTAAACCCCAGAAGGCTCCAGGTGTCGCTTCACTATTGTTATCTCACGTCATAATGCATTTTCAAAGCAACAGAAATATACACGATCATCTAAGAAGAACATAGCAGCGGCAGAATTAATTTAAGAGGTTGGAGGAGGACGAGGAATTATTAGAGGGAGTACGTAAACCCCACAGACCCCAACACTAAAAGCCCATCAGTATATTGCGCACTTCGATCACTTATTAAAGTGTTGCCAAATGTAGCGAAACAGATGGTGCGAAGCTGATCCCAATGACGTTTATGGTCCCGCCCCTCTCTATCTCTTCATAATTACCCTTCTCGTCCTTCCTTCTTAATTAACCCCTCCCCTTCCGCGTTGAAACTTGAAACCCTAGTTTATACGGTCACTACTGGAGGCACCACAGTTTGAGAAAAACATCCTCCTCTAGGTCTACATGCACCAATTCCATCTCTATGATTTGGCGTAATAAGGAATGAGTAAATTCCCTTGGCAGTGGAATGCGTAGAATACATATCGTCAATATATAGACCGTACTTTTCAAACTTTAAATATTGTAGCTAGGGAACACTTTCAGCTTGTAGGTTTTCATTTCTAAATCAATCATATTGCATTAGTGCAGACTTTAACCAACAAAATATGAAATCACCGTTTCATCGATCTAAAAAATTCGATCCCTCGCCAAACATTTTTTTATGCGTAAATATCACCTTTCGCTCGTTGTCCCCACTTTGTCACTGAGGTTCACAGTACGCGTTCTAAAGGTGATCACAGGTCAAGTCCGAAAGCGTCATGTTATGCAGAGAGATGAAGGTGATAATCACCTATCAGATCTCGGAATATTTCACAATATATGTGGGTATTTTTCTGATGGATAGTCAAGAATAATGGAGTAGATGGATGAGTTTGGCAAGAAAAAGACCTTCACGATGCGAAGCTCCAACCCATGGTTTAAATATATGCTTATTGCTTACCACGTTAGATCCGAGTAAATTAACCCAGCCAATCAAGCCACAATCCCTATTGTTTACTCTATCTAGTATATTATAATAAGAGCACAAAGGGAATAAAGTCTATCTATATCCGTATAATAATTACATATATGTATGGAGGACGGAGGATTTGCAGAGTGGAGGATATTATTCTTGCACGGGGACCAAGAGGAATGTTTGTGGGGCCCCATAGGTGGAAAAAGAGGGGACTAGAGAGTCAAGCTCGAACTTCTTTAATTAGCTTTCTTTCAACATAAGAAAGAAAAAGGAGAAGGAAGCCCCCCATGTGGGGGATATGGAGTGAATCGAAATTAATGATAATCTACGCAAATGCAGCAAAATGTGGTTGAATGACCCTCCCAACAACAGAAAAAAGCAACATCTATACCATGTAGGTCAAGCAACACATGGAAACCCACTTTCTTCAAATTTAAAGTTCTGCCTCGCATTGGCTTTCACATTTCTGTCACCCGTCTTGTTCACCCCATTTCGATTAGTAATCGCTCTCAAAGGAAAGCAATCAGCAAGAAGAATACCAGTACAATTGGCTTCCGAATATGCATGCTCTCTCTAATTTGTCAAGGTGCTATATGCATGCTAGCTAGCCGGGTTTGAAAGTAATGGAGTATATGCTTAATTACTAATTTAATAGCCATTCTTATTTAGATATGTCCTAGTGGCTAATTCGTGAAGACTGCTTTAATGGGCGGAAAGAATCTGTAAGAACAAGACGTTACTGATTAAGATCTGACAATACTTCTGACCAGTTGGCAAGCAAAAATAAATAATAACGAGGGGGTGAAAAGAAAAGAAAAAAGGACAGATAGGGAGACCACTTTTGCTGTAAAGGATTTGACACCCATCATTCCAGACTCACTTTATGTTCGAGGTTTTAATTTTTAAACCCATAAATATCATACACACCAAATTCAACCACATATATACATGAAATATCCCATTTACGAAATCGTTTAGTTACCTTATTAGAACGATTAACTTGCAGATCGTGACTTGACCGAAATCTCTCGCTTACATATGACCGACTGCTGTATCTTCGCACCCGACAACAAAGAACGACAGTAGTTTATGTGCGTACGATGACGTGCTGATAGGGCAAACCATGGTGTGTGATGAGCATAAGCCCAAGGGGAGAGCCCAATCCCAAAAGACTAGCCTATTGGGAGGGAGAGCCCCTTGAACTTATAAACCCCACAACACTTGTGAGATTCCCCAATGTGGGACTCATAACAGAGCACCCCTCTCGAGAGCCGACGTCCCCGGCGGCTCCACTCTACGGCACTTCACTCGGTCTTCTTACCGGTCAGAACCCTCCGCAGGTAGCCCTTTCCGGTTGGTTAACTCTCAATGAAAGCACCATTGTGATGAGCATAAGCCCAAAGGGAGAGCCCATCCCAAAAGACTAGCCTATTGGGAGGGAGAGCCCCTTGAACTTATAAACCCCACAACACTTGTGAGATTCCCCAATGTGGGACTCATAACAGAGCACCCCTCTCGTGGTGCGGTGAGCGTGGAAAGGGCTACCTACGGAGGGTTCTGACCGGTAAGAAGGCCGAGTGAAGTGCCGTAGAGTGGAGCCGCCGGGGACGTCGGCTCTCGAGAGGAGTGCTCTGTTATGAGTCCCACATTGGGGAATCTCACAAGTGTTGTGGGGTTTATAAGTTCAAGGGGCTCTCCCTCCCAATAGGCTAGTCTTTTGGGATTGGGCTCTCCCCTTGGGCTTATGCTCATCACAATGGTGCTTTCATTGAGAGTTAACCAACCGGAAAGGGCTACCTGCGGAGGGTTCTGACCGGTAAGAAGACCGAGTGAAGTGCCGTAGAGTGGAGCCGCCGGGGACGTCGGCTCTCGAGAGGGGTGCTCTGTTATGAGTCCCACATTGGGGAATCTCACAAGTGTTGTGGGGTTTATAAGTTCAAGGGGCTCTCCCTCCCAATAGGCTAGTCTTTTGGGATTGGGCTCTCCCTTTGGGCTTATGCTCATCACATGGTGCAACTGTTGAGGCAAATTGTGAAAGGATATCTGGTATATACAACATTATCCAGAGCTAAACATAGTTATACTACTTGTAAGGTAAATTAAGCTCAAAACTTATGACAAAGTTTATGACATCTTGAAGCTAGGTATATCCTGAAAAGAATTCGAGTTTCAGCATATATGCAACCACTTGATCACAAACTTCTGGGTCAAAATGCAAAAATTAAAACAGGTGAAAGTAGGGAAAGAAAAATTAATTATAAGAAGATCTTCACCAGAAATGAAATGGATTTAAGAACGTAGCCATAAACAGAAGTCATATACCCTATTCATGTTAGTGGTCCGGAATCTGATCAATTAATTCAAACAGTCGATCACCAAATTTTTAGGGGAAAAGAAAAGGAAGAAGAAGATGATGAAGCAGCAGCTAGAAGACCAAACCCCCCCTTGGCTTTTTTGCTTTTCTTTATAACTCTCTTCTGCAATAATAATATTTTTACCACGATCCTCCACCTAACATGCCATTCCAAAACCCCGTTGAATCCGCATGGCTTCTATTCTGCTCATAATGATCAGTACTACTTGGAACTTGCTTCAAATCCTCAGTAGGGAACAACAACCTCGCACCGCCATCGCCACTACTTCCCTCGTGCATTCCAGAAATACCCCCGTACCCATTTGCAAACCCTTCAAGACTGAAACTAAGCCCTGGAGGAGGCTTAAGATCTTGCAAACTAGGAAATCCACTCGAATTATACATTGCTGAACCGGAAGAATCCGACGCCGACATAGGCATCAAAGAACACAGAGTCCTTGACGACGGAATTCCAGTTCTCAGAAGCTCCATCGAGGATAACTGATCGTGATGAGAAGCTATACTCTTGTCTTCAGTATTAAAAGGAACCTCGATAAATTTTGATATGCTATTGTTGTAGTCCTCGGGTGCTGGTGGTGGGCATGCTAAGTTAAGATCTTGGCCTTGCTGGATCTTGGGGTTCAGATCAGGAAGCTTCTTTGAGGATGAAGATGAAGAAGTTGAAGGTCTCTTGTTCTTTCGGGAGCCTCCACCCACGGGAACATTTCTCAGGGACCCACCTTCGGTCCAGTACCTTCTACAAGTCTTGCAGAAGTATCTGGGCTGAGAGAGGCTATAGTTATTGTAGTAGCAGAATTTAGTGTTGGTTGAGTTGCACCGCGGGCAGTTCAGAGCTTGATCTTTCTGAGGCCTCGCCTTTCTTTCTGTCGTAGGAGGCTTCGGAATTGAGCCTTCCACCCCGGGCTGTTTAACCACTCCAATCCCCTGAAATATATTCATCCAGAATTTAGAACCTATACATATAACCCAAAAGAGGAAACCAACAAGACGATCAAACAAGGACGCTGCTCCTTCACAAAGGGATTTACACGCACAACAGGTACGTAGCAACAATACAAACAGATTTATTAGCTTTTTCTCGGGTCCTTTTATCAGATGGTGGAAAGGAAGAAAAAAGGGAAGAAAGAGGAAGGTGCAGTACTTTCAATAACAGGGAAAAAATTGATATATGAGGTGAAGATCTTAAATTAAAAAGACACAAACCTAGCAGCAAAAATTGAATTTAGTGGGGGACTGACGAGCCTGGCAACATGCATATGGTCTCTTGAGAGTTGAAAAGTGGATGAAAAAAGTAAACCTCACTCATCAGAACTCGGGAATTAATAATCGAAAGAAATTGCAAAACCCGAAGCAAATCTTTCATTGAGATTATTCACAGAAGAAATTTTGATATGCGAAGAAAAACAGAGAAAAAGGCCTTTGGGTGTACCTGTGCCCACTGAGCTGTGTCCATGGATTAAGAGGAACGAGAAAAAGCTATGGAGTGCCGAGAGATAGGAAAGACAGCCACTTTCTAGAGGTTGGGTGTCAAAAGCAGGCAAGTGTGAAAAGCTTTGAGGGTTGGGGATTATAGTGGTGGTTCCATGTGTTGCCCACTAGCTGCCTATATTCACTCCAAGGGCAGCATAGTCTTTTTACACACACATGACTCTTTGGCACTTATGGCGAAATTTGGATACATGGCTACATGCATACATGCATCAGTTCTTCTAATAATTAAAGTATCTTCCATAATCTTCCATTGATGTGTTTCTGACTGTGCATTGCATGCTCGCTGAATTTAGTCTGATAATTCTTCTCTGACTGCGACCCGCAATGCGCTCGCCGTCATTGATTCTCCAGTATGGTACGTACGTACTTATACTTGCTGTTCTGTTAAATTTGTTATAATTTTCGTTTATAGCTTTATATTGATATTACGGCTAGTTTTATGCATAGTTTCTTTATGACCTTTTTTTTTTTCCCTGGCTGTCAGTATCTTTATGACGTATTGTCGTTTGTTGTGTTATCCATTACTCCCTTCCTGTCATTATAAAACCCTTTTTCGCGGTCTTTAATTATCACAATAGCCTCAATAATTTGTCTAAAATACTATTATTTTTTTCCTTAAATATCCTTTGTTTTCATATTTCCTAACTTCTCGACGACATTGACTCTGCACACGTTTAATGAATCTCATTTGGGATAATTTTGAAAAATTCTGAACTTTTGTGTCAAAATTTACTAACTTCAAAGGAATAATAGAACCGTGTAAAAAAAATATTTGAAAAATCGCGCTATAATAATATAATCTGTTGGCAACTTTATTTATACATGGACAGATTGATGATAATATTCACCAGTTTTGTCGTGTAAGCCGTTAGCGCTGAGACAGCTGCTAAGGAGTGCAGTCTGATATAATGTAAAATTCCAAACATGTACAGCAGCTTGTTTAGGAATATAATTTGAGATAGATAAGGTTCTCAGGGATTAGCGAAATTAATCTGATTTTTACGATAATGGTTAGTGAGTAATAACAAGTAAAAAAAATAGTAAGTTTAATGAAACAAAATATTTTATTTATGTCAAAAAGAACCGATAGAGTGCTGGGGAGTTTAATTTACTGTGTGATTTATTAAAGTCGTGATGCATGTGGGTGAGATGAGGAGATGGGAAAAGGGGGTGTGGGTTGGGGAGAATAAAATTGTGAAGCGGAAAGTGAAAGTAGCATAGGCTATGGAAAAAGAAAAAGGCGGAGAATATATATATATATATATATATATATATATATATATATATATATATATATATAAGAGGGACGCGACAGGAACGGCTGCAGCTCAAGTCGCAACAAAACCAAATGAGAATATAATCTAATCGCCCCAGGCTGCCCCCTCCCACATAAATCTCTCACGATACGCACATATAAAGTAGCAGCAACTCTTGTCATAAGCCTTCAAATTAATTAACATCGTACTTGTGTGGCCTCTAGTGTTCTTCTTCGTTAGAACTGTCCCGGTGAACATTTGGTCCCTGTTTAGCATTACGGTTGAAATTAGTGATGAGTACTTTTCATGTAAGTCAAGACAAAACTCATTTTACATGCTTATTTTGTATCTTGTAAATTATGATTAAAAATCTATTTATAAGCTATTTCAAACTGGCTGTCAATCTTACTCAGTGTTATTTAGCATCAAGAGTAGTTCATATATACTACTCTTCCGGTCCTTAATATAGGACCCAATTGTTGAGTTAGTTTTGGTCCTAAATATAAGATCTATTTCTCATATTTATCACTTTTATCTAAATTATCCCTATAGATACTCCCTCAACTATAATCAAGTAAAAGAGAAATAGGGGTATTAAGAAAGATGATTACGGTATTTTAGGAAAAATGTGTCACATTTCTTATAATTAACTAATTTACCTAACTTCCTTAATCTAATCAAATTAGTTAAATGGGTCTTATATTAAAGATCGGAGGAGTATCTCCTATCCTTAATATAAGAGCTTATTTGATTTTTATTCTGATCTTAAATATAAGATCCCAATCCACTTTATCTCTTATATTGACGTATTTTTTTTCTAAGGTACTTCTTCTAATAATGGTAGTTCTGGTCAATATATTTGATTAGCAATGATATTTTAAGAAAGATAACACCTATTTATTACAAATAACTAACTTAACTTATTTTTTTAATATACTCAAATTAGTCAACTAGTTATTATATTTATGACCGAAGGTAGTGTGTATATACATTAGAAAATCTTTACTTCATTTTGTCCCTTGTAATGTAGCTATATATAGAGTAGTCCGTCGGTCGTATCTCGATGACATACTACGTACTCTTCCGGTTCTTAATATAAGGCCTATTTAACTAATTTGATTAGATTAAGGAAGTTAGGTAAGTTAGTTAATTATAAAAAATGTGACATGTTTTTCCTAAAACACCATGATCATATTTCTTAATACCTCTCTCCCTCTTCTACTTGATTATGGTTGAGGAAATATCTATAGGGCTAATTTAGAGAAAATTGATAAATATGAGAAATGGGTTTTATATTTAGGATCAAAATCAACTCAACAATTGGGTCCTATATTAAGGACCGGAGGAGTATTATATACACTTCCTACCAAAAGAAGGCTGGAGGGCTTGTTCCTATTGACTATTCCTCCCATAAGTTCAATCTATATATATTCGCGCAAGAAACTCCACAACTCAATTTTAGTGCAACTGACAAAATAAGCAGATTTGCACTCGCCCGAACAGCTGCTCGATACTGTTCCTGCCGTTTGTACGCTGCATGTTCCACACCCAAATTCACTAAAACGAAGGGGGAAGCAAGTTGCACTCTGGTTTACTGTGCAGGCTACTTTTTAATTTGTCCTCTTTCACCCGCAACCCAAGAATGCTTTTTGATGGATGCATGCAATGTTCGAGTGAATAAAACTCTCCTCTGTGATTGTGATGATAGGCAAAGCTGCCTTGTTTTTCTGGGACCCGATGGAAGCCCACGTACAGGATCGACCACGTCTTATCTATAAGAAGCATGAATGATCTACAAGTAGGTTGTTGACTTTGTCTGACCATTTAATTTGTTGGTGGGTGAGTTTTCACTTGATGAGTATTAAAACAGAATTGGCTTTTATTTCAGTTGGCCGTGATAATTTGTTAATTGAAGTGATCCTTGTGAATGGAGGGAGAGGCATTATGATGAGGGAGTCAAAGATGTGATGATGCGTGTCAAGAAGAGAGTGATGAGATTCGAAGAAGCATACGGTGGTGGCACCATCAAAGCCGTCTAGCCCGCTGCCTTTGTCCCCTAATTCCGTACCACATTTTCCTTTCTTCTAATGGGACCCCCTCCTGCCTTCCTCCAATAAAATTATTATACGCCTTTGGTAAAAAAAGAACCGGGGCATTGAAAAGCCACATCTTCTCCCTCCCATCCCGGCCCATTCTTTCTCCTTACCTTTGCAGTGCCATTATATTAGGCGTTCAGTTAGTCAGCGCAATTATATCTAATCACTAGCCTCAAATTAATCAACTTTTCCATGTATAATTCCTATCACTGATTCTCACCACCACACTTTAACAGTGCTAATTAGTTTTTTTGTTCTTCCCGGATATACCCTTCTTTGTGGAGGGGGATGGGTAAGAGAGACGATGAGTCAATGACTACCAAGAAAAGTAGATGAGAGATAAAGAACACTAAAAAAAGATTAAAATGCCGAGTGAATTATAATTGGAGTAAAGATTGAAAAAACAGTCACTTAAATTTTTAGACAAGTATAAAATACTATAGCTTGTTATAACTAATGGAAGCTGAGTCTAACAGAAGAAGCCAATCCCTCGTAACGTGATGGACCAAGTTTTAATTCTCGCTAAAAAATATGCTCACATTTAATGTTTGACAGTATTTTAAAAAGAACTGTCTGGACGCACTTATAAAACAGACTAATTTTATCCCAAAAATTGCAACCTGTATATAGGATTTTTGCGCTCCCTGTTTCATGCCTCCCAAAAACGCCGGGTTCCATTAATTGTGAACATGCATATCTGATCAAGGGAAAACACAGGGCATTTGAAAAATAGAGAATTTTTACATGAAAAAGAAGCAGAGATCAAAATGAGGGAAAAAAAAGAGAGGCCATGATCGATTTGGGAATTGGATGGCTCCTATTCATGCCCAATCGATCAAACGCTGTTAAAGCATAGGTATCTTCTTATTAGAGGTAATTCTACTCAAAGCACTGTCGGGCACTAAATATGAGTACCTTTTTCAGTAGAAATTCAAACCTTGATTTATCATGTTATGAGAGACTAGCTCCTTCCGCTAGGCATGTTTTTAAAACAGCATCCGAAGCAAGCTTCAAATATCTCAGTATTTCACTGAAAAATTCCTACCTGGGCTTCATGTTATAAAACCCAGTGAGGGATCCTATTTCGGACTTCTCTTTGAACAGGGACTAACAAATAGTTTGGGCTTTACTGTTTTCCTTTTTTGCCACATGGGTTTTAATGTTTTTGAGAGAACATTCCCCCCTTAAAAAGCCTTAACCCCAGCAGGCCCGTAGGTTTCGTTGGGCTCAAAGCCCACAACGTGAGGAAATTTTGCCCCCTTCGCCCGATAATCTCTGGCGCCAAAACTGATTTTCGCGCTCTGAAACCCCCACCCTCAAAAGGAAAAGAATTTCGCGCGAATGCGAATTAGCGCGCCAAGGACCTTCCAAAATGGCTTAAGGTCACCAGCTCGGCCTCTCGCCCTCTCCGACCTCTAAACCTTTCTCGCATCCACTGCTCTGGTCACTGTATCGTCGAGACCATCAATGTCACTCCGACGAAGGACTCTCGCGCTGAAACCGGCATCCAAGTCCCCTTCAATCGGTAAATCGTTCGATTGCGATGACGTGTGCTGCGAAGAATGTGGATCCGGCCACTCGCCGGCCAAGTTGATTCTTTGCGACAAATGTGATCGAGGATACCACCTCTTCTGCCTCAGACCCATACTTGTTGCTGTGCCCAATGGATCTTGGTTCTGCCACTCTTGCTCTAAAAACAAGAAGCCCAAGTGTATGTTCCCTATATCTTCGTTAATTTACATGTTGATTGAATGGTGTTTGTATTTAGACATCGAACCATGAATATGTTTACTGCTTGGTTTGGAATCGGGTTTTTGACTTGATTATTATGCTTTTTCCGGCTACTTCACTTGAAATTGCTTAGGCTTCATCGGTTACTTTTCTCATTCCCTTGGAGATCTATATTTACTGTTAGTTTTATGGAAGAGGGTCACCATGCGAAGCAAAACCAAGAAATTGGATTTAAGACTTCTCCTAGGGCCTTCTGCTGATTGGCACGAATAAACCCAATTTACCAGCTGAAAATTTTAAACCCGTTCATTTTCAGAGATTTATGATAATTTGCGCCTTGAAAATTATATCTCTTCCATGATTTCTTTGTGTGTGGATATTTCACGATTTTTTGTCCCATTTTTCTTAGTATCTTCCCCGTAGCCAGAGATGCTCATACTCTTCCGTTGAAATGCAGCTTTTCCTCTTATTCAGACTAAAATTATTGACTTCTTTCGCATTCAACGGTCGCCGCAAGCTCCTCAAATATCCAGTCAAGGTAAAGCGGATATATGTTCCGTTCTCATTCTACGCATTTATTTAAAAGGGGAAAAGCAAAATCCTATGGAAGGTTGAGTCTAATTAAATTCTAAATTTCTGTGTTTCTTGAATTTAAGATATCCGAAAGAAACGAAAGCGGGCTACAAGCCTGGTGGTGTCGAAAAAGAAACGAAAGCTGCTGCCTTTCTGCCCAAGTGAGGATCCCTCAAGGAGATTAGAACAGATGGCATCTCTGGCAACGGCATTGACAGCAACTAACGCAGAATTCAGCAACGAGCTTACTTACATGCCAGGAATGGCGCCGAGATCAGCAAATCGCCCGTCTCTCGAAAACGGTGGAATGCAGGTAACTTGGTTTATCTTTGCTGGAGGTACCAACAAGAGATGGTGCATGCTAAAAAAATGCCCCTAAAATCAAGTCAATTGTGTTTGCCTAAACTCAATGGCTCAGACCCAAAAAAATAAGTGGTAGGGCATGCCTTCAATTTTTAAGGTGACTCAGTAGGGGAGAAACTATTATCATCTGCATAACTTGTACTCATTTTGCATCTGTTCGCGGAATCTTTGTAATTACACCATCAATTTGTATGACCAAAATTCAGCATTTGAGTGTTGAGGACAAAGATTTGCAATTCAGTGAAGTTTTCTATCTGTTCGTGATTCAGGTTTTGTCCAAAGAAGATGCAGACACCTTGAACCTGTGCAGGAGTATGATGGAAAGAGGAGAATGTCCACCCCTCATGGTTGTTTTTGATCCTCAAGAAGGGTGCGTATCCATGTGAATTAAGCTCTGGAGTCTTGTCTGCCCCCTCGGCATTGAAGTTGACCTTTTAGCTCCTCTTCACGCAGGTTCACTGTTGAGGCAGACAAATGGATAAGAGACTTGACGATAATCACAGAGTATGTTGGAGATGTTGACTATTTGAGGAATCGTGAGAATGATGACGGGGATAGCATGATGACACTTCTTTCCGCTTCTGATGCTTCACAAACGTTAGTAGTCTGTCCGGACAAACGAAGTAACATCGCGCGGTTTATTAACGGCATTAATAATCACACACCGTAAGCTTGTTTTCCCTCCTTAATTTTATTGGGAGCAAGATGATTTTTATGAAAAAGAAACTCAACAGTGCGAGTTTGATGCAGGGAAGGAAAGAAAAAGCAGAACTTAAAATGCGTGAGGTTCGACGTCAATGGGGAGTGTCGGGTTCTACTGATTGCAAACAGAGACATATCAAAGGGGGAGAGGTTGTACTATGACTACAATGGAAGCGAGCATGAATATCCAACGGAACATTTCGTGTAAATGTTGATTTTTTTGCCACTTAGTGAACGATCCTAAGATGGGATAATACAAGCAATAACAAAGCTCCATTGAGTCTAAAAAAGCGATTTGTATTCATTGGTTTGGTTTTGTTTTAGTCGGGCTAAAATTCAACGAATTATATTTTTCGTAGAAAATCAAATCAAATCATTACTCTAAGATGCCAAATGGCGCCCTTGCGATTCTCTTTTCAAATGTTCTTTAAACATTATTAGTGATATCTATTTACCAATACGATCGTAGTAGATGAAAGTATTTCCAGCAAAGACCAATAAAAGGGAAAATTATAGGGAAGTTCCAGCAAAAAAATTATTATGCTTTGAAGAATTTATTCAAAGACATGCCGAATAAATTATAAGTTTTAAAATGTTTTGGTTTGATTCGTATATATTGTGGCACCTGCTCAAAATTATTCCATTTGGGTTGCGTAACCTGATAGGGAGAAGAATAAAATGATTTTATTTAATGTTTTATTCCCTTAGTAAAAAGGGGACGTGTCAGAAAGACCCAAATGCGTGACTACCATACGGCCCACCCATATTTCATTGGGCTTTGTTTGAGATCCAAAAGAAATGTTTGGGCTTTGCTTTGTGTCGGTGATCAGAGGGTTCTCTAATAAATCTTGTAGCTGTTTGTCAACCGGATCCGTGGCGCAATGGTAGCGCGTCTGACTCCAGATCAGAAGGTTGCGTGTTCGATTCACGTCGGGTTCAAATCCCCGATCCGTAGCTACCTGTCGGATCTTTTTTTCGTAACTCGAGTTTCGTTTTCCTTTAGTTTCTTACACACTGGCCATGGCGTGAGCGCAGCACGAGCTTTTCAGGATTACAGGTCTTCAGTAACTGGGCAATACTTCGAACCCCCCACACCCACCATCGAATTATGAGTTGGCTGAGGGCTGGCTTTTCTTTTGCTTTTCAGATATTGGCATGACCTCCAAAATAACAGAGAAATCAACGAAAGGGACATATATGTATATAATACCTATATATATTCAGTTGCGAATGAATGAGAGAGACCTTGGGACACAAACGAGTAAAGAGAGACGATAGTGAGTTCTAAATTATACAGCAGCTACAGCACCAAAACAACTCCCAAGTTCACTTTCTTGTTACCTGCTTTGTTGATCCTTTATTTCTAGGACCACCCTGCACTTACCTATGTCCGTGCATGTCTCTCTACTCACACTAAAATCTGCCAACCCCTATACGTAGCATGGTCCAAATTAAATGCCTAATCGTCGCCGTCTGATTCTGATCAGACGATCACACCCGACAGTGGTCCCACACCTCTTGTGGTCCTATGATACGTACGAAGCAGAGGGAGGAGTGTACTTTGTTCAAGGTGTTATAAGGCGCAGCCAACACCAACTTTTTCCCCGCCCCGCCCTGGTTTCTTAGCAAGCACCACCATGTCTGTATATATATGTGTGAGTGTGACAGGCCCTTTTCCCTCTACCAAGGGTTTCGAGTGCAATTTGGGACCATTTATTTGTACATTCATGACTCTCAGACAAGTGAAAGTAACCACTGTGTATGTTATATGTTATAATTAGTTTGGCACAGAAAGCATACACCCAATCGTTTTATAGCTTCTCATGAAATACGATGTTTTATATATATAGGCTCTCTCAAAAGATGAACCATGCAAAATGTTTTACTTTGTAATTATCAGCTCCATCCGTGTCATTTTTGTTAATTTTGGGCTTCATATTAAGAAGTCATGTGAGTGGGCTCATATCATCATCTCAAGATTTTTCTGGTGAGTTGATGAAACGGGACCTGGCTTTTTTTTTTCATGGCACGGTTCTCCAGCACAAATTATTATGCATAACTTCTCTCTCTCTCTCTCTCTCTCATTGTTACGTAGAGCCTATAACTGGCTTGCATACTTCAACATGAATCAGGCCTAAAAAAGCCCCCCGCACAGTATTTTGATTCATCCTTTTCTCCCCGGCCTTCTTGTTGAGAGATGTGCTTTTTCAGACGAAAGAGGGAGGCATATGTACTCGTTTGTAAGTTTCATGTCATAAAAGCATGTATACACCCCCAACTACACTTTTCTCACCAATAAGTAAATTATATTATAAGCTAGTTGACGCGCGTGTTATAGTGAAACTTTAATTTAGTGAATTACATGTACTTGAAAAATGCTGGAGGTCTGGGTTAGTCTATTCTTTGGTGCACTACTGGAGATTATTTTTAGTGAAAAAGAAAGGTTACGATGCTGTTCCCTGTGATTAAAAAGACTAAGGTTCGGTCAGTAAATTATGACGTACGTTATTCTAAAACTATGGCTAAGGCATCAACACCAAATTTGGAAGAATGTGAAAAACAAACAGAAAGAAGTTGATTGGAGTTCGAGTTGTTTAAAGAGAGAAGTGACCACTATAAAATTGTGAGCTACGTGGTAATGGAAGCATAAATTTGAAGCATATTCAACTCAAAAAAAAAAAAAGGAAAACTGGGTGGAGTGGAGTTCATGTAATTGACATTGCATAAAATGGGAATGGCTTATATAGGCAAAAAAAAGAATGAATATAGTATGTGATATATAATTATATATATATTTAGTTGAAGGGAATTAAGGAGGAAGGGATGGGAAGGATCGATGAATGAAAAAAAGGTGTGGGCGATGAGTGGGCGGCCATGTTTTGGAATAAATGAAAGCTATGCAGAGAGAAATGGGAACATCGAAAAAGTGTCACTTGCACATCCTTTTACAGTGATTGCCACCAGACAACCACCTTGTTTTCTGGGAACTTGTCTACTCTCTCTAGCACCCACTTTTGACATCACCAATCAATAGTTCAATACAGATAAATATTCATTCACACACACACCCTTTTCTCCTTTCATTCTCTAAACTTTAAAAAAGAAAGAAAGAAAGAAAGAAAAACTGCATATCTCCTCATTTCTTCTTCCTTTAATGCCTCTAATTGCTTCTTTCAACCGAGCTACCAATGAATTTCAATCCTACCCAATTAATAACTTAATTAATGATCTCAATGTCTCCGCATGTGATCAGGATACTGTTAAACATATTGCTTCATATTAAGTTCGTATTCTTGAGAAATTCTCATAGAGTACATGTTCAGACTACGTACTGCATCATTTATTGAGACTGAGTCTTGATATTATTTACAGATTTATTATAGAGAGCATCATGAGATGAAGTGTGTCGTGTATGTGTTGAAACTTGGCAGCAGGGAAGGTATATCTGCCTGTCCTGTGCGGCGAAAACAACTTCAATCATGTTGAACCCTACAAGTGTTTTTTTGGACATTAAGGCCCTTCTCGTACCTACCTATTTTTTTTATTGCATTTCTTACTGGTAGTGTGTTTTTACCTACACTTCCAGATAGAAAAGATGTGTCTTTCTGCAGCAAATTATTATTGCTACTCATTTTTATCGTTTTCTGGGGAGCTTTCTTCGTCGTTTCTATTTCTCAATTCAGCTCACCTCACCACAGATATATATATATATGTGTGTGTGTGTGTGGATTTTCAATGTTTCTTTATCATTGATTAATCATTATTGTTGCTTATAAAATATATTCCCTTTGGGTTTGTTTTGATCCGAGATTGAAAGTGAGCTATATTTAAATTAGATAGCGTGAATTCAACAGAATATTAAATTTGATATACGGAGTAAAATGGCGTACTGTAAATATAGAATAATACCCTCGGAGTGTGGGTTTACGAGTATTTTAATGATTTGGAAGCGGGTTAAGAGATGAAGTGCCGGGGATGAAAATGATTGTGGGTTTTGAAAAGGGGAGCGAAAAGAGCAATTAAGAAAGAGAAGGAGGGGTTGTTAAAGTGAAAAATCGATGGCAAGGAGGGCATCCACGTTAAGGAGGGCATTGAGTTATTGTCGGCCAGACACACATCAAATAAGAAACAACATTATTATAATCAATATTGTTTGGTGGGTTTGCAACTAATCACTAACAGATCAGCCCCCTCATTTCCCATTCCTTTAATTGTTTGATTTATTTATTTATTTTAAATATTATGTCGGCTGCCCCACTCTTTCATTTCATGCATCCGGTCATTTATGCAGTCATATATTCCCGCCTTTCATTATTATTCCCCACTCCTCACCTCATCATCACTTGTCCTCTTTCTCAATCCGTTCATTCATTATTTTGCCTTAATTTTGTTTAGCAATAAATGGGTTCTATATAAGAGCTGAGAATTTTCTGGTTCATCTTTGCTAATTAAAACTGCGCTCTGATTAATGATTAATTACGTACATGCGAGTGAGGCGTGAAAATCATCAAAACTCAGCCATATGTTGTCTGCTGATTAATTAGCTTCATAAGCGTAAGGGTGGCTAAAAAAATCACCATATGCTTATTAGGTAGTAATGGAATATTAATGATGGACTGAGGAATCAATGAAGGGGGAAACGTGAATTAGGGAAGGATACTATATATATAGAGTAATGCACGAGAGAGTTACAGCTAGCGTGGACTGCTGAGAGAAGAGAAGACAGGAATATGCATGAACTGACCCATTAGTTATTATAAATGCATGCAGAACCAGGCTAGCTGGCTGTTGTGTGTCGCTTATTTAATTTCTTCCCTTTCAAAATATGGCAACCGAGGATCATTAGTCCATGATGCATGTGTGTGTAGCCAAAGATGGATAAAATTAAATCCTAATTTGACACGCACATATATGTATTAATCAGCAGCAACGTAACGAAGTGTGAAGACCAGCATCCTTGGTTTAGTCAGCCAGAAGCCAAATTGAAAATTAGATTAAATCAAATCACAAATTCTGACGCAGTTATTACTTAGCTGGGTTCCTAAAACATGTAATTAGGGATTCATTCTGTAATAGTATGTATAGAAAGTCTCATGATTAGTACTAAAGCCTCTTCAGGAAGTTTATTGTTTGAAGTGATTAGTTATTGTTACAGCGGTGAATATTCTAAACTTAACCAAAAAAAAAAGATGAATGCAGGGTGAATGGTAGAATGATAGGGGTTAAGCTGTAAATTCGGAATTCCTGAGGGAGCCGGGGTGAATAAGTCAAAACACGATGGACCCGTGTCTTACACCAAGTATGCCTCCTCAGGGTCGTTCCCATTGCCCCAACACCAAGAGGTTGCACGTGGCTTTCGCACGTACGTGTCCCGACATCATATTTTTGGCTAATCAAAGACTAATTTTCCTTCCACTTCCCATCGTGCATCGGATCTTACAAATATTATTAAAATTTCACCTATATGTAACATATAAAGATATCGGTCGTTCAAGTTTTATTTTCCCGACCATGATTATAGCTGTTGTCTGGCAGACTGTGATAATTTCTTTTTCACTCATTGCACCAATTTACATGCAACTCGTTTTCTTTCAGCTTATTTCCCCCTGATCAAGACTACAATATGCCTCTTCGATATTGAAGCCTCTAACTTGTTTCAAAAGTATAATCATTGTGTCTCATCGCATCTTTAATTAAATCGCAAATTAAAAAGTTCAAAACCATATGCTGTTCATATCATGGGAGGATGCTTTGCTCCTTTGAAGGGCCTGAGATCGATCAATTGATTGTCTAAAATAATTAAATAAATTAATCGGAAGTTAGCTTTTAGGGTAAAACCAAAATGAGGGGGACATCTTGATTTACCTACTTTGTCTAGCCGGTCGGCATATGTCTGCAATATCCTCTACATTTCACCATAACACCTAATGAGTGAAACCAAAAAGTGCAAACACTGAATCACTGGTGCTTAATTTCTTAATTAATCCTGCCTCCGAACGAATCAAAAAAGCGGTTTCTCTTTTTTTAAAATAATTAAACTATCATCAGCTTTCTCCAAGTCATCTCTCTTTTTCACTTCCCTCCCTTCACTTCAACGAATCCATCATGTAATAATATTGCATGACAAGACATTGGCACCACGCACTTTGAACTTAGACGACTTGTTAATTGTAAAAGCACATCTTTTCTAATAGGGGTAATTATCAAAGGGCAGGACCTAATGAGACAAAAGCGATCGAAAGTAAAATTGTTGGTTTAATTGGAAGCAACAAAGGCCCTCCCTTTCTGACTTTTTAGGGTTTTGTATGGTCCTCAAGCAGACATCAAACCCCTAAAACATGTAACCATTTGCCACCCACCACTGTACTCATTTTTAAACATTTTTTCTTTTCCATTCTGTGAAATAAGACAGTGCTCGCAATTTCTTTATTTTTTATTTTTTTGCCGACGACATTGCTCGCGAATTGTCGATCAGCATTAATATCATTTTTATTGTATTGCAAGTCAGGTCCTTTCATCAACATTTCCTTCCCTTTTCTCAAACCAAAAAAAAAAAAAAAGGTCAAACGACTGTATATGAACTCTAACATTCCACGTTATGGATTAAAAAAAAAAAAAAAAGCAAATTGAGAACCGAATCAAGTTGTTTGGGCAACTCATATAGTAAAATGAGAACCGGGAAGCACTTTTTATTAGTCAGGACCCATCAGACACGTACATAATTTGATTGAAATCTTCATCCCAACTGACCATAAAATGATCTGACAATTGGACCGACGTTAAAAAAAGAAGAAGATATATACACACATATCCAACAAAAATCCACAACTTACAATTAATTTGGTTAATTATAAAAAGCAAACACAATGGAAGAGACTTGTGTTTTTTTAAACGTAACTTCTTGGACTAACGCGTTACACATGATTTAAAAAGAAAAAAAAAACGTGTGAAGAGTACATGATGACTGTTCTGCTTGGGCTTGGTTCTATAAAATGAATTTAAAAGAATTTTTTTTTGGTATCTATATTTTTAATTCGGTTGTAATATAGTCTCTGAATTTTAATTCATATATAATACAGTTCTTAAATTCTTTTTTTTTTTTCTGCCAACGCAATTTTAACTTGGTTGTAGCTTAACTCCTATATTTGATTTGATGCAATTCACTTTCCATAATTTTAATCATTTAGGATTAAAAGGAATGAGTTGCGTTAACTTACAATTAAATCAAAACTATAAATACTAGATTGTATCAAATTAAAGTTTAAAAATTAAGTTTTGATTGAGTGAAAAATACAGCGATCAAATTAATTCTTCATAAATGAAATAATAATAATGAAAGAATTGTTGGGGATAAACTTATGACGACGCAAATGCCCATTCCTCGCGCGAAGAAAGAGCACAGGAGGGTGGACGCATGAGATGGAAAAAGAGGTGACAGCGAGAGGGCCATCCCTTGCGCCGGACCTCTCAATTATGGATTATGAGATTATCAGACCCCCAAACAAAAACGCCAATTTTTTGTTCATCTCTGACCGTTGACTAATTCTTCATGCCCGGTCTTTTCTTTCAGTATATCCGCTCATAAACATTAATAATAATATTAAGAATAATATAGGTTTCAGGAAATAATTTAAAATGAGGAAAAAATCAAAGTGAAAATCGCATTGGGTCCCTCGTTCTGCGTGGAAAATTTCAGTCAAATTAAAATTTGCGACGCTGACTTAGACTCCATGGAAGGTTAGGATTTTGACCTAACCCATTTCTGCGTTCATACGCATACTTTTTTTTTTTTTTTAAACGAACGTACGCATACTTGAACGGGCTATTTTCAACGTATATCGCCAAAAAATAAGAATAAAATAAACTAAACACAACTCATTAATTAACCTGTAAGCACGTGATTTGGTTGATACTAACAATTAGCATGGGATCAGATTCCAGAGTTGGTGGCCTCTAATCAAAAGAATTTCTTTCTAAGCATATTCTATCAGTATAGTATAAAAAATGTAAAACAGGCTTATCGGCATGATTAATCAATAATGTAATGTAAAATATCAAGTATAATATTTAAAAATAAGTCCCATAATAATTATTTTATTCTTGAAAAAATTGTTTCAGATTATTTTTTTCTTTTTTTGTTTTATTCTTACAACAAAATAATATTTTCAGATGTGTAAAAATGCTTTTAATAAAAAATGAACGATAACTTCATTTGCAATAATGTAAGTAGAAGTGGAGGAGATGGAGTACTTTTTTGGCATCATCGATATAAATATTTATAGGCAGATAAAAATTATTTTATATACGTAGTTTATATTTTATAAATTGTAATTAGAAAACTGTTTTCTTAGATTTATTTAGAATGAGAGTAGATGAAATGAGAGAGAGGGAGAGTACGCGCAGAAACACAACCCCAGCTCTCGGAATCTCGTTTATCGGGCCACCATTTCACGAGAATCGATGAGTTTGTTCTCTTTTCCTGTTTTAACCCTTGTCCTTTCTTAAATGGTTAACGACTGATTTTCTATTTCTTTTTTTATTCTGCTAATAATCAAAATTCTGCACATATATTTTCTCGTCTGCCTGGTGCTCCATCTGCTTCCTCCTTATGGGCTCCAAAATGCTCCAATCTTCTGTGGGTGTGTCGATCTGCGTCTTCTTCAGCTTCAACACAATCTTCTAGAGATTAACAAACAGTACATGTAAGCAGGTTTTACCCATACCTCTGTCTGCCTGCTTAGAAATTCAGGAAAACAAATATCTCTTTTGTTGCTTTTGCAAACACTTCGTCCATAATTTCCATTTGCTGATTCAATTCTTCAAACGCAATCATCCTACGATCTCCGGGTCTTGTCTCAATGGATTTTTCGGTGTTTGTTTGCGACTCTTTTGGTCTTTTTTGTATCGCGAAAGTCTTGGTTCATTGGGAATTTCTTAATTCTTAGTAGTGATTTACAATTCAAATTATAGAATTATTGTTCCTTGGAATCCCAGGTTCAATGGGTTTTGATTGGGATCTATGATGGATCTCTCGTTTTCTGTTTTGTTCTTGTTATTATCGTTGTTTTGTGTTTTAAATAAAAGGTTCCGTGGGCTGATATTGGGTTCCGTGCTCCATCTTTCTCTCTCTCTCGCAGTTTATTACCTAGCTGGCCTTGTTCGGAGGGTTAACAGCCTAACAGGAATTGGCCGCGTTTACAGCGCTTAAAATGTTGCTTGCTTGATGGACTCTTGTGGAATGAACTCTAAGAATCATGGCTAGCTTCAGCGAAGACGAAGAATGCCGATTTTTTGATGCTCAAGAGGAGGTTTCGTCTATTGCTGATGGAAATTTAGATGACGCGGACACAACTGACGCTAATTCAAGTTCGAACTACGGAACGTGCACTGGTACGGATTATGACATGTGGATTCGGAGCCCAATGAGCGTGCGAGAGCGTAGGAGTAAATTCATGAAGTGGATGGGACTGGGTTTGGATCAAAGTGCCCTTGAAAATTCTGTAGATGCAAGCGGTGTTGAGGGGAAGAAGATATGAACAGAATCAAAGAAGGTAACGGGAAGGTGACCTTCGATTCTGCGGAGGAGTTTTGCTCAATTCGGTCATCAATGTCTTGTTGGTCTACTGTAAATTCTTTGGACGATCTTGGTACCACGGAGAACTCGGTATGTGAAGATGGGATTTTGGACATGAGAATGAGTTATAATTTGGATCTGGAGGGTCAGCATGTTAAAGAGGTTATTTCTGATCAATGCGTAGTCGCAGGGGCGCCTCGGGACTGTGGGAACAAATCTGAGGATTCTCCCCCTTCCCAACATTTGGCAGGTAAGGAGTATGGTGCGTCCGATGTTTTTGGGCTGGGGACGAAGAGGGCAAAAAGGGGTTGGTTCAAAAAATTACGTTCAATAACAGGCATGGCTGACGGGGAAGGTGATGGAAGGCAAGAAGGCAATTGTGCCCGACGGTGTAGGATCCAAAAAGTTAAAGTCCGTCATAGCAGGAGGCAGAAAAAGGAACTTTCAGCCCTTTATATGGGGCAAGATATTCAAGCTCATGATGGTTCAATTTTGACCATGAAATTCAGTCCTGATGGACAGTATCTTGCTAGTGCTGGTGAAGATATGATTGTGCGGGTGTGGCAAGTTGTGGAAGATGAGAGATGCAATGAAACTGACATTCCTGATATTGACTCATCCTGCATATACTTTACGGTGAATAATCTCTCTGAATTGACGCCCCTCTTTGTGGATAAGGAACAAATGAGCAGACTTAAGAGTCTGAAGAAAACATCAGATTCAGCTTGCATCATTTTCCCTCCTAAGGTCTTCCGGTTGTTGGAAAAGCCATTGCACGAGTTCCATGGGCATAGTGGTGAAATTTTGGATCTTTCTTGGTCAGAGAATAATGTGAGTAAATACCATAAGATCAATTGTTCAATGAACTAGGTATAGAGTCTTTCATATGCGAAATGATGGAGAAATTGATTTGGTATTTCATCTTTTTCTGGGTGCAGTATCTGTTATCATCTTCTGTTGACAAGACTGTCCGGCTATGGCAAGTGGGATATGACCATTGCATGAAAGTTTTCTCGCACAGCAATTATGGTGCGCCTTGCTGCTATTCCATCGTTGCTCACTATTATATGTTATTAGCCTTGTTGGGCAATTAGCAGTTTGCTTGAATCGTTTAAAATTTTCTCACAAATTGTTGTGTTTGATGTTGTTTATATAGTGACTTGTGTACAATTCAATCCTGCGGACAATAGCTATTTCATTACTGGATCTATTGATGGAAAAGTGCGCATCTGGGCAATTCCAGAATGTCATGTTGTTGATTGGACTGATATTAGAGAAATTGTGACTGCAGTGTGTTACCGACCTGATGGGCAGGTATCTTTTTGTTACTAGTTTCATGCTAAAGAGATATTTAGTGAACGATGAGCAATTTCAGTTGATAAATGATTTTCTAATACAGGGTGGGATAATTGGCTCCATCACAGGAAATTGTCGGTTCTACAATGTCTCAGGTATTACGTTCTCTGCATATATTTGATATTTCCTCATTTTTCTTAGTCATATTAATTAGCTGTTTCTATAAACGAATGTTGGTAAATGCCACTTTTGCTATCTCGTTGAACTGATTTTGGCGAGGAAGTGAAACGTCCTTTTATGAAGCAATCCTAATCTCTTAAACATCAGAATTACTTGTCTGTCATTAGCTTATGGTCTTTGTCACAACAACTTCAAGAGTGGGCAGCATTTGAAGGCTAAGTTCTTACTGTTTTGCTGATTTCCGTTTTTGTTTTCATCAGAGAATCACTTGCAGTTGGATTCACAGCTATGCTTAGTTGGTAAAAAGAAACATCCTGTCAGAGGGATAACTGGCTTTCAGGTAATGATTTTGTTTCTTCCTGTGGCAAGACAGTATGTCTGCCCTTCCGTGTATTTTTTGATTTTTAAATACATGATTGCCACTTTTCTTCCTGTGATTAATTGAGTGCATATTTTATTTCAGTTTCATCCCCAAGATCCTGGCAAAGTTTTGGTTACCAGTTCTGATTCAAAAGTCAGAATCCTTGATGGGGACAATGTGATTGGCAAATACAAAGGTATTTTTTTTTTAACTAAATACATTTATGAACAATTCTCTGTTCAAGGACTGGAGGATCAGTTCCTATTTAATAAAACTTTTCATTCAATTTTCTCAAGCATATTTGTCGGCAAACTTAAATTTTAATTTGATATCTTGCGAGCTTTTTGATAAGAGGCCTAGCTGTTGTTCTAATATCTTGGTTCAACAAATGTTATGTTACATTAAGTCTCTATTTTGGTTTTTTAGGCATTAGCACGGGAAGCCAACTATCTGCATCATTTACTTCAAATGGGAAGCACATTTTATCAGCCTGTGAAGACTCTAATGTATATTTATGGAACGTTAGTCAGGAACAGTCTAGTCCCAAAAAAGCAAAGAAGATTAAATCTTGCGAGCGGTTTTATTCAAATGCATCTGTTGCAGTACCATGGCGTGGCTTGAAATCTCAAAATCATGTTTATGATTATCAGTCGGATATACTGGGTCAGAGATCACCTCAAATTATACGTCTCAACCCACCTGCTTCTTTTTCTCTCAGCCAAGATTATTACTTGGAATCCATCCCCAAGGGATCTGCAACTTGGCCTGAGGAGAAGCTTCCTGTTTCAAGCCTCAAGGCTAAAAAGTCTGCAATGCATAAATCTGAATACAAGTTCTTGAAATCTTCTTGCAAGAGTACATCCAGTTCTCATGCATGGGGTATGGTCATCGTCACTGCAGACTGGGATGGGCGGATCAGGTCATTCCACAATTATGGGTTACCCGCACCTGTCTGAAATTTAGTGACTTGGCTAATTTCAACTAGAGAATCGAACATCTTTGCTTTGCTTGAGCATGTTGTCCTGGGCAAATTATATGCTGCTAATATTCTTTAAGGCTTGAGACTGATGTTTGGCAGGACCAGTAACAAAGCTGGTTGAGGTCAAATTCTAATTAGGGATTGCAGCCTAGATGATTCAAGGAACTTTGCCTTTCAGCTCAGCCCCATTCAAATTTTCTAGGAGTAATATCAACAATCGGTGCATGACCGGGGGCAGTTTAAATCAGTGAGTGGCCAAGGTCAAATTGCCTTTTGTTGCACAAGAATTTGTTGACCCCTAAAAGAGATGCAGAGTCATGTGTTGGACCTTTAATATGCCTCATTTGGTGAAAGGAGAGTTGGGGATTCAGGAGCTGGTGGCTGAAGTTTGCTTTGCTAAAAATGGTGGGGAGTGTCTTGCATCATATCATTGGCTCTCATAACTGATAAGATCTGTGTCTCCTCGTTTTCCCATCCATCTGATGGTAGGCCCCCTTGGATCTGGGTTTTCAAGTGTGGTGCCAATCAACGGAGTGGTCATTTCCGCTTCCACATCAGCTCTTTTCCCCGGGGGCAAGAAATATACAAAACAGTACATTCTCATTAGTGGCTCTAACTGACCGAGCGATGGGCAAGTGCTTCAGTGCTCACCATATCATTGCTAACAAATATTTGATATGTATATGTCAGATTTAGGCTAACAACACTTCTGATTAGTTCTGTTACTCAAGTGTCAAATCTTTCGATCCTACATTCATAGAAATGCCATTTTGTTATAGGCAGATAAGTATACGTGTAATTTTCTAATGTAAAAAAAATTCTTTTTTGGATCAGCTTCTTGCTGATGTAATTTTTGTGCGTGGCACTTGACAGCCGAAACGGTTGCTTGGAAATCGAAGAATTTATTGATACTCGAAACTGTTCGAATCGGTCATCATGCATTCTTTTAACATTGGTTCTACTGTATATTGATAATTGGATATATGGACTGAAAAAGAACCAAGGTCGTATAGGTTTAATCAGTCAGAAACAACTCAATGACATTGGAGTTAACAGTGAAAAAGACAAGCGCTAATTTACCGCTCCAATAAGACAGTGACGCGTGAATTATAGTCCGCCATGTGTTTTAATGCTCAATTCCAACCTTTCTATAAGCACCTCGCACTTTTAATATTGTTTATGATGCTGGAAACTGGAAATTGAGAGATATTTGCATGGTCTGCGCAAACAGTTTTTACTTCTCAGTCTGATTCTCAAATCTCTCCTTCCAGTAATCCTTTCTGATTTTTTGTTCAATGATATCCGATTCATCTGAACCGAAAAGGTCCACAAAAACATATCCTATATTTTAAGCCATAAAATCCTACACTACACCTCCAATGAGGTGCACAATTTGATTTTTCAAATACAAGCACCATATACTACTACAAGGATCTAAGAATCTTGGTTCCGAATTATGCATCTGATTTTGAGGAAAAATAATTAGGCAGGAGCGTTATTGGGAAGAATATGCAAGTTCTTTCCATTTCCTATCAAAGATGACATGCACATATTTTTATCGCGTAAAAAAGACGTATAGTGATGTGGAAACACTCTGTATGATCCATAATAATGCTGACTGACATGAGAAAAGACCCAAAATGGGATACCCATTGGAAAAGCATAGCACAACAATTACCAACTGAGAACTTTGAGGAGAAATACAAATGCAATGAAGATAGGAAGGGATAAAGTTAAAGCGAGAACATGCTATCCAAATATTTTTTTTTAAAAAAAATAACAATAAAATGAGCATTTTTTTGAGCTCACAGACCAGAAAAGGAATCCCACCAAGGAGACAGCAGGAACAAAATGAATGATTATTTTTTTGAGGGAATTTAAGGCTTAGCTGTAGCTTCACTCAACCTCTCGTTGTCGTTGGCTTTTCCCTTTTAGTTTAGGCCTTTGAAGTTGGCAAAAACAATTTATTTATTTTGTTTTCAATCTGATTACACCGTTTTGAGATGAGAGGGGGAGACTTAGAAGAGACAGGACGTAATGTTACCCATCTTCTTTACATAGGCGCAGAGTCTGCTACGCAGAGAATCAAAATACTCAAAGCTGAGGTAATCGCCGAAGAATGGACAAGAAACATGACTGTGCGTTAACTTAAGCAGATAGATATGTTTGAGATCAAAACACACGCACCCGACAACCAAACATGTTAACTCTTGTCTCCACCCTCTTCCATGATTTTTCAGTATGCTAATGAATCAATTTTTAATTTAATTTGTTCTGAATTCTCGTCGCAAGATCCCATTTTATCTGGTAAAGTTTTCTCTGAAAACAATTAGGGGTAGTGCAGTGTCATCCGTATTTAGTGTATATTTATTACTTTAATCTCCATCAAGTTATACAGATATGAAAAATTTAAACCGAAAACTGTGGTCAAATATCCCAGAAGAAAGAAACAGCAGAATTGGGTAATGAAACCTGCCTATTACAGATCATTAAGATTAGTTTCCGAGAAATCGTCTAGTTGAATCAATGTTTTGGTGTTTCCGAGAAATTGTATCCGTATATTTTAATTCGTTTCTTGTATTTTAAAGCGTGAGTTTGGTCTAAACAATCCCTATTATTTTTCTGGCAAAAAAAATCCTTATTATTTGATAGAGAAAATTGGTAATTTAAGGAAAATATAGCAAGAGAAAAAAATTAAATGAATAATTTATTGCATTTTAAATATAAAGGTAACTAAAATGTAACTTTGTTGATTTGTTCAAGTGAACAGGTCGGCTGATATTAATTGTCTAGCAGCAAAAAGCTTCCCACTGAGTGGAAACATTAAAACCAGCAAATCTTTCGGCCTTCTCAGTGTTGGTCTCTGACGTAACAAGCTTCACAACGACCAAAACTCATGAAGCCCAAATAAGTGAGGGCCTAGATCACGTGAAAGTGAAAGCATTACCTGAAACCCCAAGATAAAGAAACTGGGCTTTTTGAAATTGCTAAAGTCCAACGAGCCTTTCAAAACCGCATGGGGGAAAATTACGTCTGTAATTTGTTTGCATGGCATGGATTCGCAGCCACGCTGAGAATAATGGAACATCATCTCCTGGGATTTTTGGACTTCCCATTCCCCCGCGCCTTTGCCTTCTCCGGCAAGCTGTTCATACTCTTGCGCTCTCTGGTTCATGTCATTCTGGCTCTGTGCTTTTATCCTTCTGATCACTTCATCCTGTTTATTCTCCGTAAATTTTGGATTGAAGACTTTGTTCAGAGATGAAAATTGTGAATTTCATTTCGTAACACTCTTCTCCTGGTTGATTAGACATGTCACTCTAAAAATTCAAGCGTATAGCAGAGACCACTCACTATAGCATTATTTGAACCACCCTCATACCTTAGTTTTGAATTTTCAGTTGAGTATTCGTCGGAGGGGTTATCTGATGGCTAGTTCTCGAGGGCGTGATTTCCTGTTCTGCCACCTGTGTGGGACAATGCTCACCTTTTATTAAGGGTGCACAGAGCTCATTGTGCTCGACAAAAATGTTAAACCCTTTAAACCTCATATTTTGATCTATTTGTATGCTTTATTTGTTATTAAGTTTTCATATTTTTGGTATTACTGAAGTGCCAGCCGGGTCATTAGGGCTGGACGACTTCTTATCCTACTTTTTCTTATTATTACCGAAAAGTTATTGATCATTCTCTTTTGTGAGTTTTTGGTTCCAAAAAAAAAAAAAAACTCTTCGTGAGTGATTTGGTCTTTATAACAGTGTGTGCTTATATTGAGTTTTCGTGAACTCTCGTTCTTGGTCATTTGATGTTTTCGCAGGATGTTTGCCACAATTTTATATGGATTGAGCCTGGTGCATAATAGCAGACAGTTTTATCTTATTAAGAGATGTCAGGCTGTCAGCAATATGAATTGTACGGTGTATACATGATAGCGATAAATACCTAGTGCAATAGTTTAAGCTATTGAAAGTAACTGCCAGGCTCCTTTTTCCAATAATGCCAAATGAAGATGCAGTTGGTTGAACTGTTTAAGTTATTCCTTGATTCATCTTTCAAAAATCAGGGTCATGGAGACAAATTTGCAGCACCAACTCGTGAAATCTGCATGGCTGCGTAAAAAGTTAGCATATTTGGAATCTACGTGTAGTTGTAACTTAATGAGTTAATTCACTTGATATCTGCTATACGCTAACAGCTAACTGATTGTCCTTGTTTTCAGATATCAGCAGAATAGAAATATGTTACACAATTTTCCGCTGAGTCATGCTTTGCTGCTTTAAATAAGCTGCATATCATTTTCTTTCGAATATATGTTTTCTTGTGATCAGCATATGATAAAACGAATGACATCATAATTCCACAACGTGGGCCTAGGTTTGGCGATTTGGTATGAATATAAGTATATAACAAACTTTGCGATATTTCACATTTTCGTGAGCCCTCGTGTAGGCAGGATAACAGAAGGGAGCTGGGAATTTATTTTAACGGAAGACGGGTGTTGTTTGTAAGAATTTACGAGGCAAAAGGGCATATATGATTTAAGTGACGGTTAAGTTTAGCGGTTTGTGACATTATAAATTCACAGATGCGATGAGCAGATGAAGGGTAAACTACCTTTTACAGTTGCACTCGTTGGGGTCACCAGTTTCAGGAGAACTAAGCCGCTCTTGTCTTGTTTGAATGGATTGGATTACCCCCATCTTTATAGCTGTACAAATTCTTTACTACTGGGTAAGGGATTGGTTTGTGCAATACAAGGAATTGAAAGGCTGAACTCTTCCTACATTGAATTAAGTGAATTACGACTCAATAGTTTACTCGTAAGAACCCTCAAGTTGTTCCCAGAAAGTTTAAATCTCTGTGTGATAGCAAGGACAAGATCGTGACTACAAACTCCAGGATTATCAACAAGCTCTGTGAATCGAAGGGGCAAAAACCTATTTGGCTGTGTATAATTTCATATGTGAGAATTGTGGAATTTCGGTATACTTCTAATTTAATTTAATTAGTTTAACGGGAGAAAGGGTTTTCATTCTAAATTCAAACGAACCCGAGGATAGCCTTTCACCCTTTGTTCAACAATGCAAGCTTCAATTCCTTGAATAACAAATCATCACCTGGTTATCACGTGATGCTGGCACAACCAATTTCATCGCTTCACATGAGCATTTGAAGCTGGCAGCTTTCCGTATAATCACAAAAATCATTATCATAGGTGTACATATAATTCAGACAGTGTTAAGGAATCCATTCGGTTACAATTACTACAAATACAGTCTCCTAAATCAAGTGGGGAACGGTGCATGAAAACAACAGATGTAACAAAGCCTGTCGTATGCGCCTCTTGAGGCAACCAACATCAGGAGTCAGAGGAACACCTAACACAACTAAATCACCCTTGTAGATGAACATGACACATTTTAAGTGATTCGCTCGCCTCAGCAGCTTAAGTTTTCTAGCAGCAGCGAATGGAACACCATGCACCCGTCTTTCTAGCAAGCTTATTTTTGAGAGTCCCGGGTGTCATCGTCCTGGAAGGGCATCAAGAACTGATGGATTCAGGATACTTGAACTCGAGAAATCTTCACAGATGCATTTATATATTACCTGAATGCTTAAGCAAAACTAATCAAATACCAAACATTACGCCAATGTCGTTAAAAGCGACCAACAATTAGTTCTACTCTACGATTGAGGGGGCTTCGAGAGGCGGCAAGGTATAAAAAGTAATGATTTTTGGATATGCTTGGATCTAGAAATCACTTCCGTCAAATTTGAATCAACATTCCACGGTAAAAATTGATTGTTAGATTTGACCCTTTATCAACTATTTCGATCCTCCACCAATCAGGCAAATTTAGATAAAAGAAACCAAGATCCTAGCAATGCACGAACCCTTTTACAATTTCCCCCTTCTCTTGTTCAACATTTCAAAGAGGCACAGATAATACCAAATGAAAAACACAGATCTTTACATAATGTAAAAACATTGCGAGTCAAATTTGTTGCAGCAATTTATCGGGAAAATCACCAAAAAGAGGGGGAGGTTCAAAAGTCAAAAACTCAAATCGTCACAACAGGATAATCATGCGGAACGGAAATATCGACGAATCTACCTAATCTTGTTGCCGAAATACAATAGCAAGAAAATCCGTCTCAGAGAAATGGGAAAAACAAGCATATGTAAGACGGAGTTACCAAAGTTTGAAGGTATAGCAGGTTCAAACGGGAAGGTTGGCGACGTCGTTATTATCAGCAGGAGAGGGTGCGGCGACGGGGGTTTGGTTACTCAGATTGACGGAAGCGGAATTGGAGAGTACGGAGCCGTCGTCGTCATCATCGTCAAGGTCGTCAGAGGTGGAGACGTTGACGCACGACCAACGATCAAGGGATGCGAAGAAGGCAGATGCGACACTTGCTCCGAACCAGCTAGCCATGCCGTTCAAGGTCTCAGAGGACCAGCACCATGTGCCCTGGTTCTCCATCTCTCAATAATCAAGTGTTATCTTTGCGTCCTCTGATGCCCGCGCAAAAATTCCGTCTTCTTTGCCCAGTGAAATGGGGAAGAGATTTCGAGAGGACGACGAAGGCCGGCCAGTACGGATGGGGGAAATCAATCTCTCTCCCCAACGAACCCCCTAAATTACATGGTTTTTTTTAAAGAATATTAGCATCCCGATACAAAAAATGAGAAGATATTTATCATAAAGAATTTTGAAAATTTAAATTTAAATTATTTAGAAAGATCATCTGAAGGCAGAAGGCCAGAAGTTAAAACGAAAAAGACGGTAATACTCGTCCGATACCTTTCTGTCAAGAAAATTTTGAAAGTATTCTTGTAGTGCTTTTTTTTTTGGGAAAAAAAACAGCCATATAACGAGCTGCTTGAATCCGGTGAAAGCATGTTTAAATAATGGCTTTAATACAAGTAGGTAGTTTAGTGAATGCTTGGAATTGCATTGAAACACGTTAAAACTTAAAAGGATGGACTCGGCAAACTTTTTTTTGTTTTTAAAGAACGTGATATGATATTAATCATTGACCACATCTCTACTTTCGCTAACACCATAATTTTTGGGGTTTTTAATGTGAAATTACATAAATTATAATGACAACAAGCACTCATATTCTTTTTTTTTTTTTGCTAAAGTATAAGTATCCTTTTATTAGAGGTAATCTTATTTAAAACACTATCGGGTACTAAATGTTGGTACTTCTCTCAGCTGAGATTCGAACATTGGTTCGTCACGTTACGAGAGACTAACATTTTCTGTTAGACCCAACTCTCAACGCTCATATTCCCGGGCTCTCAAGTAAACAAGCCCAGTAAGCCGAATTGTTGGCAAAAAAGCCCAGAAAGCCGAGCGGGTTCCTTGCCACCATCTCGGTTTTGTTTTATGTTTGGACCCAAGTCCCCTTTTTGGTTCAAATGTTGGGAACGGGACATTTTTATTATTCCCACAAACCCCACTCTGCAATTGCAAGGCAGGCAATGCCGCAGCGGGATATGCCCTGCTCGCTCTTTATTGAAAGCCAATCATGCAATAAAGCAGGGGGCTGCATCTCATTTAAACTACCATTAAAGCATTCGAGCATTACAAATTTCATCATTATTCCATAATTATAGACCCTAATAATTTTTCATTTTTATCACACCAATTATATAAAATATAAATGAAATGATATAACTTCTCAATAAAAAAGCAACAGGCAAGCACTCATTTACTTGAAGGTCAAAAAAGTATTTATTTATTTCGTCCTTAAACAAACTGAATGTGCAAGGCCTTTACTTTTGCTTTGTTTGTTAGCATAATGGTGATGGCAAAAAATATTTATTATTTATTAATAAGCCCAAAAAAAGTTAATGATACTGGCCAAAAAAAAAGTTGATAGCCAATTGTCATTTGTTTTTTTTTTTTTGTAAAAAATCATATAAAAAGAATTAGAAATTACTAAAATTTAAATCAGATAACACTTTAATAGATTTTGATAACATTAAACTTATAAATAATAACACATTTTTATTAAAAAAATTATTGGAAATTTAGCATTTTAAAACTTGTTTTATGATAAAAAAAATTGTCAATTGTTTTTTTTTGGGGGGAAAAGTCGACTGTAGCCGTGATAAACTTGGAGCTTCTTCGGGGAGCCTGCCGTAATTGGCCCGTACTCCGCGAAATACCGCCTAACGTCTCAGGCGCCAATTCTCACTTCTGGGCGTTCTTTTCCGGCGCATATCTTTACACACCCCCCCTCTGGAAAATCACTCTCGCAATCTACGCCAACTTCGTCAATTCCTAGGGTTTATCGTCTCCATCTCTCTCTCTATAGATAGGGTTTTTGATTTTGCATTCGACCGCTCGAATCCCAATTGTATAAGCTCTTCTAGGGTTTCGCCTACACTTTTTCCATACGTCCATCAATATGGGTGAGTGGCAGTCACTTATCCAATCCATTTTTCTTGGCCTCATTTTCTCTTTCCTCCTTGCCAAGCTGATATCCATCGTCGTATCATTCAAGGACGATAATCTGACTATTACTCGCCGCAGTATTAGTAGCAGCGACCATCTAAGTAATCGGAGCAAGATAGAACCCGATGTCAGCCCGTTTGCGCGCAGGCCTGATGCCTATGAAGGCGAGCACCATGAGATTGAATCGGTCATGGCGGAGCAGGGCAGCGTGAGAAATGAAAGTGTGGACGGTGATGACGACAGTGACGACGATTGGGAGGGAGTGGAAAGTACAGAATTGGACGAGGCCTTCAGTGCCGCAACGGCTTTTGTGGCTGCCGCTGCTGCTGATCGGCTCTCGCAGAAGGTATCCAGTGATGTGCAGCTCCAGCTGTATGGGTTGTACAAAATTGCAACCGAAGGGCCCTGTAGTACGCCACAGCCTTCGGCACTGAAAATGACGGCCCGAGCCAAATGGTAGTACAATTATCCTTTCCTTTTTTTTTTTGGGGATACACTGGTTATATGCTCCAAGTGTTTCGTTGCCCAATGTCGGAATCGAATGAAAAAGTGCTCTAGGGGTTTACTCTGCGTGTCAGGGGTACGATCATACTGTATCCGGAATCTTTTGAGCTGCTCGACTTGTTTCAAATTTTTGTGCCAATGTGGCATAGCACCGGCTGCGTGAAACTCTAAATTGTAGGCAGCTTGAATTATCGTAGCATTGACAGTTATGGGCATATAGGCCTGTCTTAAGTGTCTAATTCACACTACTGACACTGAAATTTGTAATCTTGATGGTTTGATCGTGCCCGTGAAAAGCTATAAACATTTAGCTCTTGAATCTCAACTACTGCCTTCTTTTCTCTCCCCCCCCCCCTCCTTCCCGAGCTGGGGTGCAGTAATCTACTTGTTAATTTACGAGGCCTATGATCCTGTGATATCCGGAATACATTCTGATAAGCCATTGGTCATTATATACAGCCATCATTCGTGGCTGATCTTTTTTCTTTTTGGCCTGGGATTATTTCTCTCTCCCCACTGATTGATTTTTCCTATGTTTAGGCAAGCATGGCAGAAATTGGGTGCCATGCCCCCTGAAGATGCAATGCAGAAATATATTGATATTGTGACAGAGCTATATCCAAGCTGGTTAGATGGCGCGGCTTTGGTGAGATATAAGCTGTTTATTGCACTCTACTTCTTCTGTTCTTTTTTCAACTTGGTGAAATTCATATAGCAAAATAGCAAATGAAAGCGTTACTTTACTTGCATACTTCTCCTTTTTCTCTGTACCTAACTCTTAATCTGTCTATGACAGAGGAGCAAAAGTGGAGATGGTGTAGGCCCAAGTTCAGGGTCTTCAGAGTCTAAGGGACCAATGGGGCCTGTATTCAGCACTTTTGTGTATGAAGAGGAAGCTGGCAGTGATTTGTAAGGTTCCTGAGACTTCAAGTTGTATGAGCTTTAATGCATGTATCTTGATGGCAATGCATCAATACTTTATTACATTTATGCGTATGGTGTTCACTGTCATTTACCTCAAAGTTCCGCAAGCTTCCCAGATTCTGTATCTATAAATGTTTGGTGCAACTCAGCTCACTGTTCTTTGCATCATCTCGTACCAGTTATTTCTGTTGATTAGGGAATCGACCTGTATTTTTGTTTAAGCATACTCAGCTTTGGAAAGATAATTAATTGGGGTGGGTATTGTCTGTATAGCCACGAACCTATGATTATGTTGACCGGACCATTCTCTTAGGACTTTGAAATGTATCCCGTATGCCTCTTAACACTCTCCCTCTCTCATTCTCATAGACTCGTGTGCGTGCACGTTTGAATTTATGGCAATGGGCAAATGACGTTTTGAGCATTTCAACTGTTTTCTCCATCAAAAATTAGGTTTTTTTTTGTTTTTTTGTTTTTTAATCCTTAGTTATCTGCAGAAGATGTGTACTTGAAGGAATGTAACTGTGTAATTAAATTTCTCTCTTCTCTCTCATTTGCTTCCATATGTGCTGGGGTGCACTTAAACGGTTAAACCCTCGGGTTGAACGCCTTAATAGAATAGTGAAAATTATTACTTCGTGCATTTAAGAATTGGGATTGGTAATGTTAGACTGAATTTAACTTCTCTGAGTTAGATTAGCTTCTGTTTGATTTAATTCTTTGAATTTGATTTATAATTCTTTTTGGGTCCTAGTTTGATATATGTTATTGGTCATCCTGCTTTTTTATTAGTTTAACTCCTGAACAACTATTTCTTTGCAAGCTCCCCTCCTCTTCATTGAAGTTCGGATGCAACTCATGGATTTGGAAAGAATAAAACATTGACATATGTTTCCTGTTCCTTACCTTTTCAGAAAAATTGATGCAATTCATGGATTTGCCAGAGAAGGAGACTCCACTAATCTGCTCAAGTGTATTGACAGTGGTGTTTCAGTGAATCTGAAGGGTGGGCTTTTGTGGTTGTTGCTTTGCCAAATTTATATAGCAATCTTAAGTGCGCTATAAGTTATTAGTGATGCTCTTGTTGGTTATTAAATGGCCATGCCTCTCATAAGCAGCCTATACTTAGCATTAAGAAGTTCGACCACTAATTAAATGAGAAAAGATTATCCTGAACCGCATTGCCTGACAAGTCTGGCGTTAGCATTATCTTTGCTTGATTCCTTCAGCATTGACTAATAGCTAATGTGGCTTGAAAGGAATGAATGTTGAGCGACTTGCTGGTACGTTTAGCAATATCTCATCTCAGTTGCATTTAGTAGCTGAAGCCAGGAATCTTCTTTGCTGCAGTTGAATATTTAATCATCATTCCCTTTGGTCTCTTTTTCATCTATGTTCATGGGACAGCGTGAGACCAATACTTCGCTTCTGTGTTTTGAATCAGGGAGATATGAATGCATATCGAGGGAAATAGATAGCTGATAATTCATGCTTTCCGTTAATCATTATTGATTTCATAATTTTCTTATTCAATTTATTATATGAAAGTGAGGCATCCCTACTAATTTGAGAGCTCTTAGTTATTTGCCCAGACGATGCTACAATATTGCTTATTTCATGATAATGGGATTGCATGAAATCAAGATGCTTCTTCTGAGACATGAGAATGAAGTCATTTAAAGTTTCCAGTGGTATTGTTGTGATGTTGTTTCATGCCACTTTGTGAAGCATCTGCGATATTGTTCCTGTTTATGGTATTGCCTATCAACTATTTTTACTTGTTTTGCTTTCTCAATATGTGCATCTGAAATGTGTGCAGACAGTGAGGGTCGGACACCATTACATTGGGCTGTGGATCGAGGTCACCTTGAGGTCACAGGTCAGCTTGTTAGTAGGGATGCTGATGTAAATGCCAAGGTATTTTGGTATTGCCGTATCTGTTGCAACTCAATAAATATAAGTTTAAAAAGGTTTTAGTAAGTTGCGTTATTCACAAGTCATAAGCAATACAGCTAAACTTAATTTTTGTGTCACTTGAAAATGTCTCTGGGTTCATCCAAATGGTGCTATTTGTATGCTTTGTGGCATTATCATTAGGTTTATGTAAAGAAATTGAGAAACACACCCCCCCCCCCCCAAAAAAAAAAAACACACACACACCCACACCCACACAAAATCCAAAGCAAAAGCAAAAAAACTGCAGAAGCTGCATAACTTGGAAGCCATTGTTGGCTTTTGAAGTTTCTTTTGTGCATATTGAAATTATTGACCATCGTATGTCTATTCTGTAATATTTGTTTGATGCCGTGTTTTTGTTTTGGAAGGATGATGATGGGCAGACTCCATTGCATTATGCTGTTGTGTGTGAGAGAGAAGCCATAGCTGAGTATTTAGTGAAGCATAATGCTGACCCAGATTTGAAGGATAATGATGGCAGTTCGTCACGTGACATCTGCAAGTCAAACTGGCCTTGCATGCAACCTGTGGGGAAGTAAATGATTGATTATTAGGTCTTTTGCTGATCTTGGCACTTGGCAAATTCCTTCGGATGTATATGTCTATTCCTGGCATCTTTATGTTTTTCACTGTAGGCTATGCCCGTGCATCCGTAGGATTTTCATAATCAATTCGATTTTGATATGTTCCTGTCCCTGCCTGCCAGATCCCACAACGACCCCCCTTTTTTCCGGTTATATTTGATGGAAAAATCTGCACGAAATTAGACCTGTATTCTTGTGCGTTGCATGAAATCTAAAAGGATGAGATGCATTATTTATGACTTGTGAATAATATATTTATTATAGATTTTATTACGTAGATCTATATATTGATATACTGGTGATTTGTTGACTGTTATGAACTCCTTTTTTTTGGGGGGGGGGGTCTGTCTTATGCCCGTGCAAATTTCAGGCAGAAGGGAAAATAACTCTGGAAATTGAATTTTTTTTAAAATAAAAGACAGTTGGAAAACTGGTCGAGATTTTAAACCGATCAACTTTAAAACACCCCCCGGCTGGCGGTGCAAAGAGATGACAGGTTCACTTATTTGGACTCGGACGCTACTCTCTGGGTTCCATTATTCCACTTTCCACCATGAAACACGATGAGATAAATGAGCAAAACAAATGGGTTTTACACGAGGGTGTTGCTGTGTTCGTCGCTGTCTATAAGGCAACAACCATAGCTCTCTGAAGAGGAGCTAATTAGCTAGAGAAAGAGAAAGGACAGAGGAAAAAGAAGAAAGTAATGCTGGAAGAGAAGGTAAAAGAGGAAGATGGAGAAAGTTAGATAGAGCTTGGTTCTCTGTTTAGGTGGTAGCCCTGTCTTTTTCCATCAGAAAAGACAGGTAGAAATTTGCTGTGTGGCTTGCTATGGAAATCAATGAGCCTATTTTCAGATCGGGGGATACTGGGATGTGATGATGATCTTATATGTTATTACCCCTCATGTTTCACAATGCTAACTGATGGTTTCCAAGATTGATATTGACTTGGATATGCCAGAGTCATTACTCTGATTTCTTTTCCCCTAAGGTGGTTTCCCAATCTTTATTCAGTCTTGCACATGGTTTGGCATAAAATGCATTGAAATCTAACGCTCTTTTTTTTTTTTGAAGGTAAGAAAAATAAAACAAAATTGTCAATAGTCAAATATTGATGCCCGCCTTTTCATGATATGTGTGATTAATACGATGTGGACATAAAGGGTCACAGGATCGGCCATAGATGTAATAATCAAATATTAGATGAACTATAAATACTCCTCCGATCCTTAATATAAGACTCAATTGTTAAGTTGGTTTTGATCCTAAATATAAGAACCATTTCTTATATTTATCAATTTTCTCTAAATTACCTCTATGGATACTCCCTCAACTATAATCAAGTAGAAAAGGGAGATGGGGTATTAGAAAAGATGATTATGGTATTTTAGGAAAAATATGTCATATTTCTTATAATTAACTAACTTACCTAACTTCCTTAATCTAATCAAATTAGTTAAATGGGTTTTATATTAAGGACCGGAGGAGTATAAAAATTCAATCACTGATGAAACATCGCTTTCATATAATCAAGCCCAGCAAATATTCTTTTTCTTCCCTTGAAGCTAAGCACAAATTAAGTAGCCACATGAAGTTAGTTAAAAAAAAAAGAGGGGGACAAGGTAGGTTTTCCGGACTATATACATAAGTGGAGTCTCTATTATTCTTAGATTACAATGCGCCTAAATTATGGAGAGGAAAAGGGATCAAACGAATAATGTTCAGAGAATGTGCTGCTAATTAAGACTTTTGTGATATGACTGCCACCAATCTATATATCTCATAAAGCAGTGCATTGGATGCGCAGCGGATCTTCCCCATCCTTTTCTTTTCTTTTTTTTTCTTCTTTTATTTTAATTCCATTTTCTATGGCAGGATTCCATTCCATGTGAAATTAAAATTTGAACCTTTGACTGCAATATGTTAATTTGCCACTCATTGAATGGAACCCTCAAATAGTATTTACTATTAGGATGAACATATCTACAAAATGAAATCACAGTGCAAGCATAAAAAATGAACAGCATCTCCACTTTGACCACCTATACATAGTGATCAGACGCATTCATCCATGATTATGAATTAAATTATTAAATTCTGATCATACCTATTTTCTTCCCAGTTCAATGTTCAAACCGTATCGCTCTCATTATTGTTGGGTGGATAGAATTGCACAACGTATGTATGCATTACTATGCTGAAAAGTCGCAAAGTTTTCTGTTTACTCCATCTAACAACTGTACATATGCCATAAACAGCAAATAATTACTCATTCCCATATAAGGGAGATTTATCATATCTGGCTTGAATTTTCAGCTAAGTGCTCTCATTAGCCTCACCCAATATTTTCCTGGAGAATTTGAAGGAAAAGAAACAATCAGGGAAAGTGAAGCCCCGCAAATACAAAACTTGTAAACATAATGCACAGAGAAACAATCAAAATACACAATTTCATATGATAAAAATGCAAAGTAGAATGTTCATTTTGATGTTGCTCGTAGCCTTCTAACACGAGCTGCATTTTTTTCTTCAAGATCATGTGTTGTGTACTTGGGGTATCTTTTAGCTATGAGCGTTAAGGCCCCAGTCTACAAATTAAAGTACAGCTCCCACAAGACTTAAAATCATTGTCAAAAAGAGTGTTAAAGTGAGTTTAGTTAGTTCACTAAAACCATCATTACACTACAGACATGTGGTTTTACAGAGGATGATTAAGCTGATATTGTCTGTGATAATGCAGGATTAATTCACCAATAATGTTCCTACCCTTTCTTTTGTTAGTGCTCTCACTAAGGAGAATCTACATTCGATTCTTCTCTTTTGTCTCTCCCTTTGGTTTCTTCTGAAGTCCACTCACTGTGTCTGTCTCCACCCTTTGACTAAAGAAAGTGACCAAAGATGAAATATGAATATATCAGCACCATAACATTGAAGTGGTGTTTGGTACCACGGAAAACCTGAAGCCAAGGAGGTTTTTAAAAAAGGGCCAATGTGGATTCTCATCATGTTAAAAGGGCCGACAAGATTTTGCAGTCGGCCAACTCTCCACTAGGCAATACCCCGCAACTCTTGAATTATAATTCGTCCTGAATAAAATCCAGCGCTAAGGTCCTCCCTTAGACTGAAATGTGGGCGTGTAGAAATAAATGAAGAAACTAGATAAGCACAAGGGATGAATTATATGCCTAGCTGATAATTTGCTGATCAGGGAAGTATAAATGTAGATTGTGCTGAAGGAAAAGGTTGCCAAGTTGAAAGTGCCTGGATTTGGAGCCATGCAAAGAAAATATTGGTAATGTCCACCACATGCAACCAATCGCCCTGTTTATAATTTTTTTATGCAAAATACAAAATAGTGCAGTTGACTTTAGGGTTTGTGGACTAAAGCCTATCAGTTAATGCTTTTCATCATCACTCTGTTGATATTGGGTGGGGGTCACGATGAAAAGAGCTCTCGTCGCCACATTTCTTGCTCTTGAGTAAGCATAAAAGGGCCTGCCCCTCCACAGCTAAGCCCACGTATGTGTTTGTGTGTGTTGTTAATTTCCAAAGTTATTAACAAGAGAAACCATACCAGCCATGGCTCTCAAGACCAAGACTTCTCTTATAGTTCTTCTGCTAGTCTTCATTTTCATTTCTCCATCTTCAGGTGAGCAAGTTCTTCATGTCAGTAAATAACATTTGTTTCTTTTTTTTTTGGAAGACATTGCAGTGACGGAAATATGACAGTTATAACCTTTTATTATATAGGCCTGGTTGAAGGTTTTAGGGAAAGCCAGTATCGTCCTCGCGACTTACTTTACAAGGTATAATTTATTCCTACTAATATTTTTAAGCTGATGTCAGATTAAACCTGATAAACCAGAGTGCTAGATATAAATATTAAGAGAGCAACACTACGAGGTACAGATCTTGCACTTTTAACCTACAAGTTCTTTTGTTTTGAATGAAGGATGGCATGAAGATGAACTCGAGGAAGCTGCTAACCCATGGATTTGAGCTGGACTATGATGATGCAGGACCCAACCAAAGGCACACAAGAAAGCCTGGCAAGGGAACTTGATGGCCTTTAAGTTCCTAACCATCTGATGATTCGACTGTGTTTTTCTCCCTCCCTTGCTTCTATATGTTCTGTTCGGGTGTTAAGAAACATCGTATGACGATAGATGAGTTAATTTACCTGTCCGCTGCTCGTGTGTGTGACGAGGCAATAAAGCAAGATATTTTTAGTGTGTACACCAGATGCTTGTTTATGCAGGGACCTCTAAGCAAAATAAGAATAATGTTTTGCATTTGTTTATGTATTGAGAATAAAAATATAAACTAGATGTGGCTTCTATACATTACGCTAGTCTCATAAATGAGTTCTATTACTTATGGTTTATAAATGAAAGAGTTTTATATGAATTTTATATTGTGTATATAGAATATAATGTACATAGATTATATGTAGATTTGTCATTGCTATTTCGGATTCTCGCGTGCCTACTAAGTACAAGCAGGAAGAAATAAAAGCGAAGGTTGCTGTCGGATTTAATAAAATGTTGAACAAAGTACAGTAGTCAATAAGGAAGTGCAGATTAAGTACTATGTACGATTTTTTCCATATACACACATATAGATTAAGTACTATGTACGATTTTTTCCATATACACACATATAAAGTGATGCAAGCCATTTTTCCAAAAGGAAAAAGTTTTGCTGGTAAAAAAAACAAAAAAAGGAAAAAGTTATATCAGAAAGAAAAAAATTTGGCACAATCCTCGTCAAAGGTGCCGTGGATGGAATACTCTGCATACCACAATTTGAAGCTGTTTTTTGAAAATAATTTTTAGGGCGTTGCTAGCCGAGATGTCTTCTGTGAAATAGGTGAAGAGTAATAATTCCTATTTGCTATATGCCTATATCTTGGCTTGAAAAATTCTTTCCAGAGCTTGAACCTGCAAAATTGTGCCGGTCTCATGGCCTGAACGTTACTTTTTATTTTAGAGGGGCACTTTCAAGCGTAAGAGTGGAGTTTCTCCAGTTCTTCAATACAGTCGCGTTTCATAAAAACCAGCATGATAAAAACGATTTTCTTACTTGTTTCAAAATTTACAAAAAGCTCAATCATAAATGTTAATGCTCATTCAAATTATCTACATGCAACAGGGAATATAAGATGCTCTTTCTTTACTTTCAAATCCTAGTCGACAATAGGTATAAATTGGGTTGAATCACCGGTTCAAGACTTCGCTATTACTCCTGAGAATAGGAGGTTGCGAGTTTAATAACATCTTATATATAAATAGGTGTGTGTGTGTCTGTGTGTTCATATCATTTACATGAGACACAGGAGAAAAACCCTTCTTGACAATGGGAGGAAGAAGCATTTTCTTGGAGCGTGCATCAGAAGAATAGGAGAAGACTTGATTACAGAAGCGTAGGGCCAAATGTAAATGGACGTAGAAGCGCGACGGAAACGCTAAAAATGCCCACACATGCAAAACGAGAATCGAATTTTAGCATCAGAATATAACAATGACGCTCTGTGTCTTAAACCAAGTAGATTTCAAGAAGTGAGAATGTACAATTAGGTTATACAGGCAAGAAGTCTAAAAATCTATGTGTCTGTTTATATACATTGACGACTAATCTTCTTCCATTCATAAAATCTGGGATGAAAACCAAATTCCAAGTGACACTATTCCAATGGTGGCTAAAGCTTGGACCGCCTCATAAATAACGTTTTGCTGCTGAAGTGGCAAGTTCCGCCAATCTGTCCGCCTATTCCAAAGACAACCATACTTAATAAGAGTAAATTATAAGACTTGCGATTCTGATTCAAGTAAATTAATTAGAACTTAATAATCAAGGTCATTTATCGGTGAGAAGATCCATACCCTAAATCAGCAATTATGATGCTAATGTTATCCTGTGTGCGTCGATCCTGCAAAATATAGAGTTAATGTTAAAACCACAACTGGTAAATTTTCAACGCGAAATTTCAGAATAACAACAGCCACGAAATTTTATAACACTTACCAGAGCTGCTCGTGCAAGAGCTTCGCAGGCAAGCTGAAATAAGGGAAAGCGAGGGTTATTGCTGCACCTTCAGTGGCTTCATAACCAAGCATAAGTGCGAAGGTTCTTATCCTCAAGTTTGGTGAATGATGTGTTACCTGAATATCACCATGTTCCCGAAGTTGATTCCTCACAAATGAAACTGCTTCTGAGCTGAAATGGTAGGAAGAAGGAGAAGGTGATTTCTCCTCTCTTAAAGAGACATTATAAGAAAATGACCATTTATGTAACTTAGACCTTTTCATGTAGTCCCATAAGCCATCAGATGCCAATACTATAAATTCTGCATCCGAGCCAAGATGTACTTGATTAATATCAGGGCATGCAATGATTAGGTCTCTGTTGAGCTGTACACTGGAAAAAATTATTGAAAAATTAAATCCTCGCGCCCAAATTCCAAAAGATGAAATCTTTAAGGGAGTGAATTTAAATATGATGTTACAATTCAAGAAAACAGACAAGGAACAAAACTTGCGTTACTTGTCCTCTATGTTTGCTACAGAATGAGCTCATGTCACCTAACTGATTGATCAAAGCTGAAAACTGTAAAGACATTTTTTCTCATGAATCTTTCAGTGGATGAGACAATTTGAAACAGTTTCCCAAAGTAGAACCTGAATTTAGGCTGAAAATTTTTAATTGACAACATAATTAGTTAATAACATCCTACTCATTTCTCTGGATTTGACGAATAAAATGCAGATTTGAACCTTTCTTACTCTTACAATCACACACACACACACACACACAGAGAAGCAATATATGTTAATTTAATTGAACCGACTAAGAAATGATAGATAAGACATGCATAAGATTACCAACCGAGAAGCAAATTTTTCTGACCATCTTCCTTCCTCGGTCCCTTTTCTCAGCATTCTTCCACATGCAAAGGGCAGATAACCATTAGGAAACACATTAAGCAATAGACCACAAATAAGAAAAGTTAGCGCCTTTATAACAGATCAAATAATACAGTGTTGAAGGACCATACTCATTCTTCTTTGTTTTGAATCTTACATCCCCAAATGCACGAGATACAGCAATGTCTCCACAAATTCTCCCATTGACAATCTACAGAAAAACACCATTAATATTTGTAGTTTATAATTAAATTGGCCAAAACATGTGGGGAAAAGAAGGAACTAGGAAAACACACCCATCCACCTGCTTCTCTGATTCTTTTAATTTCTTGAAGAGAGAATTTATTGCTCCCATATGGTCGGTGGGGACTAGTCAGCTCTTCCGCTCTACCAGCCCGGCTTAGAACCTGCATCAACAAGTGAACTTGGATGAAAATCCAAAACACTTTCAGTTCCCAAGAGACTCTAAACTTCTTGGAAACTGACTGAAAAGCATTACTCTTTCCATCAACAGCTCGATTCAGATTAGGCGAGCAAGCACCACATCCGCAAGGATGTGTGACACATACCGCAGATGAGTCACCTAAATGCGAAATGAGAAGCACATCATCTCTGACGAACATTGCAGTTGCTGTAGCGCCAGATTCATCTTCATTCATTTCAAGCCTTTAAAAGTGAAACACTTTCTAAACCTTCAATGCAGTAATACCAAATCTACAATCATATAGCGATTGCTCAAGCTTAAACATCATGGTAGATTTTTGTAATGGCTTACCGTTTTAACAAACTTGTGTCGGCATTGACAAATGCCTCCTCTAATGCTGCTTTAATGGCCTGGAAATCTTCCCTATCCAATATTAACCCACCATGTAAAGCTGCAAGACACTCCTTGTACAGTTCTTCCCTGTAGTTGGAACACAAACCAATAATTCAGAGTATACTAAGAATTGCGTAACCCATAAGTAGTTGGTGAAGTATATAATTCATCTATTGGAGTCAGAAACAAAAAGTGATCACGTGTTCCTACAGCACAGTAAAAACTGACTGTATAGGTCAGAGTTTATAAAAAAAGTTTTGATGGGAAGAATTCAGCTGCAGTAAAATATTGCAGAAACCAAGACTGACCCTTGTCCACAATCTAAAGGTTCAGTCACTGCAAATCTGCAATGCTTACCAATGGAATAAGACTTGGATATTATTTTATACTCTGATGCTCATAAACTAGGTGACATCACACGCCACTTCATTTTCTTTTTCTTATCCCTTTTATTGGCATAAATTATGCATGTTTAAAGTGCTGAGATAAAGCGAGATTGCTTTAAATGGAAACTACTGGAAGGTTAATGACAGATTTCAAGTGAAAATTATTTGAACCTGAGAAAAGAAGGAAGTAGTTACAAAAATCTTCACTATAAATAAAAACCAAATGTAAAACCGAGAGAAACTTTGGGGACCGATAGAGTTAAAACCTCCTGTAAACTTCTATATTATTTTCAACAAACGTCCAATATAATCAAGTCTGGCATACAGCATCAATTTAGAGTTTTACGCTTTAATTTACTACAGCGTCAGTTGAATGATCTAATGCGACAGGCATGCAAACAAGCAGGAAGACTTTGAAATTGCCATAAAAGTACGAAGTTGAAACTGGATATATAATCTCCCCGATTTTGTTTGTTGGGGTAGGAGGTTGTAAAACCTGAGAAACTCGACAGACGAAAATCCTCCATGGCCATCAAACACAGCTGCAAAAGAGAAGCCATGGAGGCCATCAGGACGAACAACAATGTCATCTTCCATCTCTTCGCGAAGACCCTGCAAAGCAATGGATCCCCATCGGATGCCTGCCACGTCCGAAAAAGACGAAGGAGTATCGATGGCTATGGCGGAGCAGCAGCGGCCTCTGCTCGTATTGGCGACGCTGTTTCTGCGGATGCCATTACTGGAGGTGGAACGGCCATGGAGTTTGGTGACGAGTAATCTTTGGATGTGTGGGCTTGACAGTGCCATCAGAGAAGAGAAGCACAGGGAAGAGCGAAGCTGAGATGGTGGATGTGGAGGATAAGCGAGCTGTTAAAGGCCTCAGGCTATTTTAGTGGCTCAGATTCCCTCAAAATCTGATGAAACGGGATTCTTCGCGACGTTGGCTTCTCTTCAAGCGATAAGCCTTAGCCTGCAGCTAAATCCCCGTACTTTTTTGCCCCGAGCTCCGGTAGTAACTACACGTCTACACCCTTGTTATAGTACGCTGAGCTTAGCTGATGACGTTTTAAAATCCATTCGTTTTAAGACCGTGGGGTGGAATCACTTTGAAAACAAATATTTTTATACAAAATTCTTATTAAATATTTACTTTTAACTCTGTAAAATTATTTTTAAAATTATAATTTGATTTTCATCTAAATATCCTCTTATATCTCTGTAAGAAGTAATAAATACAGTTTAAAATAACTTTTCAAAAATAATTTTAAAATGTTCCCAATAAATATATAAAAATTATTTTAATTTATGTTAAAATATTTTTTTAAAGTACTTCGGTACTATCAAATACCCCAAACACAGGATAAATAATTAAAATGAGTTCGGTGAGAAGGAGGAACCAACCAAGCTGATGTGGCGGGATATGAGACTTGGAGCTGAGAAGCAGATGCCATGTCTGGGCCTGGGGAGTGTGGTCCTGGCTCGTAACCCCAAAGCCGAGCATGTTCTTACTTTGACCGGTAAACTGTTAATAAAATGAACAACATCAACATGAAGAAGCTGCTTTGCCAGTGATAATGAGGTTAGAGGCAGAGTCATATGAAATGCTATTTCCGGTCTTTAATATAAGATCTTTTTTTTTATTTTGATCCTAAATATAAGATCCCAATCTACTTTGTCTCTCATATTTATACTTTTTTTTCCAAAATAGTTCTTCTAACAATGATAGTTCTAGTCAATACATTTGATTAGTAATGATATTTTAGAAAAAAACAACACCTATTTAGGACAAATAACTAACTCAACTTACTTTCTTAATCTTATCAAATTAGTCAACTAGCTCTTATAATTAGAATCAGAGGTAGTAGTAATTTATTCTAATATTTTTACATTCTTCATAATTAGCATGTTCGTGAAAGTTAATGGGGCTTGTGGCCTGGGTTTGACTTTCACGCCAACGCACCCATTGTCTAATATATAACCTTGTTCACCTTGAATAAAAAATTATAAAATTAAGGGGATAAATTCAATTAAAATTCTATATTTAGTACTAAAATAAACGTAAGTTATACACTTGGGACTAAAAGTAATATTAACTGCTCATAACTTAAATGTTTGCAAATAATAGCCGGCAAAAAATTGAAAGTAACAGAGAATTTGGGAAATTAAAAGTAATTAATCAAGTTATTTGTTTGCGTGATTTGCAGATCACTTTAATTTAAAAGCCCCCATTGCAGTTGGGGGCAAACAATTTGCCAATGATGATACATAAACTCGGCAACCAAATTAAATGCTGTGTTGAATTCCCATTTTACGGTTCAATATTGATTTTCAATAATCATCGTCAATTTAGTGCTCAACAAAAATAATCATCCTCAATTTATTACTCTGTCAATACAATTTATTTATTTATTTATTTTGAAAAATCACATTATTTAGAGTCCGTATTTAAACTCATGAGATAGAAATAGATTGCCCACGCTGTAAATGTACGGCGTATAGTATAAGCCGAGTGGAAACGTTGTCGCATCTTGACTGCTTTCTAGCTTAGATATACTATATATTCTAGTACCAAGCACTGAAGCAGCCAAAGAGTCTCGAGCTGATCTTCCTGACCACGGCTTCGAGCTTCCGACGCTCTAGCTGTAGGGGCTTCTGCATATTTTTCTAGGGTTCCGACTCTTCAAGATTTTGGTACTGCCTGGCGGACCCATGGGAAATACCCTAACGATAAACTGAGACCGCACTTAGTAATCAATCTCCCTGGAAGCCCTAGTTTTAGACGAACAAGGACAAGGATAATCAAAGCCTCTGGACCTAAAATTTTCCCCGGCAATAATGCCTGGATATTCCCAACTGCATACAGGAACAGCTTGAATTTCTCTGTCCTTTAAACAATAGTTGTGAAGTTTGAAGTTTGAACTTCCTAGTTTGAGATGGAGAGGTCTAGATCTAAGAGGAACTACTACTATGACCAAGAATATGACTCAGAGACCTTGGCTAGGACCAGACCCCGGTATAATCACCACTACGCAAATAGTACCCACCGTCATCGCGGGGGCGGCAGTGGTGCTCGACCTAAGGCGCAAGACTCATCGTTAACGGTGACCACAAGTTACCGCATTTTGTGCCACGATATCAAGGCTGGTGGAGTAATTGGCAAGTCAGGTAGCATTATAAAGTCTATTAGACAACACACCGGCGCGTGGATCAACGTGCACGAGCTGATCCCTGGCGATGAGGAGCGAATCATTGAGATTTCTGACACGCGCCGGCGAGACCCAGAAGGCCGAATGCCATCGTTCTCACCGGCTCAGGAGGCCTTGTTGTTGATTCATGAGAGAATTCTTGAGAGCGATGCTGCGTTTGGGATTGGCGAAGAGGAGGAGGATTATGGGGGCAGAGGAGGCGGGAGCAGCAGCCGAGTCGCCACTAGACTGGTGGTATCCAGAATGCATGTCGGGTGTTTGTTGGGCAAAGGAGGGAAGATTATTGAACAAATGAGAATTGAAACCAAGACACAGATTAGGATACTTCCTAGAGATCACAATCTACCTCGTTGTGTTTCCATATCTGAAGAAATTGTTCAGGTGCAAGAGAGTTGGAGCTTTACATCTGATACTTTCTTAAATCGCATGCATGCTGAATACCGAACTTTGAGTTTCAGTATTTTGTTTTTAAAAAATGCATCTTTCTGTGCTGAAATTTCAGTGTCGACTCCGCTTTGATTTGGCCACTCATGGCAGTTCTTTTGCTTTTGGACGGTTAACCAATATTGTAGAACCGAAGAGATAATGGGTTACTCCCCTGATAGGATGGCCTTTTCACATTCACATTCCCATTCCCAATCTGTTTTCTTCGTTTCTTGGTCCCTCAAAAATAACGGCGTTTCATAAATTAACGAGAAAAGGCAGGAGCTATTAATTGTTGGCTGATTTTAGCCACGTTATGAATGGCATTTGAAGCTACTTTGTTCTTTCAGCTGAAAACTACGTGGCTTTCTTTCTCCAGTTCATGCCTTGATTGAATGGAGCGGGTGAATTGCATCTCTTAAATCCCTCTTGTGACCAGGTGGTTCATCTTGGAAGGAAGAATCGTGTAAAGAGAGTGCGTAGTTCGGTGGTTAGTTGCTAAACAGTTTGTTAGTATAAGTAGTTTGTTATGAGAAGTTGAGTGTTCTTTCTTTTCGTTTTCTTTCCTTTCTTTCCGTCTTTTTTTCTTTCTTCTTTCTTCCTTCCTCTCTCTCTCTCTCTCTCGGGGAAAAACTATCTGTTTGGGGTCCAAGAGGAGCTGGAAGCCAAGTTGGCAAAGAGAGTCAACGATCAACTTAAGTCTTTCTTTCAGATACTCTCATCGTCTATTCTTCTTTTTATGATCAGTTCAAGAGTGTCTTTCGTGCATTTCAAAGGTTTATTGTATTAGCAATTAGATTTGATTTTGTGTTGGATCTTGTGCTTCTATCATCATTTGGTTGAACTTGGATAGATAAAAAAAATGTGCTTATTGCTATTGACGTTATCAGTATCATAGGGAGTTACCCTGCGTCAGCTAGGAGACTTGCCCTTGGGTTACCTGCAGTATTGAAAGTTAAAATAATATTATTCCAGAGGTTCCATCCGTATAGGCTTGTTGATAAAATCAACTTTGCCATTCGTATCATTCCTTCTTGATGAAATGCTTATATTCAAGCTATCTTATTTCATGCAAGAAAACGTTTAAGCAACCCCAGGTTGGTTTTTCTCTTCTCCAAGGGGATCAACCTATAAATGCATTAAAGAATTGTGCTTTATCAGTTTTTCATAATTGACTATTTCAGTTGTCCCTGAACTTGTGTAACTGAAAACATTTGAGGGCTCTTTGTTTCTTTTCGTTCTGATTTGTAAGCATTGTATATGATATCTGCATGTGTAACTTTTGCTGGGCTATATAAAAGGGAGGCTTTGTATGCTAAATTGCTAATTGTGACAGAGCAATAACGCTGTTTAAAAAGGATGTGGATGGTTTATGTTTTACTTGTGTCTATTGAGTCTGTATCAGCAATCAAGTGAAATTAAGGAGATGCATCATGACGCAAGACCATTCTAAAATATGACGTGATTTCCCTTCAATTTCACTCATGAAAGCACTTTTTAATCAGAACAATGTTATTACTGATATCTCATTGCCATTCCCTGTGCAGGTTGTAGGTGATGCAAATGCTGTAAAGAATGCTATAGTACTTATATCATCACGCTTGAGGGAAAGCCAACATCGTGACCGCAGTCATTTTCATGGACGAGCACATTCACCAGAGCGTTTTTTCCCTCCAGATGATGATTATATACCTCACGGGGCAGTTCGTAGATCCTCTGTAGATGGGGCAACTTTTGGATCACGAATATCTACTGCCAATATAAGAAGCAATAGCTATCCGTCATTAGGTTATACAATGGAACCAGGGGCTCCTCCTGTAGCTGATGATGCACAACCCCTTTATGGTGAAGACCTCATTTTCCGGATACTTTGTCCACTGGACAAAGTGGACCGTATTATAGGGGAATCAGAAGGATTTGTAGATTTCCTTCAAACTGAAGTTGGTGTTGATGTTAAGGTAGATGATCATGTGGTTGGTTCAGATGAGCAAATGATCATAATTTCTTCAGATGAGGTGCTTCCCTTTTCTCTGTCTCTCTATGTATCCTGTATGAAAAATGAATATTCTCAAGTTCTCTGGTAAAAGGGTGTGGGACAACACACTGCTATATATGCCCTTATCGCTTAAATAGTTGTAAATGAAACCCTTGTAGATGCATTTTCAACATATTCTCCATACAGTTACATCTATCCTGTTGTTCTTAGTTTGCTCCAGTAACATATCTCACATGTTTGAGGTTCTAACTATTTCTTTTTATTTTGTGCAAGGGTCCTGATGATGAGCTGTTCCCAGCTCAGGAAGCTT